TGAAGTCGCATTTGTGGTTTTGCATTTCAAAGAAAGTATATAGATTTGATAGTTTGAAAAACATTTTTAGTTGCGTTGGAGTTTTTTGACTAGTTCCTTCTGAATAAATCGAATAGAAGAAACTAATAAATGCGATGGAAAGGGGAAACGGGAAGAGAAAACGTTTCACATGTACTTTTTATGTTAGAAGAGGACAGACAAACATCAAGGTTCAGTCGAACCCACGAGATGGACTCGGTAATGGTAGCAATGTATGGATAATCACCAGGTCGTGGATTCGATGCTCACCGCGTCTAACGTGTTTCTAATCAATTTTTCTAAAACATGTTAAATATTGGCGGGAAATTTTATTAAATGGGTGGTAGGAATATCGAAATAATGCCCAGTTAATGAACCAGAGTTCACAAATCAAAAAACCGTGAACTTTAATCGCGTTTCGGTTTCAGTCTGTGGATTTTCGAATATTCAAAGCCGAATAGATCGACAGCGTGTAGATGTTACATGGCTGGGGTATTACATCCCAATACAACAAAAACAAAAACTGCTTGGAAAGGGTTATTATAACGTAAATGAATATTTAAATGATAAAAATGCTTGGGCTATGGAGGAACCCGCTCTATCAAGGAAGAAATGTACACAATGAGTGCGTAAGGAATATAAGGAAATGTAATAAAAACTTGGCAATTAAAAGGAGTGGCGGCGAGTTTCTTGCCAATTCTTCTCGTTCGTTCTACGCCCTAACTTGGGAACTGGTAGTAACTGTAAATTTAGAGTTTTAAATTTTTACCTGTTTTCACGTTCATAAGTGTACTAAGCTACCTACATGAATAAATGATTTTTGATTTGATAATAAGTGTAATTTGGTAATATTCTCCTGTATGATTAAAAAAAAATCTGTCACAAATTCCCCACGCGCTTAAAGTACATCTGTTTATTAAATTATGCTAATCCTCTGAAATGCTAATCAAAGAGTACACTTACTTTGAACGCGTTAGAATTTATTTACTTTCATAGTTCATACCACCAACGGCTGAACCCGTTAAATACCGGTTATAAATTTTATTCACCATCAAAAATGCACTTTCTCCAATACTTACTGTCACTTATCAGCTACTCTCTGACTGAGTATCCATGACTAAATTTTCACATGTTGGTTCTTAAATACTGTCTGTAGTTTACGCGAGTAGTACACATTTAAATAAAACACTTTAACGGTTTAAAACGCAATGCTTTGCGGCAGCCGTGGTCACGAAGTGGCGCTGCAAAGCATCCGAAACGTCGAGCCGAAGTTAAAAATCATTTTCAAATAAGTTTAACTAATATATCGCGTTTTAAACCGTTAAAGTGTTTTATTTAAATATTGATTCTTGATATCATAGGAACAAATAGCACCGACGAATCTACGACACACAGTTTTTAGGAGAAAAGACAGAGGAAGGAATGTAAGGTGAAATACCATAGCTATATAACATTGAAACAAGATGTGCTGTCGATCTATTTTGCTTTGGCCATTCGAAAATCCACAGACTGTTGACGGCCTTTCCATCATTGGACGGCGGTTCGTTATCCGGGCAGAATTTTAATATTCCTATATAGGTTGACCCACAAAATTTGGCACGTTTAAGAAATAAACATTTAGAAGATTAGAAGCATGTTAGACGTGGTGGGCATCGAGCCCACGGCCAGTTAATATGTCATTAGAATATTTTCATTAGACGGATGAGCCCTTAGCATCGACAATCCGATCTAAAGTGTCATGGACTTTTTAATCACAGTAACGTTTTAGCGTTGTTTGTCGTAAGTTCAAGTTCGTTTGTGACTTGTTTTTTTTTTTACTAAAATGCTTTTAAAATTGAATATAAGCTAGAATGTGAACACGTGAAATGGATAAGATGCAAGTAGTTTCAAGTAGATCGATGATTGAACGTCTAAAATATGTAATCTACTTAAGTTATGCATAATTCATAAAAGAGAATCATGTGCGGATAATTGAAATACTCATTAAATTAACAATATAGGAAAAAGCTTGTAATACCAAAGAGGCTGCGTGTTTTAAAATATGAGCCAACAATTAATTTATCTATTAAAACATAGCTCACGAATAGTTTCTAAAGATAAAATGCAATTTATCTCAAATCAAGGAAAAACATTATCGATTTGAAACAACGACAATTATTTTTCCATCATTAATAAATATTGTTAATTGTAGATTTTTTTCTATAATGGAACCATTATTGCGATTCAATTAGATATTGACTCTGGCTGACTTATTTTTTTTACTTTAAAATCTGTTGTAAAAGGTAGAAGAAGTAACAGGGAAATCTATACTAATGTTATAGATGTGAAGAGTTTGTTTGTTTGAACGCGCTAATCTCAGGAACTACTACTTGCGTTTCTAAAATTTTAAAAATATAAAAAAATAAAAAACAAGGATGGCTATAAACCATCAGGCCGCGACCAATAAGAACTAAGAAGCAATATATTCATCTTTGAAGATTTCCCTTGCGTCCGCTGCCAAAGAATATGTACGATACATGTTTTGTTTTAACATAATCTAAAAAATATGTCCCCGTATACATTATTCTTCAAGATTAACCCACAAGAAACATTTTTATGGTAATCAAATACTCCGCTATACGTTTATATAGATACACAGGCGGGAATAGAATCCGCATCACTTAGCACATTACTAAGTTGCCTTATATAATTCGAAGACGTTATAAGCCTAAATACTGCCTGTAGTTTACTTTAACGGCTTAAAACGTGATACATAGATTATATAGAAACAGATGGCGCTAGCGTAGCAGTTTTTATTTTGATATCAGAGACACCCTCCATCTTTAGTCTCCTCGTGACGACGGCTGCTAATAATGGGCCTAAAATATTTTCAAATAAGTTTAACTAATATTTATAGCGTTGTAAACCTTTAGTATTTTATTTAAATGTCTAATAGAACTGCTCGGGACTTTACGATAACCAATATTTTGCGGCATTATTTTCCCACATTGGATAATCGTCTTAGATTTTATAATTGTCTGCTGTACGATCATATAAAAATATAACTCTATTTGCGTTTGAATTCAAGTTCTGAAGTCCCCTGACAAAATAACACCAATTACAGTCTTCGATAACACCTTACAATACCCGAATTACGTACTGACAAAATTCATTTAATGAACTAAGGTTTCCAATATTTCATGTATAATTGGACGAAGCAACATTGTTAACATTTATTTTAATGAAGACAGCGCTTAATTGCATTGTTATGCGCATATTTTTATTATATTTTATTTATTTATTCACCAACAAGACTGCAAAAAATTTTACGTAATACAAAAGAAAGCACCCAAGAATATTCTAGATAAAGCAAATAAGACAAGATAATAGAAAAACTCATGTTAATAAGTTGTGTATTGTTAGAGAGAAGGAAATCCAATTTTTATATAAACATACAAGTTTTAAAAAATATATTTTTTACCGTTTAAAACGCGAAATATATATAGCCGTGGTCACGACTGCTGAAAAGCATCTAAAACGTCTATTTGTAGATAAAAACCAATTGCTAAAAAGTTAACTAATATACTTTCTGTTTTAAACCAATAAAAATGTTTTATTTAAATGCGTACTACTCGTGTAAACTGTACAGTAAAATAAATGTAAATCATCAAATAAATGTAATACGGTTTAAAACGCATGCACGTATGCCATTAGCACGCCTGCTGAAAAGCATCCGAAACGTCGGGTGTTATACCAATATATTTCACGTTTTAAACCGTTAAAAGTGTTTTATATAATTTTTTAGTACTTGCGTAAACAGACAATACTAAATGTAATACGTCAATTTGAACTTATTCATATGTAAAAACCGATATTTTAATATTATGTAAATTAGAAAATGTATGATGCGGACAGTTTTCATAGTACAGTACCTGATTGGGTCTTTGTCGGTTCGAATTGTCAGTTGTTTATAGAGTTATAGAGAGGTTATATAAGCAGAAATGTCTTAAGCAGTAGAAGAAGTCAAGTTAATAGATATAAATGTAATTTACTAATTACATTTATTCTAGTACTATATGGTAAGGTAAAGGCATTGTTTTTCCTTCTCGAGAAATGGTTGAGGTAAACGACTCGTAAAAGTTTAAATTAAAGATGGCTTGGACAAATGTATAGATTGGAATGCATATCTACACTAAGGTTCAGTTTGTTCGTTTGAACGCTCTAATCTTAGGAAGTACCAGTTCGAATTGAAAATATATTTTTGTGTTAATTGGATTATTATTGTGTCGACTATCCACGACATTTGTCAGGTCCCATCGTTCTTGCAAGTTATACTTTTTTTAGGTCATTTAAAGAACCATTCTTTCATACATATTTTTTTGGTATCTTGAACCGTTTTTGCAGATGAATAATTTTCCCATTTCTCCCTCTCTCAGGTCAACTCTTCAGCTTTAAATATTTGTGTATACTTAGTATCACAATCTGGCTAAACGTGGAGCAAAACATCGTACATTCTAGATAAATTCATGGAATACACAATGCGCAATATGACTTCTCGTAATACGTCAATTATTGGATACTTATTAATAAAAACATTATGCACGTTTTAAGTCGTGAGACAAGTTACGAACGGGTTAAGTACATATGCATAGCTTAGCATAGAATTATTTGTTTTCCTTCTAGCAATTTGAAGTCACCGTTTACTTAGCTACTTTATATTGTCACGGTTCTAAAAAATACAAAAACAAACCGAATTTTACAAAAAACACTGTGTATAGTTTACGCATAGTACAAATTTAAGTACACTTTAACGGCTTAGAACGCGAAAAGTTAGTCAAACTTATTTGAAATTGATTTTAAGTAAGGCCCGACATTTCGGATACTCTGACCACGGCTGTCGCAAAGCATCCGAAACTAACACAGCTAATCGGTTGCTAAAATCTCAATATTAGGATCCATTGTATCAATAATTCTTTTTAATCACAATAATTGCTTGATTACAGGAAATGGCTCGAAGAGATCGCTCTAGCCAACAAACAGGGACGCAAGCCATCCTTGCTCCGCGCCATGACGAAGACGTTTTGGATGAGCTACGCACCTTCCGGCTTCATGTTCCTCGTACAGGCTCTCATCCTCAAGTAATAAACATACTTTGTCATTATCTCATGCAAGTGTAATTGCTTCGACCGTTTACTGCAATATTTTTAATTATTTCACTCCTAGCTTTGTTCCGGGTACACATGTGTATTTCAATAGTTTAAATAGAACTATTAACGGTTTAAAACGCGAAATATAAATTAACTTATTGACATATAATTTTAAAATCGAAAATAAATTGAAAAAATTTTCGACTCGGGCAGGACTTTTGCTCTACCAATTGAGCTAACGAGTCCTACACCTCATCGTCGAATTTTTTCAACTTATTGATACACGGAACGCTGACGATGCCGATTCAAGTCCTGCCCGAGTCGAAAATTTTACCAATTTATTTTCGATTTTAAAATTATATAGTGCCTTCAGGTGCAATAACATGTAAAAAATAATAAAGTTTTCAAACGTTATTAACATATGTTAACTAGACTCGGGCCAAGACAGAACGAGTTAACCAATATATTTCGACTTTTAAACCGTTTAAAGTGTTTAATTTCAATGCGTAATACTTGCTTAAACTACAGTAATTACTTATTTCAACCCAATTAATTACTCATTGTCTGCTTCTAAAAGAAACGCTTTGTCTCTATAGATCTACTAATTGTTAACGTTACTGTTTAAATAAAACACTTTAACGGTTTAAAACGCGATATATTAGTTAAACTTATTTGAAAATTATTTTTAACTTCGGCCCGACGTTAAAAATAATTTTCAAATATCCCCGTGACCACGGCTGCTGCAAAGCATCCGAAACGTCGGGCCGAAGTTAAAAATCATTTTCAAATAAGTTTAACTAATATATCGCGTTTTAAACCGTTAAAGTGTTTTATTTAAATGTGTACTACTCGCGTAAACTATAGACAGTATTTAACGTTACTGTTATTCTTGAAAACAACAACTTTTTTTGTATGTTTGCAATGGCGTTTATTCGGTGGATCAGTTTTCATGGTGTGGGTGGGTAAGATCTACTTAACGCCCCCATACCCCAGCCCTATTCATTCTAAATAAAACATTCCATATATCGAAAGACAAACATAGATCGACAGCACATCCGTTTAGATGTTATATAGCTGTGGTATACCATCAAGTAATCCCTCAGACGGGCTTGCTAGGCTGGATTACGTGATGATTTTTTTTTCAGACCATTCCAACCCGTGGCGTTGAGCATGATGTTGGCCTACTGGGAGCCAGGTTCCACCATGACCTACGAGCAGGCGATCTACTGCGCATCAGCGGTGATCATCATGTCACTACTTATCGCATTCCTGAACCATCACGGCACCTACTCCACTCAACAGTTCGGAATGAAAGTTCGCATTGCTGCTTGCTCCCTTATCTATAGAAAGGTATCCACTATTTTCCATTATTGATTAATATTTCGGTCAGTTGTGCATAGAAGTCTGATAAACTGCTAGCCAATTTAAATAAAACATTTTATTTAAATAAAACACTTTAACGGTTTAAAACGCGATATATTAGTTAAACATATTTGAAAATGATTTTCAACTTCGGCCCGACGTTTCAAACGTGCTTGCGCGACCACGGCTGCTGCAAAGCATCCGAAACGTCGGGCCAAAGTTAAAAATCATTTTCAAATAAGTTTAACTAATATATCGCGTTTTAAACCGTTAAAGTGTTTCATTTAAATGTGTACTACTCGCGTAAACTACAGACAGTATTTAAAACATTTTATACGTAAAATGCGAACTTATTTCCCCCATTTTCCATTCAAACCAGTGAGCCGTAGTTAAAGTGTGTTATTTAATGTAAAAAAAATCCGTGAAACTGACACTAACTACTAAACTATTTAAATTTTCCAAAGTGTTGTAAAGAAATAGAAATAAAAAAAAATACTAATAGAATATACAAGTGTGTATATTTTGTGCGTGTCTTTTGTTTTTACTTGTATCGACGTTTATAAGTGTACCTAGCTACCCTAGACTTTTGACTTAGACTTTTATCATTGCGGTTTTACCTTCGAAAGTATTTTATAGTTATGACTACTTCATGAACCTTCGTTATTCACTCGATTAAAACTTACGTCCGCAAAACTCGACACTGCATCTACGGAAGTGTGTGCCTTATCCACGGAAGCATCGAGATTAATATTTATTATTTTCTTGCCAGGCACAATGACCATTGCCGTGAATCGATTGTGTATTGTTCATTCGTTCCCAGGTAATGCGAATGAGCTCTGGTGCGCTGGCGCAGACCACCGCCGGTCAAGTGGTGAATCTCCTCTCGAACGACGTTAACCGGTTCGACTATGCCTTCATCTACACACACTTCATCTGGCTCCTGCCCCTCCAAGTTATTCTCGTCTGCTACCTCATCTACCTCAAAATCGGTTACGCGGCCATCGTTGGAGTCATTGGCATTGTGCTACAAACAATACCCGTACAATGTGCGCACTTATTTTAATTAGGCTCAAGTTTAAATTTTATAATGAAGTTTCAGCAATAATCATAATTAACGATTTGCAATTAAGATAATTTTTATAACGTCGTTGTCCTTTTAATGATTTTTAAATAACGTCAAAAAGTTTGATAGCGATTGCTTACGTTAAAAATAATTATTGGGTTGATTCTTCTTTGAGAACTACTTTAATTAAAACACTGTGATTGTGGGTTCAAGTCCCGTGCTGATCGTGGATTTAAATAAATCACTTTAACGGTCTAAAACGCGAAATATACTGGTTAAACTTGTTTACAAGAACGGATAGTTTTCTGCAGCCCACAGGGAAACTTTAGACGTAGTTACAAATATTTAGTAAACAAGTCCAACTGTTTTCGTGTTTTAAACCGTTCGTGTTTTTTTTTAATGTTTAATTTGTGATTTAAATTCGTACTACTCGCGTAAACTACAGACAGAGTAATGGATTATCGAGAGAGGCCTAGAAAAGGGTTAAATGCGAGAGGCTCTGATTTTGAATCCCGGGGAAACAGTTTCAATCGATAAGAGAGTTTGTTAATTTTATCAGTGTAAACGATAATCTGCCCTAAGCCTCGCACGAGGGAATCGAGATTTTAGTGTTACCATGTGCAAAAACAGTTGAAACATGCTAATATTTCAATCTAATTAAATATTATTATTACTACAGCATACATGAGCAAATTGGCTGCCCGTCTAAGAATGAAGACTGCCTGCAAAACAGACGAACGAGTCAGGATTATGGACGAAATTATAAACGGAATGCAGGTATTGCTGGAGAAAATACAGATGAGCTTAACTGAATTTATTTATATATACTTCATTGCGTTGATAAAAAAGTAACAAATGAAATTTATATATTAAAATGGAGTACAATTACGTCTTAGCGCCTTTATAAAGTTAATCTTTCTGTAACATGTTGAACATCGTCTGGAAATCTGGATATTAAAATACGAAACTTAATCACGTTTCGATTTCAGTGGATTTCCGAATATCCAAAGTTGACAGAATCTAGTTTAGATGTTATATGGCTGAGGTATTTCAACTTCCCCTGAGCCCCCCTCCCCCCCCCCATGCTTATAAAATAAATCGTGTTTAAAAACGTTCATTTTCGTTTTATATGTATTGATAAAAGTCTGTCTTTTAGGTCATCAAAATGTACGCATGGGAGAAACCGTTTGAACAGGTGGTGGCCTTGGCTCGAAAGAACGAAATCAACTGTATCACATCTGCGTCATATTTGCGAGGAGTGTATCTTAGCTTCATGGTCTTCACCGAGAGACTCACCCTCTACATAACTCTACTTTCGTACTCCCTTTTCGGCTTCCAAGTTACAGCTGACATTGTAAGTATCGTTGTGCAAGGTCTCCTATATACGCCGCGTGCAGCGTAACGCATTACGTCCCGTCAAGATTATTACATCCTATAAGTTAGTGTTCGTGTCAAAGATCAAGTTCTTTATGACAATTGACGTCATCATATGAAGGAGACGGTATTAGTACATTACTACTTGAGATTCCGACCTGTTCGACCGTCGTAATTGAGAAATACCAGTAGTTAACGACATTTCACTGTCACGAATGTATGACGTAATTAGACTAAACGAAGTTCTAACCTGAAGATAGGGCCATCTGAATCTTAAGTAGCCTTATAAAATAGTATGTACAGATACACGACTAGCGGTTGTTATAGGAGACCTCAGCCTAAGATATTACACAGTCCTATTCGAAATTAAGTTAATAGCAATAATATTAAGCCCTTGGTGAGAAATTGCAGTGATATGTATTCCAGGTGTTCCCTCTGGCCCAATTCTACAATACACTACAAGGCACTCTGTCGATTATAATGTCGAATGCCGTATCGTTCTTAGCTGAGGCGCTGATATCCGTACAACGTCTTGAGGCGTTCATGCTCTTGGGTATGTGAGATCGCACAGGTCTCAAACTATATTGGGGCATAACGCATGAGACGCTAAGCATCAAGCTTGTACATAGTTCTTACGAAGAGTCCGATTTATAACTGAGACTCTATTAGCCGTTATTAACATATTCTCTATGCCTTCTACTATACTTACTACCCCTATTACGATAGTAAGCTCGCCTTACTTGTCTAATATAGGATGATGTGTTTGAATTGGATTATTGATGATTCCACAGATTAAATTAACGTACAATATTATAAAAGTACATACGTAACACAAACTTCAATTTCATACTCGTGAACTGTCAAACGTACCGCCCTATATTAGACAAGGTATAGTTATTATTTTGCATGTGACGCGGCGGCCGCAGCGATTAGAGGAAATAATTATGCTTAACAAACTCAAGTCCTGATGTAGGTGAACCAATAATGACAATGTGTGGCTTCCACAGGCTTTCCCGATGGCTCAAATGTTCAACATACTCCAATTGTCAGTAGCTATCATGTTGCCACAAAGCCTTTCCATGTTACTGGAGTCCTATACTTCCATTCGTCGAATACAAGACCTATTGTTATTGGGTACGATTTTTTTAAACAGAAACTTGTTACGTTTTGTTGTTTGTCCAGTTTGAGAAGGTAAAGTGTATGTGTGAGTGCATGTATCTGTTCTAACACCGCTTTTTATATCACTAACATAATCTATGGCTGAACTATATTTAACACTAACTCTTTCCGTTTTTAATTTAAAAACATAATATATTTTACATTTAAAAAAATGTATGATTTGGTCGTTCGGGGTAGCTCAAATGGTATTGGTTGGTTGGTTGGTCCAATTTTTTTTCTAGAATTTTTTTTTTAACTCATGTAAAGCTATCACAAGCAATAAACATTATGAAACAGTAAAAAAACTTTACAACTTTACAATTTACTTTGCTTTCATTAAGTAAGTCGTAAGTGATTTAATGTCTATCAAATTATCTTTGTTGGGTCATGTTGTGTTATTTATATCGTACTGAAAATGGAATAAATTGTTGTGCCATTACTTACCTACTTCTGCAATAAACAGATGAGAGAGAAGATTTACGCAGTGTAGCGGATGTCGACATCGCAAAATTGGTGCAGAAGGTGGAAAATAAGAAACTGAAAAGCTTGAGCGAACAAGATCTCTGCCCAAACACATTCAAAAAAATTGACGAAGAAGGCATTTACAACCCAAGTACGTATTGTAAAAAGATTAATGGGAAAGAAATAGTAAAAATCCACCTATCTATGTCGATTTTTCTAATTTGTAATTTCGATGATTCGAAAAACTAACAGACTGAACAGCGAAAGCCTTTCAAATTGTTTTAAATCTTTTAATTAAAATGATAAAATATACAAAACAAATTTTTAACATGTAAATGAAACATTTTAACGGTTTAAAACGCGATATATATTTGTTAAACTCATTTGCAAAAATATTTTAACTACGTCCCCGTCTTTTATGCGGCGGCCGAGGTCACGGGGAGACGTCGGGACGTAGTTAAAATATTTTTCAAATAAGTTTAACAAATATATATCGCGTTTTCAACCGTTGTTTTACAGTACATTTATATGGAAAAGTAAAAATTCAATTTATTTCTTAAGTTAATTGATTTCCATTCTAGGTTTCGACTGCAACGAAAAGGGACTGATGCCCCAGTCCCAGGGCACAATGACTGTCAGCTCCGACGTAGGTGTTCTCATCCAGGACGTATCAGCTAATTGGATTGAAGGCGGTTCTGTGACACTTCGTAACATTAACATCAGTATTCCTAAAGGAAAACTGTGTGCAATCATTGGCGCCGTCGGATCTGGAAAAGTAAGTTTTTTAAATGTCTCATCACAAACAAATAAACAAAAACTATAATTGAGGCTGCTAAAGGCAGAGTGGCCTAATAACAAAAAAATAAGGAGGTAAATAAAAATGCCAATTAACTTAGGCGAAATTGAATTTGTACTATTATTTGTGTAAGAATTATGTTAATAATTTTCGGTCATTGTGCTCTTGTAGATTAACATTTTTAGACTATGAAAATATTAATAACTCAAGTTATAAAAGTGCACTTAGGCTACTCTGCCTCTAGCGGCCTTAATATAGCCTAAGTAATTAGTAAGAATGTCAATTTAATTTGTAACTAATGTCAAATATAAAATATACTTTTTATGATAAATATTTAGAAGGAGCCTATACTCGTAAAATTTATGAAAGACACTTTGCGTCCTTCGTTGCGATACTAGAAAAAATAACAAAAATACTAACGAAATTCTTTATCGACATTCTAAGCTTCTTTAAGTAGAAGTTCCTGGAAAAATATAAAATAACCAACATACATTTGATAAATTTACCTAAATTGAAATAAACGCAATCACTAAAAGAAATGCAGAGATGTGCCTCTCATAGTTACATTACCCTTTTTAAAAAAGAAACGTAAAATATTCGATGTCGTCTTCTAGAGTTCCATTTTACAACTTCTTCTGAATGAGCTTCGTGCTACAAAAGGTCGTCTGTATCTGTCTGGACCCCTTTCCTACGCTTGTCAAGAACCTTGGTTATTCGTCGCGACTGTGCGACAGAACATCTTATTTGGACTTCCGTACAACGCTAAAAAATACAAAGAGGTAAGTTTATTGCACAGACCAGTAAATCGAAGCTTTATCTCTCGTCGCTGTTTTAATGCCTAGTAGTATTAAACCGTTAAATTGTTTACCTTAAACTTATTTACAAAATATTTTAACTACGACCTGACATTTCGGATGTTCTTTAAATAAGTTTAACTTCTTTATTTATTTTGTAATTTAATACCTATGTATGTAACATAGTCATAGTAAACAAAATTTAAGTTTGCGATAGATATTCATAGAAAGATTACGACTCGACGGAATGCCCCAATTTATCGCGTTTAAAACCGTTAAAATGTATTTTATGTGTATAACTCAACCTAAACACATTCCTTACATGTGCTCTTTTTCTAACGTCAGGTTGTAAGGGTGTGCGCCCTGCAGAAAGATTTTCAACAATTCCCTCATGGTGACCAGACCCTGGTTGGCGAAAGGGGTGCTTCTCTATCTGGGGGTCAAAGGGCTCGAATTAATTTAGCGAGAGCTGTGTACAGACAAGTAAGTTAATGTTCTTTATTATCTATACCTAGTTATGCATACATATTCTTTTAAAACCAACTGAAATACCGTTGGAAGACAGGCTCAGTGGTTTAATGTTAGCAATGCATGCAATAAACGGGTTGGTGTTCGATACCTACCGAAGCCAACATTTTTCCAATCAATTTTCAACAAAATTTTATTTAAAACATGTAGCACTTCGTCTGTAAATTTGGATATTAAATTGATGGTAAGAATATCAAAATTTTGTCAAGGTCACAAACTCGACCACAGAATGAAGCACTTTAACGCTTTTAACGAAGTTAAAAATCATTTTCAAATAAGTTTAACTAATATGTCGCGTTTTAAACCGTTAAAGTGTTTTATTTGAATGTGCACTGCTCGCGTAAACTATAGACAGTATTCAACCACAGATGAAAAAGCCGTGATGTTAATCGCGTTTCTGTTTTAATCTGGGGATTTCCGAATATCCAAAGTCAAAAGAGATCGACAGCGCGTCTCGTTTAGAAGCGTATTCACCTGCCATGTAAAAAAAATAGGAAGAGCTAAATATTCGTTAAAAAGCATGTTGGAACCAAATTGACACACATTGTATGTACACATCAACAGGCAGACATCTATCTATTAGACGACCCGCTTTCGGCCGTGGACGCACACGTCGGGCGTCAGTTGTTCGACGAATGCATTAGTGGGTACCTACGTCACACAACCAGAATTCTCGTCACCCACCAGCTGCATTATCTTAAAGCGGCCGACTACATCATTATCATGAATAACGTAAGTATTTTATCATTTTGATATTTCAAAGCGCGACACGAAAGTCCACTTCAAAATTATTTCCGCGAAAGTTAAATAGAATAATTACTTCTGTATTTCACTTCTTGGAAATTATCAGTTCTTGGAATTTATTGTGAAAATATTAGATGTATTTCCTTAAACGTGACTTACCGAGAAACCCTTCTCGTTAAAAGAGGAAAATGTTAACTATATTTTTCTAATAATCCATTTAAATGTTATGCATACATGAACCGCCTCATTAGCAAAGGGTTAAACGTTTTACATAAGGTTGCATTAACAATCTGGGTTCTCATCCTGAGGGCACAATATTGTTTCGGTCGGGCAGAGCACAGATCTGATAAACTACTTGCCTGTAAAAGAACAGATGAGTGATAACACAGAATTGGGTTCGCTTTACGCCCCATGAGGGAAAACAGAATTTCACTTTTAAAATAAACACTTTAACTGTTTAAAACGCGATATATATTACTTAAATGTATGAGAAACTTATTTGAATTACGACCTACGACTACGGTCTCTCTGTGACATTACTGTGATGTTACATTAAATTATCTTACAAGTACATAATGATACATTACGATATTGAAATTGGTGTAATTACATCCACTTTACTTGCAAATATGTTATAAAAAATATTACAGTTTAAAAAAAGACAATTCATTCAACCTTTAAGTCTTATCATCGTTGAAAAACATAAGTGTTTTTCTATTTTCTTATACGACTAGCAAAATATGTTATTTACGATGTGTGTACGTTAATATTTGTTTGTTATACAGGGTGCTGTAGATGCGAAGGGAACGTATAATGAACTCACGCACTCGGGCAAGGATTTTGCGAAACTACTATCGGCGGTTCAAGAAGAAGACAAACCAGAGGTGGAAAAACCAGCTCCGATGTCTAGAAGAACATCTGCTAGGGTAAGACACGCCTTATTTTTGGCTAAAACCATAGGTCCATTTCATTTCAATAAATGCTTTATTTTAGTTTTAAGACTATTTATAAATTGCATTCAAAACTTTTCGGTCTAAACAGTAATTAACAAATTAGTAATCTACTGAGATTCACAAAATGAAAATAACGACAGGGGGGGGGGGCTTAAAGCTGCATCCACAGCGTTCGGTGTTGCTTGGTACTTGTCCTTCAACTTTATCGTTGGACATTCTGTATAAGCCATACTAAATGAGCAAATAATTCTGACAATAACATAGTGATTATTTACCAATTTCCTTTAGCCTGGTATCTCAGAACTGTCAATAGTACCTATTATGACACCATTAAATAATAGTAAACTCTATGCACTACGATCATTTGCAAGAACCTATTACTGTAAACATACATAATTGCGAAAAATCATTATATATTTAAAAAAAGTACCAAATTTTCTAACTTTTGAATAATACAATAAAAAATATGAACAAAACATAGCATGTTCATACGATCATCATTTTCTATTGTAGTTGTCCACAACACGCCGACCGTCTTTGGCTGAATCTACCACTGAAGGGCCAGCGCAAGAAATGGAAGAAGAAGAAAGAGAATCTGGTTCTATGGGTTGGCACGTGTACGGAGCGTATTTGCGAGCCGGGGGGAAAACTGGGCGGCTTCTTTTCATGGTCTTCCTTCTTGTCATCGGCCAGCTATCAGCTACGCTATGTGACTACTGGGTGACAATTTGGTGAGGCATCACGTCATTACAATTAAAATATATTATGCAGAAGCAGTTAAAATCCTGTCTTCCGTAATACCATCTTGAATAAATTAAAAATAAAAAGTCACTTTGAAAACGAAAAGTTTCTCTTCTATATTATTAATTCGCAGTAGGTAGCGTAGGGCTGCCAGGTGGTAATGCGCCACAAATTCCAAGAAACACCAAACACAGATTTTTTTCACATTTTTAAACTGTCCATGTTTGGAACCTCACATAAGTTATAACCTTCTTGATAAGGGCCCTATTTTTCTTTATGTATGAGGCGGCCCCTCTTCATCTAGCTACACTACTGTTATGAACAATCTACCTGGATCTATAAACATACACAAATAACACATATTTTTTGACTAGCGTGCAGACAACCAGAAAACGTTGAAGTAAAGCTATCCTACATCTATACAAATAAGAATTACAACTGTTTCATTTACTTCAGGACAAACGAAGTAACGCGCCTGAAAGAAAGAGAGTCAAACGGCACGAACAAGGAGTACGCAAGCACGGTTACGACCCCAGAAAACAGCACATTCAGCTTTACAAGTTACTTTAATGGAATTGAAGCTGAACCAAGTACGTATATATATGAAAGAATAATTCTTCTTCAAATTATCAAAAATACCGCGCGTTATATGTCTATTTTTTTAAACTAACTTGCAAGAACGACGGTGTCGAACTCGCGGGTAACAGCAAGTTTATAATAAAAACTCAATTGGCTGAAATCTGTGCTCGGATTCGATTGCCGTACATTTATTACTTCTTTTTTTTTAATTTATTTTGTACACAAAAACCAATATACAATTAAAAAAAGAAAGAGTTTTTTATCTGTTACTTGAGTCACATAGACTCAATATTAACTAAAATTAACAATATAATAAAGGTACATTCCAAAAGTTAACTAATATATAACTACCTAGCATAAAAAAGCGAAAGCCCGTTTCCCCCTCGTGGGGCATGGGGCGAACAGGTTTTTTGTGTCCGTTTCACTGATCCGTTCTTTTAACGGGCAAGTAGTTGATCAGACTTCTGTGCCCTGCCCGACCGAAACAATGTTTCCCTGGGATTCGAACCCAGAACCTCCCGCGCTTAACTCTAACGCAAGGCGGTCCCTAGTATAAAACGGCTTAAATATTGCCTTGCTTCTTCCCGGATCTTTTACTACTTACTTTTACTTTTACTACGTATTCATCTAACTCGTTCAGAAGTAAGGGCAATAGATAAGTTATATAATATTCGTGTTTATTTTGAACTAACTAGTTTAATCTCTTTCAGATCTAAACATCCACGCGTACATCGGGCCTTTAGACACCGCTCAGTACCTGTATGTGTACACGGCACTTATTATCTGCTGCATATTCTTCATAACCGCGCGGGCTTTTATGTTTTTCAAAGTCTGCATGACGGCGTCTCGCAACCTTCACAACAACATGTTCCATTCAATGCTCCGCGGCGTTATGCGTTTCTTCGATACGAACTCTTCAGGTAATATTTTAGTGGAAAATGGCTACAATGGTTTTCGAGTTCTCGAAAAAATATGTATATCTGCTGATAATGATGATAAGAAGTAAGAAGTTTTTGTTTAAGGGGCTTTAATCATCAATGTCATGGGGTCATGGCACCCCATAAAACTTAATAATGACAATATTACTACAATAATATGAATAAGTTAAAACTAAACACTGTTTATAGTTCACGCGAGTAGTACACATATAAATAACACACTTTAACGGTTTAAAACGCGATATATTAGTTAAACTGAAACGTCGGGCCGAAGTTAAAAATCATTTTCAAATAAGTTTAACTAATATATCGCCTTTTAGTGTTAAAGTGTTTTATTTAAACGTTAAAACTATCTAAAAATTGGAATTATAAGTTTAATTTTATCCTAGATAGGATAGCTAAGATACTACTATACCAAACCTTAACATTCTGAAAAAGTAGCGTAAGTCCACATTAGGAACGCTAATTTCATATCTTAACCTATTTTAGGGTTCCGTTACTAAGAGGTTTAAAGACGGCTAATAGCAAAGAAACTTTCGTGCGCAAGTACGACTCGCACTTAACCCGATATTAAGTAGTTCATATAAAAACACTTTAAACGGTTTAAAACGCAAAATATACGGCGATCGTGGTCACGGAAGGAATGGTACGAAGCATCCGAAACGGCTGCGTAGGGACGCACCTAGTTAAATAAATTAAATAAAATGTACGAATATATTTCGCCGCACCCTTTGTGTGCGGAACTCTAATATACGTTGTTTTAATTTGACTAATTTCTTCATGTAGTACTTAGCAATATTACAAGTTACTGTAAAAGATTTTCTAATTTAACGATTATCTTTATTCCAGGTCGAATCCTCAACCGTTTCTCAAAAGACATCGGTGCCCTGGACGAACTGTTACCACGTTTCTTGTTGGAATGCATACAAATTTACCTGGTCATGTTTAGTATCCTGGCCCTCAACGCTGCTGCTCTAGTGTGGACATTGCTCCCGACTACCATCATCCTTCTTCTATTCTACACTATTCTTCAAATTTACTTGAAATCAGCTCAATCTATTAAGCGGTTAGAGGGAACAAGTGAGTATCTAAAATTAAATGATATTTCGTTTTCTTAAAAATAATTGACTATCTACATTAAAGAGTTAGTGCAAAGGCTTATTGCCTATGGCGATTGCTTCCAGACAATCTTTGTATACAGAAAAGGAAAACAAATTAACAATAAAAGAATGAAAATCATCAAGAATGGGAGAGAACGTGCAATAAATTCTAACTTACAAAGATATCAAATACTAACACGACAAAGATTGTGAACACACTTAAACAATAAAAACTGATTGTGTTTTTCAAAGATAAAATTTTATAACTCAATAAAAGTACAAGAATATAAAATAAATACTGAACAATAATATATTATTAAAGCTAATTGTTTAGTCGGGTTCGTTTGCTAAGATTCTAAGGCGTTTGTCAATCATTTGAAATTTTCTAAACATGTGAAAACCGGGACACTAAATGGAACGATCGTAATTCCGCCCGGGTCTCGAACCACCGCCCACAGGTATAAAAGGCGTAAAATATAAATCCGTGATCCGCTTTTATTCTTTAGAGTTATGCCCAAAGCCAAATAAGTCGATAGTGCATCTTGTTTAGCACCTTCACTTATCCCCAAGATATTATCTGTGGGCTGAAACCTTGTAAAATGATTTTAATAAAATACTTCAACTTTCCGCTTTGCAGCAGTGGTGGTCAGGGGGATTTTTTAATAGAAGTAATTTATATATAAGTTAATATATTTCGCGTTTTAAAGTGTTTTATTTAAATGTGAATTACTCGTGTAAACTACAGACAATACTTAATCTCTTAAATCTCGTCAACAGCTCGAAGTCCTGTATTCTCCCACATGGCAGCAACGCTGAATGGTATAAGCACTATCAGATCTTCGGGTGCTCAGCAAAGACTGATTCAGGAATTCGACCGGTTCCAAGTAAGCATTATTTTTCTCATAATTTGATATATGGGCGTACTCCTTAACCTGCCTTCAATTTTCTTTTGAATAGCCGTGTAGGTGTTTATGCGACATTCGTTTGAATATATGTCATTTAACAGGATATCCACACTTCGACCTGGAGCAGTTACTTAGCAAGTGGAGTAACTCTTGGTTTCTGGTTGGATATCATTTGCGTTCTCTACTTGGCTATTGTGATTATCGCCTTCCTCGTTATCGACAGCAGTAAGTAATCTAAACTTTAGTACCATATACATAACCATACTTATTTATTTTTTATTTAATAACCATACTTCGCAAAGTATTAGTAGTAAATTATATACTCTATGCACGTACAGAAGTTCTTATTGCGTCAGGTTTACTTTGGTTTTCTCTAGGAAGCCTTATAAAGACTCATGCATATAAATATAACTAAGCAAGTCTTAGACTATCCTACTACTGATCCTAAGATAGTCTAATTATAACTAAAGAATGCCGCATTAATGATTTTATGAAACAGCTTTAACGGTTTGAAGCGCGAAGTACATTAGTATCTGCTCGTGTGAATTGTTCGCGGGCTTAATTCATATAATTATTTGCAATTAGCTGTGTCAGCGTCAACGTCTGGGTAAAGTAGTCATTTTGGACATCACAATTTGTTTTTGCAAATCTCCTATTCCTTTACAATTTTAAGCTATTACCCACCACGTCGGTCACGGTCGTACTTGCAAGTACATATAGTGTCGCGGTTCAGCTTTATATATTAGTACAGATTGCAAAGCACAAAGTTCAATTGATAAATATTTCCAGAAACCATATTCTCCGGAAACGTAGGTTTGGCAATATCGCAAACCCTCATTTTGACTGGGATGCTCCAATTCGGGGTCCGACAGACCGCAGAAGTTATATCGCAAATGACAAGTGTTGAGCGCATATTGCAATACACGCACATTGAACGGGAAGCACAATGGGACAAAGGAGGTAATATTATTTGTTTAAATAAAACACTTTAACAGTTTAAAACGCGATATATTAGTTAAACTGATTTGAAACTGTCACGGGGAGACTGACCACGGCTGCTGCAAAGCATCCGAAACGTCGGACTGAAGTTAAAAATCATTTTCAATAAGTTTAACTAATATATCGCGTTTTAAACCGTTTTATTTAAATGTGTACTACTCGCGTAAACTATAGACAGTATTTAATATTATTTGTTTATTCATTTAGGAAAAGACACAGTTCCTTAATAAGTTTTACTGTGAGAAATATGTTAAAAAACATTTCAAGGTGAAACAATGTCTCCTACAATACAACAAAACATTTGTCATAAATGTTATAGTTCGATGATATAATTGAAGCAATTTATGGCTAGTAATGTAAGTGCAACGGGTTGCGTGGCTTCGGTCCTCACGGGGGCCAACATTTTTCAAATCAATGTATTATTTTTCTGAAGCATGTTGGTGTTCGTCTGGAAATCTGGACATTAAATCGGTTGTAGGGATATCTAAATTCCGTCCGGGTCACGAACCACCATCCACAGATGAATGTTAATATTTAATTGCGTGTGGGTTGCAGTCTGTGGATTTCAGAATGTCCAAAGCTAAACCAGGTCGATAATGCATCTTGTTAGATATTATATATATGGGATGTAACCATCGAGTGATTCTCTCTTATAAAACCTACCACACCTCTAACTTACGCGATGATTTTTACAAAACGTTTGACTTGACGTATGTAAGTCTGTTTAATTGGACAAGATTTTAAACAACTATTTCTTTTCAGTCCAAGAAACGCCAAAAGACTGGCCCTCCAAAGGCCGCATAACATTCAGGAACTGTTTTATGAAATACAGCCCAGAGGACTTGCCCATATTGAAAAATTTGAATTTGGTTCTAGAAAGCGGTTGGAAGGTACGTGTCAAAAATTAACTGTAATTTTTTTTTTATCTTAGAAACAATAGAGCTGTGCATTAACATATTACAAGAATTATTATTGTAATACGTTGGAGCACAGACGAAAAAGCCGTAAAATTTAATGCTTTGCGAGATTATATGAATTAAAAAAGAAATCGAATTACAAATAATTTAAGTCTACTTTTAAATTATTAGCTTAAATGGTGTAACAGAAAGGTTCGCTATCTTAGGTTCGACTCTCGTCCAATTTTGTTATCAAAAATAATAATAACTTAATTATTTAAAAGGTTTAAGTTCAAAATTATCTTCCCCAACTAGTGTGTAGAAAGTACAAAGCTGGATTAAGAAAAGTCGTTGATGTCGGCTGGACATGGTAGCTCAATTGTTAGAGCATGGTCGTGGGTTCGAGTCCAGTGTCTTTTTTATCGTTATATATTTATAAGATGCACATTTTCAGGTCGGTATTGTGGGAAGAACCGGTGCCGGGAAATCGTCACTCATTTCTTCTTTATTCCGGCTAGCAATTGTGGAGGGTGAAATTCTTATCGACGATGTGGATACAGGAAATCTAGCACTTCAGGTGGGCTTCTAGTCTAGTATTACTGACACCAACTAATAACTTAATAGTAATTTTGATAGGCTAGGTTATTCACCCTCTGATCGAAGGTATACCTAATAGGCAACAACAAGATTTATACTTCCACCAGGTCTATCATTTTTGTCAATCGTCTTTGATTTTAGGTTTGGAAAATATGCTAGATGTCCGACACCAAAATAAGTCGTCAACACATGTTCATTAAATGTACTAAGGCATTTTAACTTCCAGCACTTGAATCCTAAACTTATCTATTATATTTTCTTTTTCAGGAATTGCGATCTAAAATATCCATTATACCTCAAGAACCAGTTCTGTTTTCGGCAACGATCCGGTACAACCTGGATCCATTTGATAGTTACGAAGACGATCATTTGTGGCGAGCCTTAGAAGCTGTAAGTCATTTTAAATTTTGCTCTATAATTATATGCTATGTATGCTTAATATTAATATAAATAAAATACAGGTGGATTTAAAAGCAGCCATACCTTCGCTGGACTTCAAAGTATCTGAAGGAGGATCCAACTTCTCTCTAGGACAAAGGCAGCTAGTGTGTCTCGCTCGAGCTATCTTGCGAGGGAACAGGATTCTTGTATTGGATGAAGCTACAGCTAATGTAGACCCGAAGTAAGTTAATTTTGTAGTACATTTAAAAGTATAAAAATATATATACAATATGTTACAAGTTTACACATCATGTGTTAAAAAAAATATTTTTTAAAAATCTAAAATAGATTTTAACTTTACTTAAAAGGTGAGTATATAAATTCTTCGTCTATGATTATTTAAGCTGCAAAGTACAGAACTTTAAATTTCAATAAGTAAGTGTTAAGGTTGAAAATTTATTTGAGGGGTGCACTTATTAAAGAAATTCGACGACAACGATGACGAACGAGATACGGTAGCTCAACTGAGCCAGCGCGGATCACTGTGGCATGCACAAATCAAATTTTAATTTGAATTCCAAAAAACAGCATGATATGAACAGTGCAAAGTTTATTCAACCTCCGAATAATCGATGTTGCTAAAATAACATTTTTATTCTAGAACGGATGAGTTCATCCAGAAGACTATAAGGAAACGGTTCGCCGACTGTACAGTGTTGACAGTAGCCCATCGACTGAACACCATTATGGACTCCGATCGTGTCATGGTGATGGACGCGGGGCGACTCGTGGAATTCGACCACCCTTACAAACTATTGAGCAACCCAGAATCACACTTTACAAAAATGGTGAATGAAACAAGTGACAAAATGTCGTCACAGCTGTATGAAATCGCTAAAAAAACCTTCCTGGACAGCGGTGGGATAATAGAATAGCGAGTTTATATGTAGTCCTAGTTTAATCAATATGATAGAAGATAGGTACTTAGCTTGCTTCTGTATCCAAAAAAATAAAGAACAACCCAGGTGTAATTTGTCACCACCACTTTTCAACCAAAATTTCAACACTAGATTGCAATAATGTAACCGATTTGCCATCTTGTTCATCAAAGTTTCTCCAAAATGGAATTCTGACGTCAAGGTTTCTGGTTTGTTGAATATTGTAATCCTAAATCCTATCTTTATCAAGCTCCTAAAAGTAATTATTAATTTATAACACAAAGAATAAAATTATTGTTGCCATGTGTTTAAGAATAAGTATATTTTTATAATGTTGTTGTACAGTTAATTCTTGATTAGTTTAAATAAGTAATTCTTAATTTAATAAATATTTAGATGATAGATTCACACGCTCGAGGTCGTAATTATTTTTAATTGCATTTTAAACTAGACAAAATAGGTTGCGACCTTGGGTATTGGCATTGTAAATAGTCACATAGTAATTTAAAAACTGACTACACAATAAGAGAAGGTGCTAAATGCGGTATTTGTCTTGTTCACAAATATTTCCCATCTGAGATTTCCGTAGACTAAATAGTATAATTTTAACATAATCAAGACGCAGGACCACAATAAAATTATCTGTAAGTGAAATCATGAAACCGTCATTCGATAGCATCCTTAGTATTGTTATTTTATTTTAAAACAAGTATTTTGAATGAGGTTAACGTTAATTGCGATTGCCATAGAGGAAAGCCTCATAAATAAAGTTTAGCTTTGAATTAACCTTTTATTTCTAACCCTTGATATAAATGTTATATTACCTATAATTTTTATGTGTGCCCAGACAAGTATTTATTTCTACACGAATTAAGAGGACAAATTTAACACGCTTAGTAAATCAAACCTAAATTTATTGATAAATTCATGTAAAGCAAAAAATTAAAGCACTCAATGAAAACAACTTTTCACATTAGTAGTTTAAATGCATTGGAGTATAATTTTATTTTCAACCAAATTTAAAACAGTATTTAGCTTGCCAGTATTTGCTCGCTTATGATTATCATGCTATACAAAAACTAAGCCAAATTTGTAAAAAAAAAACTATATTCATAACATGTAAATATTAATTACTTCCTAGATCTTTGGAATGTGTGATGTGTAGTATTATTAAATATAACTGAAATTTAATCAGCAAAACAGAAAAAACTCTGAACTATAAGATCTACAATTCTTAAAAAATATATTCAAATATACATATAAATGCCATCTACAGAATATATTTCATAATTATATTATAAACACACAGTTTTTAATAAGTTAGGCATCCTACTAAATTACCAACATTGAACATAATACCTAGCATATTGAGAAATTAACTGCCCTGGTTAACACTATTAAATATTAAGGAGGCTACCTATTCTATATCAGGCAAGTCATCATCTTCAACGGAAGTAGTATCATCTGTCACAACATCATCGACAAAGTCACCCATTTTGTTAGAAAACATATCATCCATTGTTTCATCACCACTTTCTTCTTCATCTTGCCATCTATGAAAGTCAACTCTAAGCCAATGATGCTTTTTCTTGTCACTTGTTAGGGCTGGCCAGAAAGACTCATTAGTGTTTTCCTTAGCTAGAACGAGTTCAATTAATCTTCCTTTGTTTACTTGAGTACTTTTTTCGGGGTTTATTTCGGCGTAAAGGGGTATTTCGACTTCGTACATCTTTTGTTCTGGAGCACCTGTGCCTTTAAATGACACCAGTTTATTTTCAATTTTAATATCTGGTTTCTCACACTCAATGTTGAAAGTTAAAAAGATGCACGATGTCTGTTGGGCCCAGCTGACGGGAGGGGGAGTTACAGTGGCTGTACCAGAACCCATTTTATGAGCTATATATAGCTTATAGATTACCACTCTATAAATGACTTCGTTGATAAGTTTTCGTGTTTAACTTAAAATTAGTCCCAAATAATATTGTTTGGTTTTGTATGTGGAAAAATAGTACAACAAGAATAAATTCTTTCAAAGCGAAAGACGATTCAAAATTGATTATTAAATTGTCAACGTCAAGTTGATTTATGTTGGTCGTAGACTATACAAAATAAATCCACATTTATTGGTTACAGACCACAGATAAACTCAAAGCAACGGTTACTTTGTAGTTTAAATGTAAACATCCTATTATGGAATCCTGGGAAAAACAAATTAGTGTAACACTTACTTGTGAGTGTAGTTATCTTTATTAGACACAAGGTGTGCCTGTAATCTTGTCATTATGGGTTATGTTATCATTAATTCTTTGCATAAGGCGGATGCTCCTCAGGTTTATCAAATATAGCTGCAACCAAACGGGCAACGGGCGTCAGTACAGCTTGTTTTGATTATATATGGGGACAGACAAGCATGGCGTTCACTTTATTTTCAGTCGTATTACATTTGATTACTCCCAATATCCAAAGCCAAAATAGATCGGCGGCGCATCTTGTGTAGGTTTTATATGGCTGGGGTATATCACGTTCCATAAAGGGAACCTCATGCTTATCTGTCCCCCGTCTATCGTTAAAAAAAAATCCGGTAATCCACAGACTGATCGGATATTCCTAATACATTACATATCCAGATTTCCAAACGAAGTACAAGTTGCAGAAAAATTATAAATTGATTAGAAACATATAGACCCGGTGAGGTTAAACCCACGACCCGTTGATTGTAAGAGTAACATTACTACACTTAGACCACCGAGCCTCTGATAATAAAATCTATAACGGATTTGCTTTTGATAATCCTAACTCGTGAATATTGATCATTCCGTCAACTGAAACAAAACTTATCTAACCTAATATGTAAGTAGAAACAGTTCCTTCTATTCTTTCTCTCTATATTTCATTAAACGGTGGCACATGTTATTTCTGCCTCTAAACCCAAAATGGAAACCCTCTCACTCACTAAGTAAAACTACGTTTCTAAGTATTTATTTGGGTTAATGACCTAGATGGAAAATAAGGCAAAGTAGCAATTGAAACTTAATTCACACTAGAAATCTATTCGAAAACTTAAAAGTATTTAAAAATAAAATACGAAGTCTAGAAACTATGCTCTGTCATCTGACCATGTTACCATTATACTTACCTTATCCATATAAAAAATATCAATTTGACACTAGTGACGTCACAAGATGTCTCCACTGAGCACCTAATATAAGACAGACATTATAAAACTGAAAATATGTCCACATAATACAATAAACCAATCAAAGCAATGAACACCTTTCCAAAAGTACAAGTATAAATGAAATTCAAATTCAACATGGGCGTAGCTGAAAAGACATCTTCATCAGCGCTTGCTAAAAGCGCATCCGGTGCTAAGAAGGGAAGCCGTTCCAGCGCAAAAAAGCCGGAACCAATAAACTTCTATGACCCGAAGGTCCAAGGGATCATGTTGGTGGGGCTCCTAGCGGTGTTGGCTCTGGCGCTATGGCTCGGTTTCAAAAACGGTTGCTTTGGGGGTCGTCGCCGCCGTAGAAGACGCTACTCAAATTGCTCTTGGTAACTAACTCATTAATTTATTTAATTAAAACACTTTTAACGGCTCAGAACGCATATATTTCAGTTTCCTGATTTTGACTACGGCCCGACGTTTCAGTTACTTTTTTGTTTGAAACCGTTAAGTGTTTTATTTAAACGTGTGCAGACAATACCTACTGTGAGCGGAGAGAGCGTGTGGGTTTAGTAGTTCGTGCTACTTAACTCGACTTAACCGATCGTCGATTCCCGATCGTGAACGAAACATTTTAAAAATTGTCCGTTGAAGTCAAACATCATGAACATACCCACATAGCACTTAGTCCCACTTGTATCTACCCACGATTTGACCCTATAGCATATTTAAGAACTCTCTTATTTTTTTTCAGTGATTAAATCATTAAAACACAGTTAAACGCCACTTATATATTTTTGTTCCAAGCATGATAAGCTTCCTAAAGTCATAATACATCGTTTTTCTCAGTCTAGTCATTATGTGTAAATTTATTCTGCATTTATAATATTAATATCCCTTAAACTGCGCGTGTGGTCCCGGTTAATATTAATATAGTGGCACTCGTTTAGATCCGCCGGCCCGCACTGGAACAGCGTGGTGTGTTGGGGTTTAGGCCGCCCAATGCCACTTATGAGAGTCAAAGGTTCTAGAGCAGGGATGCACAGACTTATTAAGATCACTCGGTCAAATCGTGAACTAATGGCGGGCCGCTAGGAGTATAGGTAATTAAAGACAATAAAGAATTGATAATAATGTATTAAAATGGAAAAAGAATTTATTAATTTGAGTATTATTTTTGCTGTCGGCGGGCCGACATGCATCTATGCATCTCTGTCTAGAGTGAGACAAAGAATGAAACGATGAAACGTGCTTAGTAACAATTTTACTTTTAACGCTGGATCCACTTTTACAGAAGTACATGGCGCAAAAAAATAGAAAGTGCTGATTGTCCACACCTGAAAACGAAAATATTTTTTTAATTCCTGACATTTTTTAATAAATCTTTATTTCAAATACATATTGTTTATGTTTGTTCCTAAAATACAATAAATTATCTAGATTTTTTCTAAATATATACTATATATAGCGCATTACAATTGCACTAACGGAACGAAGTTACAGCTAAAAGAAGGTAGTTTTATAAGCCCGAAATATCTAACCTTGCATCTAAAGAACCACATAGTTATATAAAAGGGGGAATTATAAAAATTACCGTTTAGTTAAGTGTCTCGGGCTCATCCCAGGTTCCGTAATCATTGTCCCAGTCAGAGCTTACATTCTCTGCTTGCTCCGTCGAAGTCTTATTGACACTATCATCTGTGGAAATTAATGAGTCTTGATCGTAAAGAAAACGAAAAATTCGGAAATAAACCCCCCCCCCCAAAAAACTGATGAATGCATGCTTAGATCCAATTTCACCAAGTAATAGCATATATTTAAAGCTTACTGTTTAACTTCAATAACTTTAATTGATGACATTATATTTTGGTGAAACTCAATGTTTTTGTTTTAACAATGTACATAAAGTAGCAATTTATTGAATGCGCTTTGTGCAGTACCTCTCCTGTCTTCTTGGTCTTCAATAGGCGGCAGTTTCTCCAATTCCACGTCGAGTGCAAGCAGTAGGTCACCTAAGACCGAACACATTGCTTGACCACTCAAATAATTCATCGAAAAATAACACTGAATAAGAGGAATACTTAAAAAATAATAACAAGATAAAGTTAAAATAAATCAGGCGAAGCATGAAAAAAGCATACTTTGATGTGTAAATGAAGGTAGACAGACAGCAAGCAAATATGTAGGTGGGAACAAAACATAGACTTTTCGATTTAAAAAAAAAAACGATATTCAATATGAGCCCACTACTAACGAATAATATTTAAAACGATTCAAAAATTTTCTCAAAACCCACATAGGCCGAAGTTCAATGACAAAACTTATGTGCTAAAGCCGCATAACTTTGGTAATAATATAGTAGGGGTACCTTCAGCGACGGCGGAGGCCTTTGGCATTGCATCTGTAACATAAAAATCATTAAAATAAACAAAGAGGGACCACAATATTCTTAATTTTATTTCTTACTAGCTGTTTCAGCGACTTCGTCCGCGATAATCGATGTTTTGCATCCAAAATAGTTTTTGCAAACCCCTTCATCTTTATAAACTTACGCTATTACCCACAACGTAATCTTAAAAGATAGACATAGGAGTGGAATCATTCTTTCGTACATATTTTTGTGTATCTTGAACCTTTTTTGCAGCATACGCCTCGGAAACCCATAATAATGAACAATTCTCCCGGTTTTTTTTCACATATCTCGTATCTTCGTTTGTATTAGTCATAGAACAGCCTTCCTCGATAAATGTTCTAACCAACACAAAAACATTTTTTTAATCGAACCATTAGTTCCTGCGATTTGCGCCTTCAAACAAACAAACTCTTCATCTTTATATATTAGTATAGATATAACATTTGAGTTGCTTAAAATATAACAAATCAAATATTAAAAGATACTTGATTTGTAATTAAGAGAGCCATATTTTCTTCTAACTTCGTCGGGAGAAGAAATATCGAAATTCCAAAATCGTGTACAACCTCTCCGTCTGTGGATTTCTCAATATGAAGCCAAAATAAGCCGACAGCACATCAGGTTTGATGGCGTAGTGCAAATTGATACAAACCATTTCCCGTTTGTTCGCCCTTCATCATCCTTAAGATGTGCTGCTTCTCCTTGTTCAAATGTTTCTTCCCGTTCAAATGTAAAGTCATTTGTTCTGAACAAGTGACAAATGTCTGAAATGGGTGCACAATATATATAGCTTAATAGTAGTAGTAAGTAGGTGTAGTTCAAATAATTTTCAAATAAGTATATCGCGTTTTAAACCGTCAAAGTGTTTGATTTATATGTTCTAGTTAAATATTCACATGAACTTAATGTAAAGTAGTGCGAATTTAAATGCATAAAACAAAATCTCGAGTACAAAGCCCGAGGTCCAGGCTTTGCATCTCGGGGCGAATCGAAGTGTTTTGACCCCTCGGTATTTTACTAAAAACATACTTGTACCATGGTTTTTAACGCTAATTTAATCGAAAAGCCTTCCCCCAACCCAGAATGGAGCATAGGAGGTGGTGGTTCAAAACCCTCTCTTCCATGCGACATTAAATGGTTGAACGATTAGTTTTTTTTTATGCTACAAACCTTACAAATCGCGCAATGAAGTTCTGGTGGAACCTTGGCCAGTTCATCCGCGTTAGACGGCGCTGCTGGCTCACTCGGCTCCGACATATGAACGAACTTTTTCTCCCGGCGAATGAGGTTCTTTCTTCAATGAAAATAAAATATTGTTCTTTTGTTAGTAGTTTACGGAAGTAGTAGACATTTAAATTAAAAATAGCATTTAACGATGTAAAACGTGATTATTTTAACTACGGCCCCACGTTTCGGAAAAAATGCATCCGAATATTGTGGCGTCTTCCACTCATTTATATATTTATTATATTGAATCGTAGTATATTATTATCGATACTTTTATATTATCGATATATCGATAACACATTGGCACGCACTGGCTTTCGATGGATCACTCATCGAGTGCATGCGCCCGCGCGCCATTCGGTGCCACTCAGTACCACACACACCTCGATGCGGATCGATTGAGTCTACAATTTGCTGGTTATATATAAGCCATATTGGTGACCCCGACGTGATCTGAACATGCAACGTTCTGATGTGTAAAATATATTTATCAATACTTTAATATTATCGATGCAACATATTAAATATATATTTTAATAAATAAATGTGTAAAAGACGCCACAATATATGTCGCGTTTTGTTTAATTTTTTTTGACTGACAGTTCTTTTGATACCGACCAATTAAATTGAACTGATAGTTCCATAGTGGCTCATTTTAATTATACTACATTTCTAGCGCTAGGCCTTAAGCTACAGCCTTACTCTCCTTTTAACCTCCACAGTCGGGAAAAAAGAAACAAATAGTTGAACTGAACTTACACGCGATCCTCCATGCCTGGCTGCAGCAGGATGGGGTTCTTCGGTTTCTTGCGTCCCTCGACTATACTGTAAAGAAATATCACAAAAATTCTAATAATAGATCACTAGTTTGTTCAATAGTATTATGTTTGCCTGCATAGGGCATCGGGCGGACACTCAATTATGTCTGCTAACCGATAGTTCTCCTACCTTTTATGTGCCTTCCCAGAGTAATGAGACTCGGAGTGGGTCTTTGATGTGATCTCGACGTCACACAGCTCGCAGTACAGGTCGCGGGACTTGAGAGGCGCCTAAAAATAAAACATATTATACATAATACATTTGATAGAAATACTATGTCCATTTCATTCTCTCCTATAACAAAACAAAAAGTGACAATGGCTTCAGGCCATTACTTATTTATTGATATGTATTTTATTTGGTATTTTGGGTACGGTTACTGGTTTTTTTTACGATACAGGACATGACAAATGACAAGCGTAGGATTTACTGATGTAAGGTGAAATATCGCAGCCATATCACATTAAAACAAGGTAAGTTGTCAACCAATTTTGGTTTTACACAAAACAAAAATCATTTAAAGATATTTTTTTTCAATATTGCACTGTGTCTATGCTTTTTTTTGGTCACAGCGTGTAGCCTAAAGCCTTATTCAATCAAAGGTAAGTAAGTGAGGTCAAGCAGTATTTTTTAGCTCAAACCATGTTTCTGAGATTAGCGCTTTCAAACAAAGTCTTAAGTTTTATAATATTAGTATAGATGAATGAATGGTAACCACTCCAACTTACCCTGCTCGCATTATTAAGTTGCCCCTGATTGACTTGCCATTTCTTTTGATTTTTAAGATGGTTTTTGGAAATGTAATGCACGCGAGCTGAAAGGAAACATAGTGTATGTGTACAACAGTATATATCATACAGCCAATAGAATAGAAATGAAATAGAAGACAACAACTCCCAACATGCATTTGTTAAAGTAGTGTAGTCATCGTAGGGTCAAGACCCCGATGCCTAGATGCCTAGAGAACCTAAACTCCCTTTGAAAAAAATTAAGCGTAAAAAAGAAGAGAAAAGATTTTTAAGTTTTTAAATGAAGTGGTCCTTGGACCTAATATTTCCAGGTCCAAATGGCTTGTATACCTTAAATACTCACCCAAAACAAAAGTTTCAAACTCCACAGCACAGAGGCCGCAATATTTAGGTGTAATAAGTTCCAAAAGATCCCTGGGCAAGTTCCTCAAATGCTCACGAGGGACCCCACACTCTGAAAGAATTCATAAAACTAAACTTAAGGTATCCACTCTAAATATGAACAATTGTGCGCAAGAGGTGTATCAATAGACTAGGTGTGCCCGCGACTTCGTCCGCATGGAATGGTGACGGGGTAGAATTTTTGATTATTTAGGCTGTTTATTAATTTATGTAAGGGCGCATTTAAGGCAGCCAATCTATGTTGTAAGTGCTACTTTACCGCAACACTCTCACCTCATATCACTCCTACTGTAACTCCCACTCTCATTTCTATATTCACTCTCACTCTCACACCCACCCTTATCCCCACTCCCACTCCTATTCCCAAAAAGCCAAAGAAGAAATTTTCATTGTTCTAGCTTCAAAAACCACGAATTTCCATACAAACTTTCATCCCCTTTTTCAACCCCTATTAACCCTTATTTAGCATTAAAAAGTATATAGCCTTAGTCCTTTCTCAGGCTCTAAAATGTCTGTGTACCAAATATCATTTATATCAGTTCAGTACTTTCGCATTTATAATATTATAGCACATGAAGGCACTATATAATTAAGGAATCGAAAATAAATTGAATAAATGTTCAACTTGAACTTGTTGTTGCTCTACCATTTGAGCTACCGAGTCCCACACCTCATCGTCTAAAAACGTTTTGATGTGACTAATAAACTTAAACCTTCCTCGATAAATGCTCTAATCAACACAAAAATAAATTTTCAATTCGAAACTGTGCTTCTTGAGTTTTGCGCGTTCAAACAAACAAACTCTTCAGCTTTATATATTAGTATAGATTGAGATAATTCGACGTGTGAGAAAGCTCAATTGGTAGGAACAGCATGGATCGCTGTGACGCTGATGACAGTCAAATGCCGCCCCTGTCCACAATTTTTCTATAATATATATGAGGTAAATAATAGATTTTTAATTTATATAATATAAAAATATTTAGCTCTTAGTGCCAAGTATAGAATATTTTTTAAGATGTGCAAAATACTGAACACATCTCCATGTTTTTATCACTGATCAACTTTACACACAACAAATTGGAAACTTTTTTGGGGAATGAATGTATAACGAGTATTTGTAAATATAAATGAGTGATATAAGTATAATTCGAAATGAAACTAATCTAATTGAGAACCTCCTTTTTTGAAATTGGTGAGGAAGAAAAATGAAACATGAAACTAAATTATATTTGGTTAAGTGGCCCTAATCATTACGGTTGCTTCTTCTACTAAGTGTAATAATGATAAACAACACTATAAAAATGATTATAAATATGCTTTGAAAATGCAAAAACTGAAGTATTCAATTAAATATACTTTTACATATGGAGAACCTTTTGAATCACTTTCAGGGTAAATTTGAGTACTTTACTTTGATAGTATAGATATATTTGAATAATCAAAATGAGTCATAACCTTTAAAACGCAGTCTAATAAATTACAAATTTACCATCATTTAATTAGTAAGCTAATATTACGTACTAATTAAATATTTGATAGCTTCATTCTTTTGTGGTCTAGAAGGAAACGGTGGTCCTTTAGCCCACAATCCAGGCCCTCGAGGGCCAGGGTAAGGCATTGGTGGGCCGAAACCGAGGGGTGGTCCAGGGAAGCCTGGAGGGCCAAACCGACCCATCTCACGCCCCATAGGCCCATATCCCCCAGAATATAAGCCGTATGCATTTTGGTAACGATTCCTGGAACATAATATTAATATTTTTTTTTTATTGCAAAATTGACATACCTATTGCGTCAAATTTAAAATTGAATAAATATAAGTAAAATTAGAGACTCTAGTGCTAAAGTCGTAGTTGTTGTTCTACAGCCACTTTATACTAGACCGCAAGAGATGAATAAAATGACATCTCTGTTTTTTTTAATTTTACTTAAGCATTTTTGTTTTGTGAACCCAATTTTCTTACCCAAACATATTTTCAGACATTAGTGGTGGTGGTGGACCCAAACTGTGTTCCAGATCGTCTGGATATTCATAAAAATCATCATCATCATAATCCATTTTCACACTGCAAGTAATGAAAAACAAAGCACATTGATTATATTCATCACAGCAAGTCATCTGAATATTTTCTTTGAAAAAAAAAGTGAAAAGAGAAGATTGTATGTACACTTAATAAGAAGTTATAGAAACATTTTACTGCATAATGCACCAAAATTAGGTAAGTAATATCTATTGGTAACGCAGAGAAATAGTGATAATACACATGTGTGTAAGAATGCACCTTTTTTAAATTTGGATTATGAAACAATGGATTTATTACCGTAAGTTATTATTTATACTGTTACTAAGCATCAATCTTTATTAATTTGTCATCACAACTATTGGTCCAAGTTGATACTAGGTTTCTTTATACAAGGAATAATAAGAACATACGTACCACCACGAATCAAACGAAGTTTTTCGAGTTATAATAGTTAATAAATAATTTAAATCAGTATACAAATGCAAATAACAAATATCTATAGTTATTCTTTACTCAAATTGTAATCAAGAAAATAAGAAATCAACCAATTTATGTCATAGATACACTACAACTACAGATATAGTTCCTCCAGCACAGATAATATTCAGTTATTTCGAAAACCAATAGGATAAAAATGGCATTATTTGAAATAAAAGCCCATAGAGTAAGATAGCACAGACACTATACAAATAAGACTTGACCAAGGCTGTAAAAATCTTAAAGGTATAAAAATTGTAAACATTAAAAAGAAGAGTAATCTATAAAAACGTTTTATATATTTTACATAATTCCCTTAGTTGTTAAAAGTACGACTGAGCGGAATTGTAAAAGCGAAGTATCTCAATTCTTTACTTTTTAAACAATCATTATAATAAATGGTGCTAAATTAAGGTTAGATGACCATATCCTGTGATTCTAATACAAATTTATACAAAACATAAGATTTATCGTGATTTACGCCAATCCAGAAAATGAGTGCGTCAAAAGGGAATGTTCGAAGAAATAGACCCCAAAAACATCAAAATAGAACTGCCTTCAGAAATGATTTACACGACACAAGCAAGAAGACAAAATCGCTTAACGCATTGCAAGTTTCTGGAGTATGTACGCGCTGCAAGGAAATAATTGAATGGAAAATCAAGTACAAGAAGTATAAACCTCTTGCAGCTCCTAGAAAATGTGTTGGATGTGATCAAAAGACTGTTAGACAGGCTTACCATATTTTTTGTAACAAGTGTAGTACAGAGAAACGTGTTTGTGCTAAATGCTGTAAATCATCAGAGGTAATATTTCTCAAATAACTTAGTTTATTCTAATATTATCTAGATCTAGATTCTTTTATGACTGCCTCTGTGTAAGATGCTGTCATGTATCTAGGATAAGCACAATAATTACAATCATGCAAGGCACAGTATTTGTTGGTAAATAAAATCTATCAGTGGAACAAAAAATTGCAATATTGGAAGATTTCTCGGGTTAGTTCAATAATAACAAGACAATACTTATACATATTATCATTTTGTAGGAAACATCAATAGTTCCCGAAATTCAACAAGAACAGCCAGCTCAAGATAAGGATCTACAGGCCATGATGAAAAATTTGCCTGAAAGAAAAAGAAGAACTATTCTTCGGTATGATTATTATAATAATCAATTTAAAATCCCAACTTGTAAAAGCATAATGTGACTTAGCAAAATGTAATTTGTAGTTCATGGTTTTTGTATAGTTGCAACGCTAGAAGAGCACGAAATGTTACTGCTATAATTTATTCAACTTAAAACTTACTTTATTTGTTGCAGGTATTTGAAAAAACAAGAAGGAGAACAAACACCTTTACAGATCGAGAAATTGATGTCAGACATGTTGAAACTGGATGATGATGACTTCTTTGATGATCTATTGAGTGATGAATGTTCAGATGTAACAGATTGATTGAAATAATAACATATTCTTTATTACTACATATTTTTCTTTGTCATAAACATAACTACTGCAATATATGAATGATAGTCCATTTATAGTATTTGGTTCAGTATATAAGAAGTCTTAGTACAAAAAATCATAGATTCAAGACCTAAATAGCACCAAATTTGGTGGGACGATAATTGAAAAATTCTTAATATATTAAAACCACAAACTACTAAGTGACTAGAAAATTAATTTGTTTCATTTAATGCCTCTGTGACTTAAAACCTAGGGAAAGAATGAATGGTTATAGGTGGTTAGGGTACACATGTCGAAAAGACAACTACCTACTTGCAAATAAAACCTATCAGTCATTTAAATAAAACTAACGGTATTTGAATTTGTCTCCCCATGACCACGGCTGCTGCAAAGCATCCGAAACGTCGGACCGAATTTAAAAATAATTTTCAAATAAGTTTTACTAATATACCGCGTTTTAAACCGTTACAGTGTTTTATTTAAATGTGAACTACTCGCGTAAACTATAGACAGTATCTATCAGTCAAACGTGGAATGTATTTAGACCAAACTACAGACAGAAACCAAAAAATAATACAGAGTATAAACTTATTAAAACTTTATTATAATAATTAATTGTGTTACAATAGGTGTTATATTACAATTTTATACAATTAATTAATATATTGGTGACACATTTTTTAATTTAATTTAACCAGGGACAAAGGGGTAATATTATTTAATGTTGTATTTGTGTATTCCTCATGATCTAACTTATACACAGACATATTAAGCTGTTCTGCCGTCGTAATTGTAAGCTTGTTCCAGAAGTTCGTCATCACAACTAGATGACATAAGTTGCGCGTACGTCGATTAAGCGAAGGCTAACCGAAATCCATATAACATCTAAACAAGATGCGCTGTCAAAGTATTTTAGCTTGGGACTGAAACCGAAGCGCGATTAAACTCGAAGGCTTCTTTCACGGCAGTTCATGACTCGGGGCGGAATTTCGATATTCTTACTTTACGAATTTCCATACGAAGTCCAACATGTTTTAGAAAAATGTTTAAAAAACCCGGTGGGGGCTGAACCCGTTGATTATTAGACATACTACGAACCCATCATAAACTTTGCAAGATGACCGCGATAGCCTTATGCATTTAAAAAAAAGCGAGATAGAGACGAATTTTCAATGACGAAGTACCATGCATATTTCATGTAATAAAAAACGGGATAACAGTGAATTCAATATAACATGAAAATTTTAAACAATTAACTAATATTGTAATAATTATAAAATCAATACCATTCAATCATAATATTAGTTATATGCCCCCTTAAAAGATATATTATATTTATTGATACGAGCTATCTGCTATACTATTCACGAAAAAATCTTCATCTACCCCACATCCTTAGCATTTTATATGGCGATTAGTTTTCGTTAGAATTACATTTAAAATATACTTACTAACAAATTTCTAATAGAAGTCTTGCATTAACTAGCACGTACAAAAGTGGACGGTTGAACAAACTTGACTTTGAAATAAAATACGTTAGATTAAAAATCGAAGATAAATTGAAAAAAAAATTCGACTTGGGCAGGACTTGAACCGGCATCGTCAGCGTTCCGTGTTGCTCTAACCATAAATACGTTTTTTTTTAAAGAGAAGAGTCCATTGTACACACTATTAAATGCAATTACAAAATATTCAATAAATAGATGTTAAATGAAATGAATCACAACGAGTTACTTAAGTCAAAAGTAAAGGTTTTATATCTTCATATTTGAGGGTATAAATTAAAATCACATATAATTTTCAACAATAAGTAAACTAAATATTACGTATGGGTTTAAACATTTTTAAGTGTATCATACAAAATTAGAACTAATTAACCTTTGTCTTATATTTTACCTATTACTGTTCTACTAAGAGTTCCTTAAAATACGCCATTTTCTTCATATCAAAGAATTCCAAATTGGTGAAGCTGTAATGAAAATGAAAATATCATTATCACATTTTGTATTCTGTAAAGTAAGTACTTACACTAAGTAAACACCTTTACAAATTGAGAAATTGAAGTCAACACTGCATGTGTTGTCTTCAATTTCTCAATTTGTAAAGGTTGTAAAGTGTATGTGCAAGTGTAAGAATTGATAAAAATATATTTTTTATTTCTGTTTAACTTAATAGTTTATAAATATATACTAACTAACTACGTTTATAATAATCTCCATCTTCACTATGTAACCAAGTTTAATTCACTAAGGTGATTTAATTTGGGAGATTATAAAATTTGTTACGCTCTACTTGTATAGCTAAATAAATTTAGCTTATATGCACAAGCTTCTTACTGTAAAAGAGTTCATTACACATGAAATTAAATTCTTTTACAAACACTGGCGGATCCAGCGTGGGGGCGTCATGGGGGTCATGACCCCCACCCTGAGCTGGTTTCAGAACAAAGGTGGGCCATAATTTAACATATTGATTGTATTTACAAATTATTATTACAGTAGATTTATTTTTATTTTTTTTACTTGTATCTATTGTTATCAAAATTAAAATAAAGGTTCTTGACTTGACCACGACTATGTGATCCCCTCCTGGCGCCAATACTAGATCCACCCTTGTTTATAAAACATCTTTGTAATTAAAAGTATGTATACTTACAAAACTTTGGCGTTCCTTTTCCTTAAGTATTACTTGTTCGGTTTGTCGTTTGTCAAACTTCACAACTGCCGCTAACACTTTGGCTAAGGTCAGCGAGTGCGATCCAGAACCGGTCAGATATTCATAAAGAATGTTTCGAAGATATTCCAATTCAGTGTTCTCTTCGAGTGCATGCAAATGTCGCAAGCTGACGAGGGCTTCGTCGAGCTTTCTCTGCAACTTCTCGTTAGAAAGTTTCAGTCTTTCGTAGCTATTTTGATTTTGATCTATATTTTTATTTAGAGAAATGTTCATCTGCTCCAATTCTTCCACTTTTGATTCGAGATTATTTTTAGCATTTAATAATTGTTGATGATTTTCATGAAGAGATTTCAGTTCAACGTCATTGTTCCTGGCACTCTCCTTATTTGCTGTAACCATAACTTTAGCGCTATCGATTTGGGAATGTATTTGATCCTTCAATTCTAGATTTTCCTCAACAAGTAAAGAGTTTTCTCTTAATAATTCGTTAATTTTATCTTTACCAAGTTTTATTTCTGTTAAAAGTTGTTCAGAATTTGTCGCATCGACGCTGGACGCGAACGATTCTCTCAGCCTATTATTTAATTCGCTATTTTCTTTTGAAATCTTACTTAAATATATCTGCAATCCGTCTATATCGGAACGAAGCCGTCTATTGTCTTCTTTAAGACTATCACACTCACATTTGTTGTTGGACAAAATTATGTTTTCTTTGTCATCAATTATAATATTCTGAGATGATATAATTTTGTCTAACTCACAATTCTTTTCTTTCATCTCAGCATTTTCTTTTTCAGTTTTCTCCCAAAGTTTACTCAAATCGAGAAGTTTTTCCTCAGCCAATTTAAGCTTATTCTCTAACTCAGACTGTAATGATTTTAAACCATGATTTTCTATGTCCATTTCTTTTATTTTTTTGTCAAAGTTATTCCGTACCTCCGTCAATTCGAGCTCTATTTTTTTTAACGTTTCTTCTGTCATTGTTTTTGATAACAGTAATTCAAGTTTTTCTTTTCTTACATTTTCTAAATCACTCATAATATGTTCTTTTTCGAGTTTTAAAGAAGCGTATTCACTTTCAGATTTGGAGTGATTATCACTTAATTTCTTAAATTCTTCCTCTAAAGCTTTGTGTCTGTTTTCCATATCTGAATTATCCTGCTCTGCTAATCTCAGGTTATCTTCCATTTCTTTTAATATTCTGTCAGTCTCGTCTTTATTGGTATTAGTGGCTTTAGTTTCTTCCTCTAACTTTTCCATACAGCAACTATACATTTCCTTGCTATTTTTTAATTCTTTCTGTAATTCAGTTATGCTTTCATTAAGGACTTTTATATTGTTTTGTAAATCCTGATTTTCTTTTTCTACTTTGTCACACTTACTCTGATATTTGGAAATATAGGTATCTTTTTCTACAGCGATACTATTAATGTTTTCAGACAAAGAAACATATTCAGATTGTTTTTCTTTCAAAGATGCAGATAACGAATTATTTTCTCTTTTTAATTCTTCATGGTCGTTACTTAGAGAATCATATTTCCCTGTTAGTTTTAGTATATGTTCTTTCAGGCTAATTTGAATTTGGTTCAAACTACTTATCTCTGTCTGAGATATTGTGGTATGCTTAAAAATATTTTCTTTAAGCTCCGGTAGCCACTGCTGCATTACAAGATCTCTTAGAGATTTTGTCTGAGAAGAAGTAACCGCAACAATGTCATGAATACTAATTACTTCATTTTTTAATTTTTCTAGTTTAGCCACAATTGGATTATATTTCTTAACTGTGTTGCATAGATTTACATTTTCACATTTTAACATTTCAACCGTTGCATTCAGTTCAAGATTTTGTTTCTGTAATGATTCATGGTTCTGTAATAATTTATCTACTTCTGCTTGTAATTTCACTAATTCCACTCTTTCCTCTTGAATTTCTGATTCTAAAGCACTACACTTTAACTTCCAAACAGCCGTCTCCTCCTGTAACTTAGATATTGACTCTGTTACATTTATTTCAGGCTTGTTTTCTATTATTTCCATTTTCTCCGTTTTATTCTTTAGCAGAAGTAGTTCCTCTTCAAGTTCATTAATGTAGGAACGCTTTTTGTCGTTTTCTTCGGTAATTTGAGTATTGCGACTTTCTAAATAAACATTTCTATCTATAACTGATAATTTTTCGGCTGTTTCTTGTTTCAGTTGTAAATGCAAGCAATTGATATCCTCTTCTAACTTGGTTTTAATATTTTCTAATTGTTTCCGAGTTTCATTGATGCTGTCCCGTTCTTTTGTTAACTGTTCTATTTTTGTTTTAGATCTATTAAACTCTAGTAAATCGTCATTTAACTTTGCGCATTCGCCTTCCAGTTTTTGAATTTTGTTTTTATTTTCCTGAATAATTTCATTTAAGGTCTCAATTTCATGTTGCCTCTTACTTAAGTTATCTTTAAGAGACTTTATCTCAGCCTCTTTACTTTCTAATTCTTTGTGTATCCGTAACTTATTTTCAGCTAGTGAAATAGCATATTCTTCTTCCCTTTTACTTAAACCCTTCACTTTTGTTTGTATATTTAACATTTCAGACCGTGTATGTTGTAAATTATCTTGAAGGATAGATATCTCTTTATTTTTAGTAAACTCTAGTGTGCTATTCATACTTTCTAAACTCTCAACTTTACCCAATAAATCATCAACCTTCTTTTCTGCTTCAATTAAATCTTTTTCTTTTTGAGACTTTGTTTCTAAGTCCATATTTAATTTTTGTATTTCAGTTGTTAAATTGGAATTCTTTTCTTTCAGAGATTTTAGCGATTCTTTGTACTTGCACAATAATTGCTCCAGTTTTTCAATCTTGTTGTTAAGAACTGAAACTTCAGAAGTGTGTTCTGGTTGTGTGTTGTTCTCTTCATTTAAATTTATCAACTCCATTTGTGATTGCTCAATATTTTTCGTTTCTGATACATTATTAACTTGCAATAAATTAAGTTGAGTCGTCAAAGCATTAATTTTCATATTTTTTTCTTCTATTTCAACACGCAGTGCTTTCTCAAGGTGTGCCTATAAAAAATACTTCTTGTAAAGACATTGTAAAATTCAATATTTATACAATAATTCAATTTAAAACTTACTTTTGCACTTTGCTCCAGAGAGCATTGTTCTTTTAATTCTGATATCCTTCTTAAAGCTTTATCCTGAGTTTCAACCAGCACGTTCTAAAAATATTGGTATAAAAATAATATATTTTTATTAAATAAGTAAAATTAAGAGACATTTTAGACTATATATATTAATAATTAGCAAACTTTTAAGGGCAAATCTTACCCTTGCTTTAGCATTTTCTCTCTCCAAAAGTTTATAATGGCGTGCTAAATCTGAATATTGTGATTTATACTTCTTGAACCGATCTTGAGTTCTCCTATAAGCAGCATACAGTTGATCTTTAGTTACACGATCAAGGTTAACGCTTCCTCCAAAAAAACCTTTCTCTTCAGCTTCACTCGCTGATACCTCCATATCCGACTAAAATAATGAATTAACACTGATAAAATTTAATTCGTTAAAATGCAATAATAAAATGAAATTTAAAAGACTACCTGCAGGTGGTACATAGATGGGCTTTCATAATTTGGAAGGCGAAATGAAATGTCACTTGCAAATGAACTATTTGATAAACGTCTGTGCCTTTGTCTATCCTGAAATAGAGTAAAATATAATATAATGTAGTCACCATATAATAATAACATCCTTAGTGGGGTCTTGTAATAATACCTGGTAAAATACTGTTAATATTATTATCGTGAGTTGCCCAATGACTATTTGAGTTACTGTAAAGCATCTCAAACTGTTTTATTTAATGTGTACCATTGACAAGAGCTATAGATAAACACAACATGAAAATCATTATATTGAAAAAATATTTTGTCACCTATAAAATATATCCCTTTCAGTTAGGAGTTATATTTCAAGTCTATACACTAAAAATATAAAAGTTACCTCATAATCAATTGAAAAATCTGGCAAATCTGTTGTGCTTTGACTACCTTGACTGTAGTTTTGTGTCAGGTTAGCCTGAGGACCTGGCATATTTGTTTTTGTGGAATTTTCTGTAATATATTAAGCATTAAATTATTATATTTGTTTTTAAACACAAAAACTAATCATTAACAAATGGGTCAAGTACAAAATCACACTTAAATTGAAATAATAATTATATTTCTTTTGCTTATTTATATTATTGAAATATTTATAAGTTGGGATTTAATATATACTTAATTATTAAGATAAAGAACATTTACCATTATCTCCAATAGAGAACAAGTCATTGTTAGTTATATCTGATACACTGCTGGATGCTGAGGTTACAGCAGCCTGCAAATAAAAATCAGTCTTACACATGCGATCCAAGAGTGAAATCAAAAGCAGGAAAACAACAATATGTACCTGAGCTGCTTGAGCAAATTGCTGAATTCTTTGAGGGGAAGATTTAACTTCTTCTGCCAATTTATCTTTAAATTTTTTGAACATCTTTAATTTGAATAGAGGCAACGTAGCATAAATTTTCTGTTTTCTCAGATAAGAAACTCCATTGGTACGTGGTTACAAATTTTAATCTTAATCATAATTTTACCCCAGCGAATTAATAATTATTAATTAGTATGTTTTGTTATCAAGTATGTCATGGCACAGATATATCAATAGGTACGAACACTTGGAATTTGATACGTATCGAATTATCAATGTCACTTTTACAGACTATACTAATTACCGGAACGCAAGAATACTTTTTAATTGAGATGGTAGGTGGAAAACATAAAGGTGATCCAAAAATTGTCCACGCGTTAACTACGGTTTTCAGAAATTGTGATATTTGGGTTTAATTTATTTTTATTATTATATAAAACCATAGCGCACTCGGATAATGGTCGCAGACGAAAAAATGTCACAGCAGCTGTCATTTACTATAAATTACTGCATTTGTGGTTCTTCACCAATATTATATATTTTAGGTAATATGTAGTATTTTGTTAACTTTTTTATTGTTATTTAATTGGGAGGTTTTTTTTTTCATACGTAAAATATTATTCATTGTGGTTATTATTTTCAGGTAACCTAAGTCACTACCAGAACCCAACGATTTAGAAATTATTTTTTATTTCATCATTGAATACTACTTTACTAATACTAAGTTGGTTAGAAGTTTGTGCTCTGCACTAAAATTGAAAAGCATTGCTAAACTAACAAGTCCAGTTCTAAAATATAAACTTAGGCTTTAAAACCGTAAGTAAATAATATGAATAAAATTTCAAATACAAAATTACTTCAGATAGCTGCAGTTGGTGGATTTATAGTTGCAAGTACCGGTTTCTACTTGCAAAGTAAACTGATAGATAACGTGAGAAATTTGGACTATTACAAAGTTGCTTTGAAAAAACTAAGATCTCATCCTGGAGCTGTATATCATTTAGGAGAGCCAATAAAAGATGCAAAATTTAAGTTAACTGATAGTGAAAATAATTATTGTGATCAAAAAACAGCTAGATTTCGTGTACCTGTATATGGACCTAAAGAGAGGGGGAGTTATTATTTTTGGGCGGAAAACCAAGGGGAGAAATGGTCACTGACAAAAGCAGAATTAGAATTAAAATCAAGACCTGACGAAAGATTAGTGATAATTAAATCAATTTAAAAATCGATGTATTTATTTTTATTATTTATGTAGTTATTAAAATAGTAAATTTTAATGTGTATATTATTGTTTTAGTGCATTATATAGTGGGAACTCATTTATTAATTTGTTGAAGAGACTTTCTTACTCAAAAATGTTTATTGGTGTAGCTAAAGAGAAATTTCACTACCATAATACTTTGTTATGTTTAGTTAGGTCCTTACAGAAAGTAAACATTACCATTGATCTCAGAAATGATTCATATGTATGTGGTGAGCTTGAATTAGTGGATGGGTAAGATAACACTTAAATCTATATAGAAACTTATGTTTGCAATTGAGAAACTTTTCCAGTTTCAAAAAATCATTAGTGAATGGCATCATATGTTGAGGGTTTTGGATTAAGCAAACATTTAAAAAATTCTTAATTACAACAGCCCAGCAAAATTACACAATTTAGTAGATATACTTACATAAATCCAATTGTAAAAAAAATGTTTTTGCAGCTTCATGAACCTCTCTCTATTAAAGGCTGTATATTGTGATCCACAAGGCAATGAATATTATTTTGAAAACATATTTTTACAAGGTAGAAATATAAGGTATATTCATATTCCAGAATCGGTAAGTTGTTTTGGCATGTAATCTATTGCATTCAAGTATTTAACTGAGGCCAGGCAAATTATGTTTTAGACAAGTATGAGTAATATTTTTATGAGCACTTTGCGTTTATTTTAGATGAATATAATATCAACAATAAAACAAGAGCTGAGGTGTAATAAGCCGAAACCGAAAGAAAAAGCTACCATGAAATCAAGAAAAGTGCAAAAGGCACGGAGACAACACATGCAAACTGTAGCGGAGTTACAAATGAAACCTTCAGGCTCCAAGTGATAAATACATTGAATTATAAAATCTGTACTTTATTAACAGGAATACATTTTTTACATAAAATGTCTGTATTTAGAGATACAACAAAATGTCCTATAACCATCGGGGCCATGTATAACGTCACACGATTTTGTGGCCCCTTATAGATCTTTTAGTACTGGACTAGAAACAAGAAAACAACAATGGTAAATAAAAATCACGAATGTAGCTCCTTTTCAACCGAATTGAATTTAAACATATCACATGAAGTAACGCAGCACAGTCCACTAAAAGAACTACAAAAATAATTAAACCCGTATACTTTTGGTCAATTGCGTGAAAGACATTGCCAAAAAGGTTTACCTAAGTTAAGGGTCATATAGCAAATTTTGGGACTGTGTATGACTTCATTTTATAAATATTTCATTTTATATTACTAACGCTTTGTAAATCTGAACTTAAATCGAGGCCCTGCTGTTGTTTCATAAACACAAATTATTACAAATAACTAAAATCTATCCATCAATTTTCTCGTTGTGTTGAACCCTCATCTGGCATACCTAGGAATTGTCTGTCATTGTTTATCACCATCTGGATAGTGGAATTTTTTTCGTCTCTCTCTCCCTCCTCATAATTGTTTGTGTAACATTGTTCAATTTTGTCGTGAGATATGACACCGTTGCTACCGACACTGTACATTTTGGTTTTATCTACGGGAGCGTTTGGGTTTTTCGTAAAGCCATCCTGTGCAGGAACTATAGTATGGTTTTCAAAATTGCAATTGTCCGTCTTTTTAGGTCTTGTGATGGAACTACTTATGGTTTTATAAGCGATGCTGAGCTCGCCATTCATTAAGTAATGTTCCTTCGGGGCTGGACAAGTTTGCTGCAACAATTTTGTGGCTTTCTGTTGTTGGACCAGTATGACTTGCTTAAACAGCGGTTTCGTCACATCCACGCTGGGCCTAACGTAATTACTGTTTGGTCTAATGAATATGTCGTCTTTGCGAGGTTCAGTATTCGGTGGACTCGTCGACGTTTGACCTTCAGTGGTTTGGCTACATAAAAAGTTTGACTGATTGATACTTGTAATAATCGAAGTAGGGCTCGGAGAAGACTGCAGAACATTGGGCCGTTGAACTATTTGAGGATTGAGAAGACCTACAACAAATATAAAAACATTTGTAAATTGGTACTGCCATATAATGTAATATACATACATCAGTTTTATATGTAAAGAGAGTATGCATATATTATTTACATAAGGCTTGCGAAAATATGAGATGGGGATGTAATTGTGACGTGATAAAATAATCAACATCACAAAACAATCTATATTAATATATAAAGATGAAAGTTTGTATGTTTGAAAGCGCTAATCTCATAAAGTACGGGTTTGAATTCAAAAAATATTTTTATGTTGGTTAGAAGAGCATTTATCGGAAGGCTATATAGGCTATAAAACATTGCTCTGTGACTAACACAAGCGAAAATACAGCGAGAAATATGAGAACAATGGGAAAATTATTCATAATTATGGGTTTCCGAGGCGTACGCTGCAAACGGTTTAAGATACCCAAAAAATAAGTATGTAAGAATGATTTCGCTTTAAATGTAAAAAAATTGTCCGCCAAGCTATATGTTTATTTTTTGAGATTAACTTGCAAAAACGACGGTAAGGGACGCGACCGATGCCCTGAGTAACAGCTGAGGTTAATGAAGGGGTTTGCAAAAACTAATATGGCGATTCTCGCGGACGAAGTCGCTGACAGAGCTGCCATGATTCCTTACTTAACTTATGGACGGTCCCGCCCAAATTTAGTTAAATTTCATATACCTTGAGGTTTAAATTTCGCGAGGTGTGCGTACACTTGTTTGATACGTTCGATGTTTATCTGCGATGTCTTCGCATGGTCCACCATCGGCATAGGGTAGTCACGTCCGATAAGACAACGGGCCGATTGCTGTACTGCTTCGGGTGCCACCCATGGTTCGTGAATGTATCGTGTGGGCATATTCTTTAATGCTGGGATATATTTTCTGAAATGATATAAACATATGTATACTAATATATATTGCCGAAGAGTTTGTTCCTTCGAACGCGCTAATCTCAGGAACTACTGGTTCGAATTGAAAAATTATTTCTGTTAGCGCATTTATCGAGGAAGGCTGCGAGCAATATGAGCGAACAAACAGTGGCAAATGTGAAACAAACGGGGAAAATTATTCATTTTTGAGAGTATCGGTTGCGTGCGCCTTGATAACGGTTCAGAGATACCCAAATATTGGCATGAAAAAATGTCCGCGACTATTCAAAAAGAACTATTCTACGCGGACGAGGTTGCTGTTACAACTACTTTTTAGATAATGGCGCCGACTAACTTTATTATGTACCTTATGAAGTCACCGTTAGGGTCCGTTTTACGTCCGAAGCGTACGGGGCAATAGCAGTGAAAGAACTGCTGAAAAAATGATGAACAGGATAACCACATCCACATGCCCGCGTTCACTGACCAGTCCGCATCTAGGAGTAATTCATCGAAGACCTAAAAAAAACATTGTTTAAGTAATTGTTTAAATAAGTACGCTTTATGGGAGGCATATTTCGATATAGACTCCGCTAAAACAACAAGACCATTGATTATTAACTAATTGAACATTGGTCGAAGCTAATCATAGTTCGTAGTTTTAGATATAAAGATTATATTAGGATTTAAGTAAGGGGAATGTAATTTTTTTTAAGGCAAGAAATATTTAATATTTTTCACATGTTATTGCACATGGTGGCACTATATTTAAAATCGATTATAAATTGATAAATATATTACGACTTCGGTTTGACTCAGTATCTCAATTAGAGCAACAGCACAGAGCACTGTGGATGCCCGAGGCGTAATTTTTTTCAAATATTTTGTTTTAAATAATGTTTCGTAAATATATTGTTTTTCTATAACTGTTGATAAACACGTTTAAACAACAAATCTTTATAAATATAATTTTAACCTTTAAAACTTGCCTTCATCCCTTCTTCCCAGGATATCCAAAGATCGCCGCGAGTCAGAAAACAGGCAACGGCATGCCTCGCTAAATGATGGATCCAGCCTTCTTCTCTTAATTGTATCATTATGGCGTCTATCCATGGAAAACCGGTTTGTCCCTGTTGGTAAGAATAATAATTAATTTAATTTACTTTTAGTCTATTTTTCAAGATAACATGCTATTTAGAAAACCTTTTTATTTCAACCTCTTTTAATTTCAAGTCGATTTCCTTCGAAATTTTTTCACTTACATATAAATAAATAAAAATAACGCAAGTGATTTTAGATTAGCTTTATGAAATAAGTTCAATAATCACGAATAAAGTTTTCGTATCAAATTAAAAAGCTATTTACTAAAAGCATGCTTACATTGGCCCACTTAGCCAGCGCTTCCTGGTTTTTTTCCCATGGAATTTGAACGCATATGGGATTGCCGACCATTCTATCGAAGTTAGGATTCCGCGTCGCTGCGCAATAGAAAAACTCCCTCCATAATATTTGCCCATGCAAGGACAGAGGAGGTCGTACCCTCTTTATCCTCTTATACAATTCGGTAAGTTGATAATAAAACAATCGCGTCGACAAACAACCGAATCTAAAATAAATAAGGGTCATGTTAAAAATTTAATCAGAGAATATTAGAATTGGATGGTCTTGTCGAACTTTATTAATTTAGAAAAATCACTAAAATTAAAATTCACAACTGCTCCTGTAAGCTCAAATTTGAAGACAAAAACTTGAATTCTACAGATTATGTCTAGCCAAAGCTTCTTTTAAATTACACGTATATTTTGAACATATTTGCAATAATACTACTAATATTCCATTCCATTGCAATAATAATTAATATAATGTAGAACAATTTTTATGGTGACTAACAATTTCTTAACCATTTTGGATAGAAACTCGGGAGTTTTAGCTATTCGGCCATAATAATTGCGAAATGGTACGGCCAAACCGATATATGCATATTTGAAATACTTTCATACAAGGTACCTCAAGTAGGGGGAAAGGCCAGTTTGAGATGCTAACAAAGACTGTGGTGTCATCTTAGGTCTACCAAAAGAAGCTACCCATGCTTTTCGTTCTAAGTGCCTTTCAAGCCTCGCCAGCGCTTCATTCTCACCACCAATCCATATTGGCGGTTTGAGTCCTTCTGTCTCAAATCCTAGGAAAGAGAAGGAAAGAAAATGAAAACCTTAATGTATATAATAAAGGCTTTAAATTTTTATTAAGGTAAGGTGTAGAATAGCATTTAGACGACCTGGGTTCGAAAGAGGGGAGGCACTGAAGTCTTAATTTGTTCAAAACTGCGATTAGCGAAGCAGAAACAGCGCCTGCCCCATGTCTCGTTCTTTACGCAATCCAACGAAAGATTCAATAATACTTTACTTCAGTATAATAATATACCTTTTATGTAGCTATATTATTATACTGAACAATACTGATTAAGAAATTAATACTTCAGAGGTATACGAGAAAAATAAACGAAGGAAATGAAGCCATAAAAACAATAAAGGGAAAAGTTTCTTACACAACTTTCAAAAGTAGATGTGGTAACGGACGTTTGTGAGGTGTTTAACTACGCTCGTTTAATTGCTTTTAATTAAGTCGTTATTTATACCGACCGAGTTCTTCGAGAGTCGGCACTCCAAATCTATCGTCGTGGTCAGGGAAGATAGGTGTGGTGGCCCCGTTGAGGGTCTTCATTGATACAGCAGTTTCCGCAGGTGGCGGTGCCGGCATGCTCGCTATCAGGGCTTGAAATTGGTGATATGTCAAGGGCGCTTTTCCACCGTTCCTTTCTATAATACTTGAGAAAGAGTCGAAAATCTTAGTCAGAATAGATTCAAGGCTTTCGAGGACAACTTGAGCAATAAACTATTTAGGACTTCTCAATCTACTCAAACCTTACCTGTCTAGTTTGTAAAGGGTGTGTGAGACTCTCGATATCACAGTGATGCCAACTTCGCGACATTTTGTCGTAATATTATGATCTCGTACTCGGCCGTAGGGTTCTGGATCTTCTTCGAACGTCAGCGCCGTCGTTCCCCACTCGTTGAACAGTTTTGGCAACGCATCCGCCGGCTGTCCGCGCACCACAAACAAACGGGAGTTCAGTTTCCTTAAGCTACTATCTAAATCCTCAAGACATTGCAGTAGGAACCTAAAACATCAGATTTGAATTGATGTATATAAATATATCTGTTGTAAATGTTGTAAGCAGAAGTATATTTACCTCCATTTATTAATACCAACATTTGAAGAGCTGGCGAACCAAGGATCAATTATGAAGACACAGCGAAAAGTGACTGCGTCTACTAATCCTTCTCTGAGAGCAGGATTATCATGGAGTCGCAAGCCTTTGCGAAACCAATGTACTGTGTGTTTGCCGGTTGATTGACGAGGTGGTGTGGAAGGTGATGGCGTGGGACAGGCATCTCGTGAGCCCGTAGCGGGCAGCGTCTCTGCAGCAGCTGACATTACTATGTCACCGACATTACTGCCTAGGAATAAATTATATCCAATAACTATAGGTTATGTTTATGCTAGGCTATATTTTTACTTTTATAAAAAACAATTATTTAATATAATATGAAAGGTACACTTATACGTAAGTCTTAATTCTAGCACAAAAAGCCCTGGAAATATGACAAGCAGGTAACCCTGCTTACTAGATTGACAAATTATTACTTTCTTATCTTTTAAATTAACAATAATAGCTAATACATTCTGTAAAAGTATGTAAATTGCATTTGAATATAATGAAATATTTTGTTTTTTTTTTGTTATTATCGCTTTCACTGCTTTTTTTGTTTAAATATGATATGGCTTAGGTATTAATTTAAATAAAACACTTTAACGGTTTAAAACGCGATATATTAGTTAAACTATAGACAGTATTTATGGCTTAGGTATTTTACCTTGCATTCAGTGAACCCCGTGCTTCTCCATCCTCCTTCCTCATAAAATTATTTTAAAACTATAAATTAGTTACTATCTAAAAATAATTCTCCATCCTTTTCAAAGAATATATCCTATTAATTAATTTTAATCAATCATTACAATATTTAGTATATACATAAGAGTAAGTATTCAATGAGTCATTATTCAATTAGAAATGATTCTAGAACATTCATAACATTCATTCGCTCAATCATTTATCTTACTAATTTTAAACATAAATAAACATTAAATAAAAACTGTTCCTAATTTAATCCTGCATTAATGTAATGTCTTAAGTGTGTGCATCCCTGCTATCCTAAGACAAGCATATCTAATGCACACAATTCTGTTTGTTTTGCTGTTCAATTTTATTTATATGCAAATAATACTTCTATTAAACTAACTATTATAACTATTGAATTGTTTTGCGACAACCACAGATGCCCATAGTAAAAGGAAAATAAAAAATCGTAAGTTTCTTAGCTTTTTACCTTTAAATAAATGGGTCCTTCAAAGTTTTAACAGCCAACAGCACGTATATTTAACTTGTTGTTTCGAAGGTATATAACTCAGCTATAGTATCTTTATTTAGAAAGATAAATAGATGACACTTAGATCACTCGTTAAAAACACAAACCATATTTTATCCAAGGGTACCCAAGTAGAAATCACAGGCACCAAGAACGAATTTATAATGGTCTTCACATTTAAATAATAAATAGTATTTTAGCACACATACAGAAAACGTCAGAAATAAACTATTTTCTTGGAATTAATTTATTCTAAAAGAGGAACAACAATAATTTACGACTAAGTGAAAACAATACTACACTGTCAAAACTCGAATACCAATAAACGCTAAGGATGGGTACTTAATCTGTGAGTCCACGCCGCTTGCAACGTGACCACAAGCTAAAAACGTCTTCGTCACAATCATCGCAACTTCATAAAGAAATAAATAAATAAGTAGAACGAGATGGATAGATGATGTGCCATAATTAATTTTAACGGTAGTATGTATCAATTAGTAATACATATTTCAAAATTCAATACTATATTTTTTATTGGTAATTATGTATAAGTACAAAACTAACATATCTTAGATCAAGTTAATGCATGCATTGAGTGCATAAATTGGAAAATTAATTATTTTAATTATGCAATTAATAATAATTTTTATCCAAAATTTTAAAATAATAATGTTAACGAATAAGTCTGTGGTTGTACAATAAGTCACTGTCAAATGTCATTTGTCAATATAACAATTTTAGACATTGAAGTTTAATAACAATTTACAACTCTTTCAAAAGTTTCCCTCAGGGTGAATGTACGTAATATTTTCTGTGTTCGATAAATCGTTTAATATCACATTGTTGATATAATAATTAATGTAATTAACGTTTGAAATATGTTTTAGTTAGTATTGTTCTTTAATAAGTACTCATTATTTTTTTTAGTGAGGGTTTCAAACCTTAACAATGGGTCGTGTGATTCGTGCTCAGCGTAAAGGTGCCGGTTCGGTTTTCGTATCGCATACCAAAAAAAGGAAAGGTGCTCCTAAACTGAGATCATTGGATTACGCTGAACGTCATGGTTACATTAAGGGAGTCGTTAAGGTTGGTAGATGGTGTTTCATTTAATAACAATGTACAGCGTGAGATAGCCGTTTACTATTATTGTAATTGCAGGATATCATCCACGATCCTGGCCGTGGTGCACCATTAGCCGTTGTACACTTCCGTGACCCATACAAATTCAAGACACGTAAAGAATTGTTCATTGCACCTGAGGGTCTTTACACAGGGCAGTTTGTGTACTGTGGAAAGAAGGCCACATTAGAAGTTGGTATGATCTGTTAATATTGATAGCCTTTGCTAATGTGTTATTTTGCTTTTTCTGTAAATAATTAGATACTGTTACCTGAATAGTAATACTTTTTCCAAATGATGTCTTTAGTTACCATTTCTGATAATAATGATTACAAAGAGGCTCTTTCTGATGTTCTTCTCAAACTTGTTTAAGTATTGATTTTGCTTTGAATTTGCTAATTAATATGTTTATTGTAGGAAATGTTATGCCCGTTGGAGCCATGCCTGAAGGTACAATTGTATGCAACCTTGAGGAGAAAATGGGTGACCGAGGTCGGCTAGCCCGTGCTTCTGGAAACTTTGCCACAGTTATTGGCCACAACCCTGATGCAAAGCGTACGAGAGTAAAGTTGCCATCTGGGGCCAAGAAAGTGCTACCATCCAGCAATCGAGGAATGGTTGGTAAGTAACTTTGACCTTACTTTATTTAGTTTGTTATTTTACAAACTAGTTTTAAAGGACCTTTGCTACAAAATGTAGTCCATTCAGTCTTAATGATACTTTTTGACTGATGTTTATTCTATAAGACTAATTAAAGGTCAAAATTTGAAATTAAACTACTAATGTGATGACCACCTTACCTACCCTGAAAATACTTGTAAATCAAGTACAAATGATTACACAGAGGCTCTTTCTGAAGATTCTAAGTCAAAATTGCCATTGGCTTTCTGGTTTCAGTTTTTTGTATTGTGTTACCATGTTTCAGGTATTGTTGCTGGTGGTGGTCGTATTGACAAGCCTATTTTGAAGGCCGGTCGTGCTTACCACAAATACAAGGTTAAGCGTAACTGCTGGCCATATGTCAGAGGTGTGTCCATGAACCCTGTGGAGCATCCTCACGGAGGTGGTAACCATCAACACATTGGTGAGTGTTATCTCTTTTTCTGCCATCTTACAACAATCTTGAATATGGTTAAATTATTATCATTCACAGTTATCCTAGCCTTTTTCTTATACTTGAATACATAGTGTCCTTTTTACTGATTGAGTAAAATCTACTGGCAAGTACCCAACCGGACAAAAACACTGTCTCCCCAGAAAAGATTTTGTAACCGAGGAACAGAAAAAGTCAAACAAGCTTTTTTAATTTATTATATTACATTACACAATTATGTTTATGACGATTTTTTTTACTTTCTTCTCAGGTAAGGCGTCCACTGTCAAGCGAGGAACATCAGCTGGTCGCAAGGTCGGTCTTATTGCTGCCCGCAGAACCGGAAGAATTCGTGGAGGAAAGACAGAGACCAAGAAGGAGGCGTAAATGTTACTTTTGCAAAAATAAAAAATATCCAAAATCAAACTTGTTTTATTGAATCAACATTTAACTTCAAAACGAAATTTACAAGGTTACTTTTTCTACACTGAGGGCCTAGGATCAGATGAAAAAATAATTAAGAATAACGTTTATAAATTATATTACTACTTTATTAGATACACTATACTGCTTCAAAGACAAAATTCTTCACTGCAATTAAGTAGTACCTACATTCCGTCCGGGTAACGAACCACCGTTCACAAATGTAAAGGCCGTGAAGTTTAATCCAGTTTGGTTTCAGTCTGGATTATCGAATGACCTACCTTCAAGAGAACCCCGTGCTTGTCTGTCATTCATCATAAAAAGTTATAATTAATTATTTAATCAGTCATGTACCCAGACTATTATTTTTATTAAAAAATAATGTATAAAAAAGTATCGCGTATTGTATTATTTTATTCATTTAAATAATTTTAAGCTAGTAAAGGTAACGCAATCTAGCGTATTTTGACAGCACTCGGAAACTTACGGGGCAGGGATAAATATAGCTATATATAGACCCGTCAAAATCTGTTCAATAATTTTAATATATCCGAAACATTCCTCCTTACCAACTCAATGTACTCAGATAAAAGTACTATTTAAATTGGGCGCCTCTGGGCTCATGCTGCAAGTAGACTTAGGACAGGAAGTTTGGAACATACCTATCTCATCTTTATCTGTATTACATCTGTAATTTTTATAATTACATCCTGCTGCACAACGATGATTTACCTTCCATCCATTCTGCAGATCCATCTTCGAAGTCAGTCTTAAATTTTAAGGATAAACAATGAATTAGTAAGTAGGTACTTATGTAAGTATGCTTTCGAAAAAAAATTCATGAAAAATAGAAATTATCTCTTTTCTTACATGACAAAAATCTGTATGTAAATACTGTCTATAGTTTACGCGAGTAGTACACGCGATAATATATTAGTTTCGGATGCTTTGCAGCCGTGGTCACGGGGAGACGGGGAAACGTCGGGCCGAAGTTCAAAATAATTTTCAAATAAGTTTAACTAATATATCGCGTTTTAAACCGTTAAAGTGTTTTATTAAAATGTGTATGTATTTAAGGACCTAAACTACCTATCTAAAACCAAGAATTACTGCCACATACAAATAAAGCATGAATTTATTTCTATTTCGCTGGTTTACATTCCGTTATGCTCTAGAACTTCGTGATACTGGAAGGCTAGATTATGATACTGGACTAAAACACTCAAACAATACCAATTCTGATTTCAAATTGAATTTTTACTTGTCAGTCTACCTTTCGTAAATAATATAACTACTATGTACTAACACCTCTCTATCTTCATGTAAAAATCTGTATACTTACCACAGAAACTGCTAGTGGACTGAAATACTTTTCCTTGTTACTGTAATCCAGTTAACAAGAGTATTTTCTTTTCATACATAACTAGTAATATTATGTGTTAAGTAGAGACTTTGAAATACAGGGCCAGACTTCATGTTAAACATTTAAAATAGATTTGATAGGATGCTCTACAGTTTTTAAGACAATAAGGGAAAAACTGACTGTTTACTTACAGGCAAGTAGTATTAGTATAATAACACATTGATACGGCCAAAAACTAACATGGAAAACAGATATTGTTAAAATTAAAAGTATAAATTTCCAAAGGTAATAATTTTCTTGGTGTCGACATTTTGAACAGGTTGCTTAATCTTTTTTGTATATAAAAAAAGTCAACAACCCTAAAAAACGCAAGTCCGGCCCTGTAGAATATTGTAAGAATATGGAGATAATATATTCACCGTCTTGGACTTAACTTATATCTAATTATGAATATCGATCCACAGCGTGACGGCGCGCCTAATCCTCCTGGTTTTCTTATAAAAGCGGTCCGCGCTTCGACAAACATCGAGTAGCCTCCGCAACACAACCTCAGCACCCGCCGGAGATTGGTTAAACTAAAGACTGGAGTAGTTCGTGAAGCGATTTTCTTCAGTATTTTTGGTAATAACCATCTCGAGGCGATCCACATTCCCGCCCTTCCTCGTAGGAACTATTAGTGAGTCAATATTTGGTAGCTACTAGAGTTCCTATTTCGTTATCCTTTTTATACCCGGCCTATTGTTCTTTCGTATCTACCGACTTTTAATAATATTCCTCGTTTGATTTCAGTTTTTAGATTAGGAACTAGATCATAAAAATGGCAATCACCAGCTTGGACCCAGGACCAGGCGTCGCCGCCATGCAATCCTTCGAGGGCCACGCTGAAGCATACGGCTCAAACCAGACCGTCATCGACAAGGTTTTGCCAGAAATGCTCCACCTTATTGACCCACACTGGTAAGAGAGTGAGATTTAGCGAGCAAAACGTTTTATTTCTTGCTTTCCTACATGAAATACTTTTTATTCAGGTACCAGTTTCCACCTTTGAACCCACTATGGCACGGTCTTCTAGGATTTACCATTGGCTGTCTGGCTTTCATTTCCATTACTGGCAACGGCATGGTGGTTTACATTTTCTCGACGACCAAGGTACACAAAACAAAACACGATATACCAATAACTTCAGCCACAGCAACGTGTGGCCGAGTCTGTTATCACTTTATAAACTTAAAACCATTTAAATATGTCCTTTGCAGAGTCTCAAGACGCCTTCAAACCTGCTAGTCGTTAACTTGGCTTTCTCCGACTTTTTGATGATGGCTATGATGGCTCCGCCGATGATAGTGAATTGTTACAACGAAACATGGGTCTTTGGTACGTCGAACTTCCAACCATTGAGTCAAATATGTATGATCTCAATCATACTGACTTTCGTTTGATACAGGTCCAACCGCTTGCCAATTCTACGCCTGCTTCGGGTCTCTATATGGATGCGTTTCGATCTGGACCATGACAGCGATTGCCTTCGACCGATACAATGTGATCGTAAAAGGTATTGCTGCGAAACCCTTGACCATCAACGGTGCTTTACTGAGGATCCTTGGAGTATGGCTGTTCTCTTTGGGATGGACTGTTGCGCCAATCTTTGGCTGGGGCCGGTGAGAAGACTACATATTTTATTTGTCTTCACGTCAGAGTTACTGGATTATACTCAACACATATTTCATGCACAGATACGTTCCTGAGGGTAACATGACCGCTTGCGGAACTGACTACCTGAGCAAGGACTGGATCAGCCGAAGCTACATCATCCTTTATGCTGTGGCCTGCTACTTCTTGCCTCTTTTCCTCATTGTCTACTCGTACTGGTTCATTGTACAGGTACTTAACGAGAATAATGCCTTTTTGAATACTTAAATTTGTAAATCAACTTCTATTACCAATAATTAATTATATTTTAGGCTGTTGCAGCCCACGAAAGGGCCATGAGGGAACAGGCTAAGAAAATGAACGTGGCTTCACTTAGGTCTTCAGAACAGGCGAACACCAGCGCTGAGTGCAAATTGGCTAAGGTAGAAATCGCATTCATACAAGTCATAGACAAGAAAGTTCAGTACAATAGATCTAATTGCATCCATTTAATAGGTTGCACTGATGACCATTTCTCTGTGGTTCATGGCGTGGACCCCATACCTGGTTATTAACTTCGCGGGTGTATTCGAGACCTCACCAATCAGCCCTCTGTCAACCATCTGGGGCTCTGTCTTCGCCAAAGCTAATGCCGTGTACAATCCTATTGTATATGGCATCAGGTAAGCTTAAAACATCAAAAATTATTATTTATTAAAGTAATAATTCATCAGCAATGCACTTAAATATAGCAACTTCTACTTTCGTAACAAAGGATTTGTTTTGTCTTCCAGCCACCCGAAATACCGCGCTGCTTTATACCAGAGGTTCCCGGCTTTGGCCTGCCAGCCATCACCTGCAGAGGATACTGGCTCAGTGGCCTCCGCTGCGACCGCATGCACCGAAGAGAAACCATCTGCCTAAACACCGATATCAACAAACTAAGCACCCCAACACGGCTCGGAAACGATTCTGCCAAAACGATCTTATTATTATTTTTATACGATTGTACAAAGTTATCAACTTGAACACAGAACACGGGCTGGACAAAATATTCAGGGATTCGCCATATTTCATCTATGCCTCACAATTTTCGTAGACTTTTTTGTTTCTCCCTTCAATCTTGCGTATTTTGGGTCCACGTTTTGTGTTTCGAGTTAGACGTTGCACACATTTCTTTTAACCTTCGCTTCTAACATCGGTCGGCGGCATTTAAAAAAAATACAAAAAAATGTCAAATGAAACGTATGTCGCTAGACCACCCTTGTACCGCGAGACTGCTCCCATTAGATTATCAAAAATGTGACGATCTTTTCGATGAAAAACGCTTTGTAACTTGGACCAATAAATTATATACATGCAACGTGGTTAATGGCCACATTACTTACTTTGTTTGATTTTGTCTCTATTATCCTAGGATTGATCCCATGTGATCCTAATACTTATTTTATGAACAATTATTAACTCTTCAAATAATTATAAATGCGAGTGAAATTTCTAAATAATTATTAAAACATTCAGGCATTTATCTATGTGTAGGTATATCTATCCTTAGTCTAGAAAACAGTGATAGTGTTAGAAAAGTTATATATATATATATTAAATTTTATTAAAAAATTAATATCGTTATTACAAAATAACAAGTAACGACTAAAAACAAATCACAATGAATATAAAGAATTTTTTAAATTATAAGTTTGAGCAAAAGATCCATATTAAAATGACATTTAAAGACCTGAAAAAAGGACTTTTAAGCAGTTTCATATCACTAAAAACTTTCACGATCGATTATCAATAATACATATTATATGATTATCCCACAGAGTAGACAATGATCAGGTCCTTCTATTTTGAGTCCTAACATGTAGCGTTGCCTAGCAACTCCATACAACACAAAAATTGTTTGTTTATAGTATTCGGATTTACGTATACAGAAAAACAAGCATTTCAATAATCTAAATAAGTTTCAAGTGTATTTTAACATTATGGCATGCAAAGCTTCATTTAATTTATATCACAACTTTCCTAAGTTAGCTGAAGAAGCTGGTTTTACTTTCAACATACACCGACCACGAGTACAAATCGAGTGGAATAAGATACGTAAGAAACCGATATATTTTGATTGCGTAAAGAAACTAGTAATATAAAGACAATTCATATAAACATTTATAACCCTATTTCAGGTCTCATCGATGTTGAAAGTCTAGTGAGGGAAAGAAAATTTGTTATTATAGAGCAACACATTAACGACGTACGTATTTTATTATTGTAAATAAATAAAACGTATTTGTTAAAGGTTATAATATACTTACACTGTTAACGACAAAATGGCGGTAAATTAATAATGATTAATCTTTCAGATACTAGACTGTGTATTAGAATCGGAGTTCGATGTAAGAATATTAGATGCAGGATTTGTGAAGTTATATAGACTAGCTCAGTTGGCAGTTGAATATCAACAATTTTGCCGCCATTACTTGGACAGAAGCGTGTTTGTATTACGAGAAGAGATCTCCAGTTTGGCCAAGGTAACGCGTGAAGTTCTTTCATTATTGCATCAATAAGAAGTAAAATGGGGGCTGGGGGGCGTGGGGTTGACACCTTTCCTTTCGTTCAGGTTTCAATTATCGATTCTATTTATTTATACCAGGCAAGTATTCGATGAGACTTCTGTAGCACGTCAGAAGTATTATGTTCCCCCGAAAATCGTACCTAGCACCTGTCACGATTTACGCAATGCGTTTCACCCAATCGTCAGCCTCCAACACCCTAAACGATTACCCGTTACAGGCTCAATAGCCCAAAGGCGTTATTTTTCAATCATCATTATACATATTATGGTTCCAGGAATTGGAGACCACTAAAAGAGAACTTCGAGAAAAGGAAGACGAACTGCGGCGTTTACGAAAGAAGTCCCGACAAGTTATACGTACACCCCTACCATACGGCAATGAAAATATAGCTACAATGATTCTTAATACGCTGAAGAATCAAACGAATTTATTTCCCACTGCTCCACACTTGGATACCTTAGAGCATAATAAGTGTCTTTACTGTGACAAAGCTTTTTTTAAATCAAATTTACCTTAAAAGCCACATATCAAGGCGTCACCCGAATGTTACTGAAATTCCACAGAAGGACAGCAATACAGAGGAGAATTCTAAATTATATCATGAAATAGAGAATTTAAAAGGTAAATTGAAGGAAATGGAAAATGTTATATCCCAACCGAACGAATCAAAGTCAAATTTTATCGAAGCAAACACAAGCAAGAATGACAATAGGTCTTCCGAGGTTATTAACATCCAAAGTAAAACAGAAACAAAAGACGCAGAAGTTCTCACTCAAGAAAATGGATTGCACCAAATAGAAGAATGGAGGAAACACGAATTTGACAACTATAATAAGGAATTAAATGTATTGAAATCACAAATAAACCATTTACTTGACGCTGAAAAGGACAAGAAAACGGAAAATACCAAATCTAAAGATGATTTCGAATTTATTAATAAATTACAGATGACAATTAAACAACAAGGAGACGAACTATCATCTCTAAAACAAGAATTGCTAAATTCAGTAAATGTTTTAATTCTTAAATTCGTTAAATATTTCAATTGCCTCAGATTAAGATTTATATCAATTTGTCAGATGGGGCTGACTCATAATAACTAATAGTGAAACTCCTCTTATGGTCATTTTGGATTTATAAAAAAGAGAAACGAGTGTAATTTTTCAACAACTCTTAGAGAACTTTCGCGATAATTTTTATATTTCTCCTGTTAAAAATATACTTTTAAAAATGGTGGCTTATTCACATTCATATTGTCATTTCACGTAACTTAAAATATCGTACAACTTATTTACAGAAGTGTATAGCGGAAAGTAAAGAAACTGAAACAAAAAAGGAATTTGAAGTGCAAATGGCTCGCTGGACCAGGAAAGTGGAAGATCAGTCAAATGAATGTAAAATATTATTACAAAAATTAAATGAAACAGCAAAAGAAGTCCATCAATACAAAGAGCTTGCAGAAGCAGAAAGAGGAAAGGTTTTAGAATTACAAAAGGTAATTCAAAGTCAAAAAGAATTGGAAAATGTTACAAAGCCTGAACAGATAAATCATGTAAGTATATCTTAATATGTTGATTAATATGAAAAATGATTATTAATTTTTGTACAAGTAAACAATAAAATGTTGTTAAATAACTTTTTAGGTCCATCATAAAGGACCTCACCAAATGCCTGACAGATTGACTTTAGAGAAATTGCAAAAACAAGCAGAGGACCTTCTGAAATTAGAACAAAGCACCTCTGATATATCGTCGTCTAGTGAGCCTAGTCGTAATATGTACAAAGAAAAAAATAAAGTGGTGACAATTCAAAAGAATGTAGAGAAATCTAAGATAGATACGACTCATCCGTTGTATAAAAAGAAACCTTTCTTAAAAGCTAACCCAGGCAAACAGCATAAAGTGAATTACACGAAAAAACTTAAAAAAAAGGAAAAGGAACAGAAAAATAATTGTGTATCAAAGAATAAACATGGTTCAAACATATTTCCAGTGAGGTAACGTTACGTTATTATTACATAAATCTTATTTAAAATAAACATTTAATCAATTTTGTGTTTTTTTTGTAGTCCTGTTAAAGTTGTGAGAGCTAAAGTTACGGAAGCAGTCAATCAATGTCTTACTGAACTTGGAGTAGATCCCCTGAAAAACAGATTACCAAAAACTGTATTTCAAAACCAAAGGGCAGTATTACAGGAAAAACGAGAAGTAAAGGTTAAGGTTAGTAAAATACCCAACAGCACATTGTAACAGGTTTTAATAATACTCACTAATTGACGTTTCATTTCTAGAAATATCCCTCAAGAGAAATAATTTATCATTCTATTTTAACACATTTAGATAAGAATGCCACTGTACCGCAGAAGAGTGTGAGTCAAGACACTTTTTTAAGTCAACCCTCTCCTGGAAAAAGTAATAAAGCATACAGGTTTTCGTCGGTTATTTCGAATGTAAAGACAAAAGCATTATCTCTGGTTAAGTCAAATGAGAAACTGAAAAACAAGAATGAAAAGATAACAAACTTCGTGGCTGATAAAACGCTAACTGTGCACAATGGTTCTCCCGCCTCATTAGAATATAGTCCTAAAATTGATAAAAAATCTAAGGTTCGGTCGAAAGATGAGACGGTAACAGCGGATGATGAAACTTATTTAAAAAGACATACAAACTTAGCTCACTCCACTCATAATAATTCAGAGACCAGCGATGACTCTGTATCTCAAGATAATGCCCCAATTAAGTATGCCAGAGAATCGAAACCTAACGGTAATCAACCTATAACACTTACAAGATCTCAAACTAAACCCAAAAGCGAGTTGGACAATCACAACGAAAAGGAAAATGATATAGCTAGCTTTAAACGTGACATCAATGCCAAGCTGAAACGTGATCCAACAGTAAAAGACCAAAATTCTTTGAGTAAGTATAATTTAAGCAGTGATGATATGGAGTTGTTGGATGATTCCAAAGGAAGTATTAGTCTAAGGCAAACCAGAGGTGTCTTAAGGAATGCCTCGTCTACGCCTTCATTGAATAAGAAAAAAGTGTTATTTGATATGGACGCTATTCAAATGAAATCTATAAGTGCATCACCGTCTCAAAGTTTAGGTGAAAAAAATAGTGAAAAGTACACTTTGGGGATTATCAATTTGGATGCAGAAGATACGGACTTGTCTAGGTAAATATACTTTATGTCACGACTAATTATTAGTTCTCTATGTAGTCTAGATATTGTATAGTCTGTAGGACCCACTAATCATCTTGAGTATTTATTATTTATTCATTATATAATATTATATAAGGTACATATAAAAAAAAAGAAAATCAATGGTTGCTTTAAATATGTATTGTTATTTGTTGCAGCGTTGAACGCGAGGAAGTAATAAACACAAAAATTCGGGTATCGTCTCGTGTCACGCCAAAAATAGAAGAATTAAAACAGGCTATTGAATCGCAAATGGCGCACAGAATTAAATCACCAAGCACCGCATTAGCTGGTAGTATCAATGTTTTGCCAATACCCACACCTATGGTAAGGACTAGCTTAGGAGGCAGCAATACAAGTTTAGGTAGTTCTATACTCGACGATAGTGAAAATTTACCGGTCACTAATAGGAAGGGATTAAGAAAAGAGGAGAAGACTGACGAGAATGAGATTGATATTTCAGATTTTTTGGCGGATGACAAAAGCGACAGCAAATTTTAACGTACATTATGTACGTACCAGTCTTTCTGTGTTGTGTTTTTAACTGGGCTAACGTATACCTAATATAGAAAAGGAGAATGTGTGATTGCTTTTATTTTTAAGCATAATAGTGTCAAGCATTTAAAATGAATTAACAAACTTGGTATAATTTCAACTAAACTTACTATATTATATATTACTACTCTTAATGTGAATAAAAAGTTGTTTTCTTTTGTATTATTAATTTATGCTAATATTTTTACATACAACTTGAGATTGTTACGATTTACGCTGTAGAATATCTATGATATTATTATCTACACACTAAATCTTTATCTGTGTAATTGTTTTTAAAAGTAATAGGATCGTGACAGGATCATGATCTGTGGTTAAGTAAATACGTCAAAAAAATACGTCAATTAGTCTGTAACAAAGTGTGAAGTTTGAAATCAACATCAACATTGAATTACCTTATTTAATATTTTTAAACATACTAGTAAAAATATAAAATACGATACAACTATTCATCCTGACTGATACTATTTACTGTTATTTGTCTACCTGTCTATATACATGTTAAGCGGTGTGTATAATGGATGAAGAACAATTGGATCTCAGCGGAGAAGAAGAAGAAATAACGGCAGATGTTGTGTTAAAAACAATTCAAACTTCGTGGCAGAATGAAAGATTGTCTCCTGAAATTTTACCCCACCGCAATGATATGGTAGAATGCATGTTGGGTCAAATTCAACACATGGAGCGAAATATAAACAAATTGCCGAAAACAGATCTACGAACTTCTATACACAAAATGGAATTGAGTAGAATAAAATATATCATTTGCAATTACCTCAAAACTAGACTCGAAAAAATCGAACAAAATTGTATTATAATAATAAATGATGAGAAACAAAGAATAGAATCGGGTACAAATTATTTGACGCCCTTAGAATATAGATATGCACAAGAACATTTGCTTAACATTGAACACCATTTGAAGCAGACGATTCTCAATCAGGTGCCGGGAAATATGCAGGTGTTTGAAATAAATAAAATGTCAACAGTACCAAACTTACAGTCACATGTATTTCTGAAGGCAAATGAAACTGTTCATGGTATAGTTTTAGAAGACCATTTTGGCGATCAAGATGAAGAAATTGATTTGGAAGGTATGTTATTTATTTTGCTTTTTAGTCTTTTTTGCTTTTTATCTTTTTGTTGAAGTATTATTTTTGTTTCAGAGGGTTCACAGCACATTTTACAATACAAGTTCATAGCAGATTTAGTTAAAAATGGAAAAGTTCAGTTAATATAAATATTGCTTACCTAGATACATTATTATTATTTTCTATCGGGGATACCCATAGAAGGCCGGGTGATCAGTCCACATCCATCAGTTATACATTTCACCCATTTCCTCTTTGCATAGGTTTTCTGGGTTATCCAACTCTCACAGTATCCCCTTCAAACCTTCCAGTTTGCTTGCAGAATCTTACTATTTGTTCCATCTTTAATTCTTTAATGTCATCTTCCTTTACTTTATCCGAACTCATATGTAGATACATAGTATAACAATGAATTTGTTGAACTGAGTGAAAACACCAACAATAAGTATTTATGCAAGTATAGGTTTTCATGCCTTAAGAATTTTAGGGATTGATAAAATGAAATAAACTTTTTACATTATAAAATATTTTATTTAAATATCACATTTCTTACAGTATTTAGTTCAGTTTATATATTTTTTCTTATGATGTCCTGTCACAGAAATAGTAAGTACAATTTTAATTTAAAAACAATGAACTAACAGTCATATAAATAGTTAATTAAGCACTTTTAGACGGATTCTTAAATGTGATCTAAGTACAATAATTACAAAGATGTTTAAAATTAATTACTATTCGAGTCATACAGTATTCATCATAAATTAAAGCACTATATTTCTGTTTCTTTAAGTCATTGTAAATTCTTAACCAATACCGACTTTCAATTGTGTCAGAATAGGAAAAATCTATTCCGGTCTAGCTTATGAAAACAATAACATTAACCTTAAAATAAACATGCAATTATCCTTTCTAGTGAATGTTTGTGCCGTTGAATAAAATAATTTATATTTAAATAAATACTTATAACCTCAAATCTCATTACAAATGCCACTTACCACAATTAGTAACTATTCTTAGACTATTAAAATTTGCACTGGCATTTTATTTTTTTTATTCGATGAGTAAATTCAATAAGTACATGATTTATTTTTATGTGTTCACCTATAAAATTTGTTTCATGGTCCTGCATATTTAATTAGAAGTATTTTGTCTAAGTCTGTTCATCCGCATCAACATATTTGATGTGCTCCAAATAGGCAGTATTGGCAAGTTCTCGTAAGCTCTGTTCGGAGGCAGGACCTAGTTGTTGCACCATCTTTGTAAAGTAGCCATCTGTCTTCTGCAGCAATTCATGTGGGTGACCACATTCCATTATGCGACCAGCTTCCATGACCTGGAAGAAAGTAAATAACACCTCTTTCAAAGCTCATAGCTGGAAGTAGTGTGAAGTTCTTCCTATAATAGTTATTTGGATCTCAGAAGTAACTTCTTAACATAATGTCCTAACAATACACCTGAAACAGTAAACTACTTTGCAGAGTAATCCACAAAATATATATTTGTGTGTGAACTCCCGTTTCCCCCTCGTGGGGCACGGGGCGAACACATTTCTGTGTCCGTTTCACTGATCCGTTCTTTAACAGGCAAGTAGTTGATCAGACTTCTGTGCCCTGCCTGACCGAAACAATTTTTTTGTTTCCCTGGGATTCGAACCCAGGACCTCTCGCTCTTAACGCAATGCTAGGCAATACGTTTAACCATTTGGCTACAGAGGCGGTCTGAATATTTGCTTCCCTTAAACATTATGGCATTATTTACATGGGCATTGTACTATAGAAGTTTGGACCTCACTTGATGGAAGGTAAAATGCCTAGCCATGTAACATTTTGACAAAAAGGAGTAGAGACAAATTTTGGCTGATATATTTCACCTTTAAAACGGTTAGAAAGGTTTTAAACGCCTATGTGTTTGTTTTATACTCACGACAACACGATCCGAATCGGCGACGGTGTGCAAACGATGGGCCACAGTAATAACGGTGCAGTTTGTGAAGTGTTTTCGAATCGACTTCTGAATCAGCGCATCGGTACTGAAACGAAAAAAAGAATAACAGATTAAATGAAGCTACTAAAATCTAGATAATAAGAGGGTAGACAATTTTTGTAAGTTTCGAAATTTATTCCCGCTTAGCATGGGGCAGAGACATATCTTTAATAAGATAAGACTTTTTGCAAAGGCACAGTGGCCTAATAATAAAAAACACGATTTTCATTATGGTGGAAAACAAAGATGCGCAATTAACCAAGGCGAAAATGAATTAGGATAGTACTATATGTATTATTCATTTGCGTAAAATTTATGTCAACAATAAGTTAAGTGATAAAATTGCAGTTAGGCTACTCTGCCTTTAGCGGCAGGAGTAGGTTACATGGTTTCCAAGTTTAGGCGGGTATTGTAAGCTTTACAAAAAAACTCAACACGCTTTTAGTAACAAACCATAGAAGCTATTAACTAAACCGATCTAAGGATCTTTTGACACTAAGTTCAAATATTTACTTGGGATCAACGTTGGCCGTGGCTTCATCAAGCACCATTAGTTTGTTCTTGGCGAGTGCTGCTCGCGCCAAACACAGGAGCTGGCGCTGACCCGCGCTGAAGTTGGTACCTCCAGATTCCACTGCGCTGGAGAGAGAGGTCACGCTGCTCTTCAACTCGACCTGTAGAACGTTTACCATTGTCAAGGGATAGAATCTTAAAACTCAACTCTAATCTATACTAATATATAAAGCTGAATAGTTTGTGTGTTTGAAAGCGCTAATCTCAGGAACTACTGGTGCGAATTAAAAAATTACACAGTTAGTTAAATATATTGTCGTATACAACAGAGAGTGCTGCATATTATAATGAAATATTTTTAACAGTTTAAAACGCAAAATGTTCGTTTTAGACGATTTTCAGGCGTGGTTGCCACATCCAAATGACGGGTCGTAGTTTAAGCGATTCAATAGATATATTTTCAATTAAGGCTGTTAAAGTGTATAGTTAGTGATTTTTTAAGATAAAGGAGAATAAACAGGCATAGTGTACACTTGATTCCAGGGAAATAACTCAACCATATAACAACTAAACAAGATGCGATGTCGGTATATTTGAAATTCTAGAAGTATTTTTTGTTATGAACTTTAAAAAAGTATGTGTCCAGCGGCACAGTTAAGTAGTTCTCTTCTATTCACTAGTTCTAAATTACCTGTTCTAACGCTTTCCAAATATCGGCATCCGAATATTTATCGAAAGGATCCAAATTGTAGCGCAAGCTCGCCGAAAATAATACGGGCTCTTGCGGGATGATTGAAATTTTAGATCGTAATTCCTGAAAAAATGTTGACGTTAATAAAAAAGTATTTACTTAACTAAAACCTTGAATTAATAGAGAATTTAAAAATGAAGGCAATAACGAACAATTTTAGGCAATATAGATGCCATTTTTAATTGAAAAGATGTAATGAAAATTTTCTTTTAATTCTTGTATTGACTACACCATAAGTGTTCGGGGCAGGCTGAATCTAGCGAGTTTAAGATTTAGAGACAGGCCACTTAGAATTATGGCTCCTGGCCACTTACAATGAATAGAATTTAAAAGTTAAAATTTAAAAAAAAACTAGCGGCGCGGCGGTCAGTTTTGTATACCTTTAAAGCGATTTCAGCTGTGTCAAGATCATCTATAAAAATATGTCCGTCAATTGGAGCAAGTCGAAATAGAGCCGCTATGAGCGAAGACTTGCCGGCGCCAGTACGACCTACCACTCCAACCTGGGAAATAATAATGACGGATTAAATAGCGATATATTCGTTACTAACTACGACCCGATGTTTTGAGTCCGTACAGATTGTATTATCTGTTATTTACGCGAGTAGAAACACATTACCTATTAAAACACTTTAGTTTAAAACCCGAAACATATTAGTTAACTTATTTTTAATTTAACTATGCCCGACGTTATGGATGGTTTATGTATTTATTCAGACATGGAAAACTTACAGCTAATAACAATAGGATACCGCTGCTGCAAACCATAGCGTTTTAAACCGTTAAAAGTGTTTCATTTAAATCTTATACGTCGTGAAAAAATCGAGAATTTTTAGGCTATATATCATCACGTTGTGATTGTGTGTGTGTGTAAATTATTTTCATCTTTGTTCAAGAAACCAAGAAATAAGATTAACTCGCAAGAATCACGGGACTTGGACGACGTCGTGGCTAAGAACTATAATTTAAAAAGCTGAGGAGTTTGTTTGTAAGAATCAATTGTTAATGTAAACTATTCCACGAGGTCGAAGTCTAGTTTTATATGAACATAAGTCACAACTAGTTTTATAAGAATTTAAAAGTAAAAAATCGAGAATTGCACTGAATGAAGCATACCTTCCAACCGCTTTCGATAACAATATTCAAGCTCTTCAAAACCGGTTCTGCCTCCGAGTCGTACTTCAAATAGAGGTCTTTGAAGACCACCCTGGCCCTCTGGGGCCAATCTCTTGGCGGGGATTTCCCCTCCAGTTTTTCCTGTGGCAACTTTGTGTATTGGATCACTCGTTCTACGCTTATCATCTGTGATATTGCTTCAGTCGTTTGCTTGATGCCGTGCTGCATCATGCTTACTAGGATCAGACCTTGACTAAGAGCTAGACCAACGTTTCCGGATTCGGTCGTACCTATAAATATGAGAAAACTTCTTTACAAATAATTCTTTGACACGTTGGTGTAATGTAGAATAATTTATTGATTTTTCTTAAACTTCGTCTGGAAATCTGGATATTAAATGCTGACCCGACGTTTTAGATGTTTTGCAGCACTCGTGCTCCCGAGGGATAGGTAAAATAAATTATAAATAAGTTAACAAATGTATTTTGCGTTTTAAACCGTTACAATTTATTTATTTAATTTACTCCCATAATATACAGACAATAGTTAATTATTCTGTTCCTTGAACGAAACGGAGTAGAGTCATACGCGAAGCAATTTGTATAGAAAATGATCATGTAAGGCAGTGTAGCGGAACAAAAAACAGCAACTAATTTAGTTACACCTCATAATGTATTCACAATATAGTAATGGACTTATTGTCCGAATGTCAAAAATGAAGATTATGCTTTTATCTTTTTCATTCTAACAGAAAACACGTACAGATGCAGAAATAAATAGTAAAACTAAACAAGACATGGATTCTAAAGTACCTACACGTTTAAATATAGCACTATTAACGGTTTAAAACGCGAATTATATCAGTAAACATTTTTTTAATTCATTTTAAATACGGCCCAACGTCTCGCATGCTATGCAGTAGCCGTAGCCACGCGGGGGGGGGGAGTGAATGTACAGAAGGATGCCTTTGTTAAAATCAAATCTACTATGATAGCGCTTGTACATGCGGTATCTGTTTCGTCATAGGAGACTTTGACGGGCCGTAGTAAAAAGAAATAAGTCAACTATGCGTTTTGCGATTTAAACTGTTAAAATTGTTCTATTTAACTAATAAACTAAAAAAAATAACTGTCATATTAATATAAAATGTAATCACACAAATGTACATAAAAACTACTTAACTAATCTTCTTTACTTATATTAGGATGGAACTTAAACGGAAAGCGACTGAAAAGTATTCTATATTTCTCCAGGGTTCGAATCCAAGATTTCTCAAGATATATATTGCATTTAACCACTGAACTTTGATGGCAGTCACTGATCTTGAGTCGCAACAAAGAGGATAGACAAGTAATAGAAATTATGAAAGGTCAAATTACCACGGTGATGTGTTGTCGACTTATTTTTAATAAAAACATAATAAAAGAAACTCTTTGTACTCACCGTCATCTAGAAGAAGGAATGTGTATGCGACGACGATAACATAAATTGCGGATATCATACTCAAATAGATCGAAAACGTCGTATTTGTTACGAGTGTTAAGTACCTGAAAAAAAGATGCATTTTAATAAAACATTTTCAACTGTTACAAACGCGGAAAATTGTTAAGTATTTAAATGTGTTTCTTGCGTAATCTACATCCCCGTCTCTATGTGAAAGTCAATTTCAAGAAATTTTAATCTGTCCATTTATGTTACATTATTTTTTATAAAATAATTAAATTGTTGAATTTGCTTTACTGAGTGACTTTTAGGTAGTTTCACTGTTTTAATATCAATATAATCCAGTATCTAAAGTGATTTTAGTGAAGGTTAATCTAAATACATACTGTCTATAGTTTACGCGAGTAGTACACATTTCAATAAAACACTTCAACGGTTTAAAACGCGAAACGGCGACTCCCCGTGACCACGGCTGCTGCAAAGCAACCGAAACGTCGGGCCGAAGTTAAATCATTTTCAAATAAATTTAACTAATATATCGTGCTTTAAACCGTTAGTGTTTTATTAAAAAGAACGTCAAACTGTAAACTTTGTGTCGAAATCAAGGTTACATAAAATGTCAAAAATGTCTGTTTGTTTGCTAAAAATCTTAAATGAGAAAAAATAATACACTGTATACGTTGTTTGTCGTTGATTTAATATAATTGTATTCAATCTGAAATAATATATAAGCTGTCATGTGCTTCACGGTATAAAAATTATAAAGCTTGAAGTAACTTTATAGAATATGCGAACTTTCTAGAATATTCCTTGATATAAATATGAATAGAAAAATTTACCAAGAGGCTGTGTGAACATCTTGCTTCTTATCGAACTGGATTCGCAGCATGTCTTGCGCACCGCATGCACGGACTGTACTAAGCCCCGCCATGCTAGCTGACACGTGTGAAAATACTGGGCTGCGAGTCACACCTTCTACCCTATGGAAAAATAACCACATATTAAAAGCGCACAACTTCGTCCTTACATTACTCCCTTAATACTAAATCAATCCACTTAAGTTTTGAAAGAACATGTAAAGAAAATCACTACAGTCTAGTATTTTTTTTTATTATCGGTTTTCAAATTGCCGCCTTAATATAAAGCTGTCAGTTGTCACTGTCACTGTCAGTTGTGAGTTAGTCTGTGCAATTTTTTTTTAATGCAGGGCAATTTAATGGTTAAGTTAATGTGTTTAATTAAAGAGTAAAGAGCTTATTTTTCTGTAAAACAAATATAAACATCTGAAATAAAGGCTTGTTGTTTTTTGTCTTTACAGGTGAGTAAATAAATTCACTAGTGATAACTAAAAATATGTAATACACAAATGTTTCTTAATGATAGCAAAAAACGCACTTTTGTCTTCGTTTCACTCTAAAAAGTGCAATTGACTATAAACGTACCCTCTTCCCAGCAGTGGGACATTTTCCCACAAAAACCTGTAAGAAGTATTTTGTTTACCTTTTAATGGCCTGCGCGGTCGCGAGATAGATCATAGTCCACAAATACATAAGGACACCGCAGAAAACTGTTGTCAGCAGCATGTAAGGGCTCACGATAGCCACCATAACTATAATACCACTCATCACCATGAAAACCTGTCGAATAAATGGGTTTAAATGTACATTTTTTATTAACTCTAATCTTATTTTTCTTATTTACGTAAAAAAAATGTTTGCACCTGCATTGTTTGCTAAAAGGGTTAACGCAATGATGACATTGCGTTAAGCGGCGAAGGTCCCGGGTTCGAATATTGGAGAAACAATGAAATAGGTTGTGTCGGACCTTGCCTTTCACCTTGTTTTGATGAACTGACGAGGACAGATAGTAAAATTATCCATTTGTGTCCTGAACTGGGCACACCCAAGGTGTCTAGTGCACACGCAAGCGTGAACTATTATGGGTACTTGGACTTTAAAATTTAACTGTCAAATCAAACGTAAGTGGGCCAGTGCTAGAGCTACAAATTTTTAATTGCAAAGTTTAAACCGTTAAAAAGTGTTTTATTTAATTTACACTCCACGTAAACAAATACATACCATTCTTTTAGACTTAGGTATTTATTCGATTGTTGAAAGAATATTATAAATGTATATTGTTCCCCAATATTAAATAATACTGCATTCACTCACTTGGATACTGTCCAGGAACATACGAGGCATCACCTCGTCAACTACGCCCATGTCTTTGGAGAATCTGTTCAGTATGCGTCCAGATGGATTCGTGTCGAAGAAGCGCGTCGTTGCCGACAGAATGTTGCTGAACATCTTGTTGTGAAGGTTTATTGAACTCCGCATGCAGACGAAAAGAAACACCAGCGATCTATAATTAAATTTTGTAATTAACCAGCTGTTGACAATTTTTGTCCAAACAAACAACGTTACGTTATCAATTTACTAAAATATTTCATAATTACAATTTATTAAGTTCGTTCCAACTGTTTTTCGTGTTCAAATTTTTTCTCGTTACTATACCGCCCGAGATACCAGTGGCGTAACTATACCGTTCGAGGCCCGTGGCAAATCCAATAAAAAAACTGAACCAACAATTGACATTTCCTCTGACCGGGGGCCCCTTCGGGCAGGGGGCCCGTGGCTTTTGCCGACTTGCCACCCTATAGTTTCGCCACTGCTCGTTATCTGATTGGGACAGACTGAAAATCAACGCTAAGCAAGCCTTACTGAGCACAAGCTGAGTCAAACTACAAGTGAGTTAATGCCTTTGCGCACAAAGTTGAAATTTTACTTTTTTGTATTATTTTAATTGTAAGGTTTTCTATTACTCATTTTCGCTGAAGTTTTTTACTTTATGCGTATTCTTAGTTTCATGGTAACCAAGAATACGCTTCTATTATAAATTACTGAGTGAGAAATTCAGAGCGGACATGCTTTTGTGTCCGTTTCAATGATTTCGATTTTTTTTTACTGGCAAATATAAATAAGATTAATGTTGTTAAAATCTAATCCCGTCAATAAATTATGAAAGAAACATATTTCTGTGTTCGTTTCTCTGATTTATTATATCTCTGTAGTCGCCGGGTTTCCAAGGTCCGAAACAGTTTAAGCTAGCTTACGCCGGTGAATTTGAATTTGGACGCCTCTAAATATATCACTGTAATGGTTCGTCTCCGTGTATACTAAACGCGAGAATTATGTTCAAAAATTATTCTGTCAAAATGTCTTTCGTGGATAAAATTAATTAGTTAAACGGATATAGAAATGTGTCTTATCCGGTGAAGGCAATTTGATATCAACTAACCTTCCCGTTGTGAACAAAATACAACCCAAAATAGCTAGGGCCCATATGTAAATGTAGAACGAATGGTCAAATGTTTCTTCGTGCGTTGTTATATTCTGTATGGCAACCCCAGTTTTGAGAATTGTACCAATTATTGTAAGGTTTGGGTTCATCGTCGTATCGGGTACACTGGTGGACGCTATTGTGGTGGACAATCCAGTGTCGTTGGCTTTGGTGCTGTTCAAAAAGTCCAGATCGTTTGTCATCAACGATGCTTCTCTTGCGTGTCTTGCTTCCACTTGGTTCATCCTGGAATAATTATTTTAATGCGTCAAGTTTAATTTTATTATGATCATGCTCATTTCAGGCCACAAATGGCTAATACACAGAGATACTATAACGAAAAAATAAAACGTAAAGATGCCGAGTATATCAATAGATCAAAAACATTTGACGATGACGTGTAGGACACGGTAGCTCAATTGGTTAGAGCAACGGCACGGAACGCTGTGGTTCGTAGTTCTTAATTTCGTACATTTTGCAAATCTAAAACTGATTTTTAATGTAACGAAGTAGTTTATTCGCCCCCCCCTCCCCCCCCCACACAAGTTTTAACATAAAACTGTAATGGTAATGCATTTTTATAACATCCATAATGACTCTCATGTAGCGAGTAGTACACATTTAAATAAAACACTTTAACGGTTTAAAACGCGATATGTAAATTAAACTTATTTGAAAATGATTTTTAACTTCGGCCCGACGTTTCGGATGCTTTGCATCGTCGTTTAACAAATATATCGCGTTTTAAACCGTTAAAGTGTTTTATTTAAACGTAGTACTAGATACGAGAGCCATATCACCATTACGTCAAAACCCAAATAGCGTTGCAAAATGGCGAATAGCTTATCATTGAGTACATACCAATACGTCAACCAAAGATCACCAGCGGACGTGACAACTTGAGTGATCAGAATGAATATAACCGTGAAAATCAGAAGTGCCCAGCTACCACCGGCGTGGAAGTACTTTCTGTAGATGGATGTTGGTACACGACCTGTTGACAATGTGTGGTTACTCTATTAGGTTTAAACAAAAAATACTTTACTTCTCACTAGCTCTGTCAGCGACTTCGTCCGCGTCCTTTATTTTGGACACAAACATTTATTTTTCCAAACTCCTCTTCAACTTCGTCAGTCAGGTCCCGTCGTTCTTCAAGTAATTCCAAAAAAATGGACATATATTGTGTTGCCGGACGTTATAGACCATGATATTTTTGGTTTTTTGAACATTCTCGCTTTATGTTCGCTACTATTGGACGCAGCGTAATGTTATATCGCCTATAATAACCTTCCTCGGTAAATGTTCTAACGAACACAAAAATATTTTTTCAATGTCCACCGATAGTTCCTGAGATTAGAGCGTTCAAACAAACAAATAAACTTGAGCTATATATATAAGTATAGATTAATTAACAAAAAAACAAAATAACGTGGTCTAACTTAATTCTATATTACTTAACTAAATTATTTAAATTGACCGAAGCCCTTTTTTTTAACAAATGCATTGAATATTTATACCGCAATAAAGCGATGGAAATCGTCTGTACGTATAATTATTATCGAAAACTTTGTGAGACAAATATAGTGTCAGTATACATTTTAAATTCATCATATCTATCTGTATATACTAATCTCTATAAGGAAATAGATTAGACTGAGTCCAAAATCAGATACAAATAAAAATAGTGACAGACATTTCAAGATTTTGTATCCTTTGTATATTGAGTTAAAACAACTATTATATTTTCTAGAACGTAGATTCAAATAAAACTTTTAACGGTTTTAAACGGGAATTATATTAGTTAACTTATATATCTAAGGCCCGACGTTTCGCATGCATTGCAGGTGTGGTTGCTAGGGGACTGCAGCAAAGTATGGGAAACGTCGGACCGTAGTTAAATACCTTAATAATAAGTTAACTAATGTATTACGCGTTTAAAACCGTGAAAAATGTATAATTTACATGTGTACTACTCGCGTAGACTGCAGATAATACTAATAATAATTAAGATTTTTATTTTTAATTTAATAAAAAAAACATAAGCTCCAAATGAAAAAAAACCAGACGCGTATTTTATTATCTGTTAACAGGTGTTGACGGACTGTGGATTAACTCATGCGTTTAAAATACGAACACATAAGAGATGCAATATATTTAAACGGCTTAAAACGCCAAAATATAATTGTTAATTTACGAATCGGGTCGTAGTCACATTTTTTTATATATAACGCATTTTAAATAGTTGAAATGTTTAAATAAAACACTTTAACGGTTTAAAAGCCGTGGTCACGGGGAGACTGCTGCACGGCTGCTCCAAAGCATCCGAAACGTCGGGCCGAAGTTAAAAATCATTTCCAAATAAGTTTAACTAATATATCGCGTTTTAAACCGTTAAAGTGTTTTATTTAAATGTGTACTACTCGCGTAAACTATAGACAGTATTTAGTTAAGATGTATTTTACGATTCCCACTCGAACGAACGTCTTTCATTTGAGAACAATCAGATTCCGCGTTTTGAGGTCACAAAGATAACATGCGTATGAGCATACATAACAATTAATTATTATTACAAGGCATTTACACGTTGCGTTATTAGTGTCTCATTAAATAATTATCCTTTGTTTCCTCTTTCATCTGTTTTAAACAACTAGAATTCAAAATTATCTTTTTACTTAGAAACAATTATACAATAGAACCGACCAAGTGTGTGTCGGTCTCGCGCACATAGTTCCGTACCACTCACGAAACCGAATAAAACACGATGTATTAAATGGACAAAGCGAACTTTATAGTAGTAGCACAAGTTAAAACACTTTTAACGGTTTAAAACGCGAAATGTATTAGTGTGACCGTGACCACGGCTGATGGTTGAAAGGTTGGACCGCAGTTATTTTTTTTTTAATAAGTTAATTAATCAATTAATAATATCGCGTTTTAAACCGTTAAAGAAGTATTCATAGAAGCTTCGTAAAGAAAAAGAGTGAGCAGGAAATGGATAAGTGGTCAGCTGATTTTATGGACTGATAACCAGTATACTGCCTTTAATCCATGTAATCTATACTAATAATAAACTGAGGAGTTTGTTTGAACGCGCTAATCTCACGAACAACTGGTTTGAATAAATCATATTTTTGTGTTGGTTAGAGCATTTATTGCCGAAGGCTCAGGCTATAAAACATTCATGTGACTAATAGCAGCTAAGAAACAGCGGGAAATGTGAAAAAAAAACGGGGAAAAATCTTTTTGGGTTTCCCACGTACGCAGCGAAAACTGTTCAAGATACCCAAAAACTATGTATGAAGGAATGATTTCTTTTATAGCATCTAAAAATGTCCGCGACTATATGTATATCTTTAAAGATTAACTTGCAAGAACGACAGGACGCATCTTAATTGTATAAAGGAGAGGTTTGCAAGAACCAATTTGGGTGCCTAAAATAACAGTTCTACGCGGACGAAGTCGCTGACACAGCTAGTAGAAAATATATATATACCTTTTGCCATAAGCTCAGCTGTTTCCTCCGGTTCATCTTCTGCTTCCTGTGGTGCCTCTGTATTGACACTAGTTTGTGACTACAAAAGAAAATTTTTATTCATTTGTGAGTTTGAAAACTTTAATACTTATTTTTTCACATGTGAAAAATGCACATGGTGTCATTATATAAATTAATAATCAATTTTAAATTGAATAACTTTTACAGTAGATACTGTCTATAGTTTACGCGAGTAGTACACATTTAAATAAAACACTTTAACGGTTTAAAACGCGATATATTAGTTAAACATATTTGAAAATGATTTTTAACTTCACCCCACGTTTCGGATGCTTTGCAGCGGTCTCCCCGTGACCAAGGCTGCTGCAAAGCATCCGAAACGTCGGGCCGAAGTTAAAAATCATTTTCAAATAAGTTTAACTAATATATCGCGTTTTAAACCGTTAAAGTGTTTTATTTAAACTTTTACAGTACTTTTGTGTATTATTATAGCAAATGATATTTATATACTAAGCATATTAATAGATTGAAGAAAAGGCGATGAGGTGTAGGACAAAGTAGCAATTGGTTAGAGTAACAGCACGGAACGCTGGGGCAACCACAGCGGTGTTGCTCTAACCCCACAGGTCCCGCCTCTGTCGTAAAATATTTCAATCTTAAAACGATTTTTAATTTATATACATGTTAGTTATTTGGATGAAATCGTTATGATTATATTAATGTATAACAATATATACAGTTAGTATAGGCCCTCGACGAAAACTTTCAACGGAATATGAAATAATTAGAAAAGTACGCACCTGTATAGATAAAGTACGTTGTCTCTGCATTTCCGTTTTCTTTAAATCTTCCTGAGCGGGTTCTTCTTCTTCTAGCAACTCTTCGAATAGTGGAGTCTTCGACACCACATCAAACGAGCCCTGTATCTCGACCTCGCCCTGTAAATAAATCTCTTTAAAAAAACTCATCTAATTAAAAGTTGGACGTTTGTTTGCACACGGTCAAGAGAATTTGTTGTAAGAGTAAATAAGCTAAGTATTGTCTATAGTTAGTTATATTATATTGTAGATAGTTTACGCGAGTACTCGTTTAAATAAAACACTTTAAAACGTTTAAAACGCGAAAAATTACCTTTTTTTGAATATATTCTAAGTACGGCCGACATTTCCGATGCTTTGCGGCAAGCTTTTTGAGACCACGCCTGCTGCAAAGACCCGAAACGTTGAGCTAATAAATATATTTCGCGTTTTAGACCTTAATGGTTTTTACTTAACCAAGAAAACGCGATTTATTGCATAAAAGTCTATAAATAACTATCGTCTATACTTAACGCACGTAGTACTCATCTAAATTAAAAAAATCAATGATTTAAAAAACAAAAAATTTTTTGTATATGTAAGACAATTTTATTTTAACTACTTAACCATTATTAAGTGTTTTATTTAAAAGTATAATAGGTTAAATTCAAGTATCGTACTTTTGAATAATACACTTAAGTAACCGTTACTTAGTTAATTTTTTAAACAGTGATAAGAAGTGAGTAAGAAAAAACAGTTATAGACAGACACACCATGGACGGACAGTTACACAAAGACAAAAACTAAATTGTATAAAAAAAAAACATTTTGAAAAAACATTATCAATTATAATTAACTTTAGTTTAAAATACAAAACATATCCTCCTCGGCTCCTTTATAAACATTTCATGTCTATCATCTGAGTAAAGTCTGTCTGTCATCTATTTATTTTAAATATATTTAGTCCCTTCGTTTAAGTTATAAACATGTAACCTTTTTTAGATCTGTATGTTTTTATTTGAAGTTCTGTTTTTTTGTTTATGATTTTTATTGTTTGTATTAATTTGTTTCGCCTACCTTGCACATCTCGTTTTCTTAACATTTCATAACTTTAGGCCTAGAAGAGATCGCTTGTTAGCGATAAGGCCGCCCATTGCTCTCCATTATAGTATATAAGTTTAATTTGTAATATTATTATGTTTTGTGCGATAAATAATATATAAATAAATTAATTAATTAAACTTTAGTTCTTAGTAGTTAGTAGGTTTGTTAGGTGAGTCCTTTTTCTATAAACCTTTGTTATTTTCATACAAATCAAACGTTGCTAACAAAACGGTTACATATGTATAAAAACTGTTGGAGTTTATATATATTGGCTGGCAACACTTGAATTAGGTTTTTAAAATGTTCTATTCTAAGTTTATTTGAATTCGCAGGATGTTGTTTTATGACTAAAAACCATGACTTCTCTTCTCGACACGCCGGACAAAACACGTCGGGGTTTTTGTACGTTTATTATACAAAACTATATTAACAGTGCAAATATAATATATGTAAAAGTTTGAAGTGGGTGTGTTTTAATAAATATATATCCCTCCACCGCCTGCCTCCCCGGAGCCGAGGCTTCCACACCGGGAACTATAGAAATACTACTCCAACAAAAACAATACGACATTTGTTGAGCCACACTTTACCAACAAAAAGAAAATAGGAAATTAAACGTAGCAGAGTTAGAAAACATTTTATTCTGTACAATTTTCAGAATTTATTCATTATAAATATAATATATTTTCTTTTTTTGTTTGGCGTATATTCTTATTGGTTTCTGCATACGATTGGATTTGTAGACTTAGTCATCAGTCTCCGTTACCACGGCTGCTGCGAAGCATCCGAAACGTCGGGCCGAAGTTAAAAATCATTTTTAAAATAAGTTTAACTAATAAATCGCGTTTTAAACCGTTAAAGAGTTTTATTTAAATTGTATACTTACTACTAACTAACTATAATTTCAGAGTATATATGATTTTTTATGATAGAGGAGGTACAGACAAGCATAAGTTACACTTGATGGTAGGTGAAACACTCCAGTCATTTATCATCAAAAAAATGTGTTGTCGACTTATTTTGGCTTTGGATATTTAGATTTCTGTAAATGTGTAGATTTATTGGTTATTATTTGGTATTTATATGCTTACGTATTTAAGAAATACTAATTAATGATTAACTATCGCCGTCTTTTAAAATAAGTAAGATTTTTTATTACCTATTACTTACATATAATTGTTAAATCATTATAAATAAATAAATTTTAGTACTGTGTGCTATATTGCCTGTAGTTTACAAGGATCGTAAACATTGAAATAAATCAATTTTAACAGACCAAAACGAGACACAAATTAGTTAAAACTTATTCTTTATTTATTTGTTTTTTTTTTTTTTTTTTTTTTTTTTTTTTTTTTTTTTTTTTTTTTTTTTTTTTTTTTTTTTTTTTTTTTTTTTTTTTTTCCCTTTTTTTTCCCTTTTTTTTTGCCTTGTTTTTTTTTTTTTTTTTTTTTTTTTTTTTTTTTTTTTTTTTTTTTTTTTTTTTTTTTTTTTTTTTTTTTTTTTTTTTTTTTTTTTTTTTTTTTAACCAACATTTAATTTAAAGTTAAAATATATTTCGCGTTTAAAACCGTTAAGAGTGTGTTTTTTGCATTTGCTGTGTTTTTTATATGACACAAACAAGAACAGACAAGCATGATATTTACTTGATGGAGTGATATAGTCCAGCCATATACCTAACGTTAACGATGCGCTGTCGGCCTATTTAAGCGTTAAACAGTAAAGCCAACAGTATCCTTTTTGATCTGTAGACGATTGAAATTATGGAAACGTGTCGATTTTATCTAACTCAGACATCAAAGTAGTGTAAGTAGACAGCACTACGTGTTACCGGGTATATATGGTTGTGTTTAATCATGAGGTGTTTTATCCAAGAAGTAGGTAAAGTCTTATCAGATAAGCCGTACAAATAAGCAATCAATGATAAAGCTTATGATTTTTATCTTGTATAATCTCAAGTTTGTCTACACTATACACTCGGATTTCTTATTGGTACTTTCAAGAAGCTGCAAGGTCATGTATGTGAAGCGTACTACGCTAACATTCTAATATACCTTACTAGTTTGAATTCTACTAAAATCTTACAAAAGAACCATTTTGGCATTTGGCTTTGGACCGAAAATGGACCGGCATCGTCAGCTTTCCGTGCTGTTGCTCTACCAACGGACTACCGGTAGCTACAATTGGTTCAAGTCCTGCCCGAGTAGAAAAAAATTTTTTTTTCAATTTATTTTCGACTTTTAAATTATATAGTGCCTTCATGTGCAATAACATGTGAAAAATATTAATGTTTTCAAACCCCATACATACTTAACTGTCTTTCTATGTTGTCAGACGTTTTAGGTTTTAAAAATGACACTATTACATTTGATTATTTTAATGCATTGATGATTCTAGATTTTTTTTAAGATGACGTTTGACGTTTTAAATTTAAATCCATAATGTAATCTGTAAATTACGCGATAAAAAAACACTTGTTAATTAACAGTTTGAAACACAAAGTATATTCTCCTATATGTCTCCCCGTGACCACGGCTGCTGCAAAGCATCCGAAACATCGGGCCGAAGTTAAAATCATTTTCAAATAAGTTTAACTAATATATCGCGTTTTAAACCGTTAAGGTGATTTATTATATTTATAAAAGCAAAGTATATTCGTTAAACAATTCAATTCAACCTTTTCATTGAAATAAAGGAGGTTTTTAGCTCATTCATTAATACCGAATTTTATACCAACGAAAGTCACATTTCCACGATAAAAATGGCGCGGTCGCAAGCTGTGTTAATTTTTTTTTGGTGGGTATTATTTATAGTATTATAACCCAACTGTTTTAGGTCCTAAATTTGCCACTGCTCTGCCTCAATTTATGTCACTTTGGTACATTATTGTTTAAATTAAGTAATACTAGCAGTTAGTATTACTTAATTTACTTTCATGCAAATTTCTTCAGTTATATAACAAAACGTAAACAGTTTTAAAATAAGATTTAAAGTAGAACTGTAAATACTACGGTATTACCAGTATGACGATAATGTGGAGTTAATCTTATGTATGCAAGAGATAATATAATCCGAGGATTATGGCATAAGTATGAGGCTATTCTAAAAACATCGATATACGTGTTACGCCGACATACGTCGCAAGTCATTCGTATAAAACTAGTGATAAAAGTGAACGAAAACTTTATATCATTTCTTGCTGAGTTGCCCCCAGACACGAGCAAGATTTTTTGTAGAAATCTCTTCGACGTTAGGTATTTTGTTCTAGTATAAGTACGCTAACACTTTATTATTTATTGTTTTAATTTTATTTACTACGTACGCCTCCTTAGCTCAATGGATAAGGGATCAGGGTTTGAATCCCGTTGAAACATAAGTCGTCGGTATCCAATACCGTCTGTATAAAGTAGTACACATTTAAATAAAGCACTTTAACGGTTTAAAACACGGATGCTCCAAAGCATCCGAAACGTCGGGCCGTAGTTAAAAAATGTCAAACAAGTTTAACTAAAATATATCGCGTTTTAAACAATTAAAGTATTTTGAATCATCCAGTTAAACAGATAAAGGACTGTGCCATTTAGACACGGGGTACGGGACTTCCCCTATAAATTAAATATTACGCAATATTTTTATAAGCCGTCACAGATAATGTCAAGATTATTCTTAACGTCAAAATAAAGATTATAGGTTATCATCTAATAGATAGCTAAATATTAAATGTCATGATTTATTTGTCATGATTAACCGCGAAATCTTTACTAATATAACATGACTCTTAGCTTTTTCCTACTGTTGAAATGTCCTCGATACATATTGGCTCTCGATTCAAAATGAGTCGACAGTGCATCTGAGTTAGAGGTTAAGGTGAGGAACTAGCTCACCTCATCAAATCTGTCTGTTTGTTGATCATTCTTTGTCGTAACGCATTTTCATTTAATAATTTCTCATTTGATTGTTCCTGAATCGAGTTTTTGTTTTATCAAAGACATATGCATAATTTTCCCCGTTTTTTTTCGTATACCGTTGTTTCTTCGCTCTTATTAGTCGCAGCTTGATGCTTTATAGCGCATTGCCTTCCTCGATAAATGCTCTAACCGACACAAAAATATTATTTCAATTCGATTCAGTGGTTCAGTACTCTTCAGCTTTATATATTATAGATAGACAGATGACGTTACTCGTTTTAACTTTTAAAACATAAATGAAATATTACGCTATTTTTATAAGCCGTCACAGATAATGTCAAGATTTTTCTTAACGTAAAAATAAGCCTTCTCGAGGTTATCATCTAATCGCTAAATATTAAATGTCATGCATTATTGATTTGTCATGATTATGCGCAAAAAAATTACTAGTATAACATGACTCTTAGTTTTTTTTTTACTGTTGTATCTTCGGTTGTAGAACAGCTGAGATTTATCGATGTACTTGAATTTTGAGATTAATTATTGTATTTAATAATTCGAAAACTACAGAAGCCAAATATTAAATAAAACAATGAAGTCTGTTCGGAAATCTACTGTGTAATAAAAATTAACGGTTTAAATCGCAAAGTATATTAACTTCTTTTTAGGTACGAATCACCGTTTTATAAATACTAAGACTTGAAATGATGCTGCGAAGCCTCCGAAACGTCGGGCCGTAGTTAAAATAATTTTAAGTAATATATTTCGCGTTTTAAACCGTTGAAGTGTATTATTTAAATGTCTCGAAAAAACCCCAGACAGTATATAATTCTTCTTTTTGAATCTCAATTCTGTAACATTTTTGTGGTGTCAATAAAGTACTTATTGTTTGTTGGATAACCGGATCAAATGTACTTACATTATGTAAGATGACAACTTTATCAGCGTTCTTGAGGTGGTGCAATTGGTGGGTGACCAAAATACGTGTGGCATGGCTTAGGAGACCGTTAACGCACTCGGTGACCAAGTGTTTTCCAACGTGGGTGTCCACGGCAGACAGCGGGTCGTCCAAGAGGTATATGTCCGCCTGTGAAATCAAAATGGCTCGTTAAATATGTTTAATCTATACTAATATATCAAGCTGAAGAGTATGTTTCTTTGTTTGAGATGAAGAGGGGGGAGTTTGCAATAACAAATTTAGATGACCAAAATAACTATTATACGAGGGCGAAGTCGCTGACACAGCTAGTATGAATATATTGATGTGATTTGCAAGACTTAGATCCGCGGTTATAACGGACGTTTAAAAGAAATTATACCTATACATTAATTCTAGTTAGGTCTGAAAAACAAAGAATAAAATATATGTTATATTAAAAAACATAAAAAAAATTAAAATAAAATTTGCACATACATACAAACTACAACAAATAAAAAAAATACGGGTGTACTTCCGAAAAGCGCATACCGCCGATCGATCTGAAATTTGGTATACTTATGTATTTTGACCTCCTAATCACGAATACCATAACGAAAATTGGCGCAAACGCCGTTTTGAATATGAAAATCGAAAAAAAAACTCTTTACGTTCAGTGTGTCTAATCACGCATTTCTAACCAATGTAGACTATTTGAGCTTTTCCCGAAAAGGGTGTGTGTATATGTTTGTGTGTGTGTAACCATTTTTTACCCATAGCGATCCAAGTTCGTCAAAGCGTTGGAGGTTGCATGGCCGAAAAGCGCAGACTATTCGCGTTATCTACAATGCACCACGTGGAGGTTGTCTGTCTAGCATTCCTGGCCCTGATAAGGGCCGTTTAGTGTGTGTGTGTGTGTGTGAGTGTGATTTTCATTGATTCACCAATAACCTAAACTTTGCACATGTCCGCTATACAATTTCAACTTTGTGGTGATTTTCCACTGTGGTACATGAACTCTGTGAATACTTTTCATTATTGCAATCAAACTCAGTGAATAATTTCTGCTATAGTAGTTGCATTTTCCATTTACTTTCGGCTGTCAGATACAAACTGCGTATATTTTTCTTTATATTAGTCGAAGTCCGAGAATGTTTTTTACTATAATAGTCGGCCTATGGAAATATTTTCCGCTTTTGTCGATAAACTTGAGATCTATTCCCGCTATAATAGCCTAATTCTCGAGTGGTTTTTTGTTCTCCTAATCGACCTGGGAATATTTCCCGCTGTAGTAATTCCATTTCGTGAAAATTTTTTGATTAGGCACACTGAACGAAAAGAGGTTTTTTTCATATTCAAAATGGCGTTTGCGCCAATTTTCATTATGATATTCGTGATTAGGAGGTCAAAATACATGAGTATACCAAATTTCAGATCGATCGGCGGTATGCGCTTTTCGGAAGTTTATCCAAAAATACAACGAGAGCAAAAACAGAAAATACTATAAATAAATCAAATTCACGAAACTATAAAACTAGCATACAACACGTATATATATTAACACAAAAATAAAATAATACAGGAAAATAATAAACCCAATGTGATGTGCGAATGCACCATCTAGTATCGCTTATCTTTGTGTGTTTACTCGATCAGCTGCGTTCGCGCCGACAACGTCAAAGCTAGATAATAATACCAAGATATACTATTCATAACTACCTCCTTTTTATAGTTGTAGTTGTAATAAGAATACTGTCCAAATTTCAATGTAATATTTAGTTAACTTAGTAGTAAGTGACATTCTTTCATAAATGTCTAAAACCAAAAGAAAGGATGTTGACAGCTATAAAATAATAGAAATAATTAATTACACATAATATACAGCACGATAAACTAAATCATGTTGTTCCGGTACTGTATCGCGTTTCAAACTGTTTATAAGTGTTTTGTTTAAATCGATATTAGGACAAGGTATATTGTGAAGTACCCAGCCTGGCCATAATGGACCCAGCATAGGGTAGATTTTTAGCTTCACCTGGAGTCAATGACCCTGGTATCTGGATAAATTATCTAAACTTATTTTATACCCAATATTCGTAAAATTATGTAATTAAAGGTACTAAGGAAAACTGTTTATTTAAACTGGGCATTATAAAGGTGAAAAGGCATTATTTAAATTACACAAGTTCTTTATCTTAAATAATTGTGCACTTAGAAGAACCACAAGATGCTCCACATCTATGTATGCCAACTACTGTCAATAAAGCAAAACGCATTTAAATTTTATCATGCACTTTACTTTATCTTTAATTTACAAGTAACGCGATGGGATACAATAACCCTTTGAAATGCTTATGTTACAATGTTTTACGATAACATAAGCCAAGTACGAGCTAGAATAGCATTCGAAAGGTTCCGGTACAGACTGAAAAATTCATATATATTTGAAAAGTTTAATATTTTTCACGTGTATGAATAGGTTGAAAAAAGTCGACGATGTATAGGGAACGGTAGCTCAATCGGTTACGGCAAAAGCACGGAACGCTGTGGAAGCCGGTTCAAGTCCTGCCCGTGGCATATATTTTTCAATCTATAAGAGATTTTAAACTTAATTTTTTTATTGTTTTAATATTAATTGGTATTATTAGTATATATTACGGGTGAGATACATCGGGTATTCGCAGCGCAATAAAAGATGATTCATCCCCCCCCCCTTTTTTTCACATTTCTCTCTGTATCTTCACCTCTATTGGTCGCAGTCATGTTTTTAGCCGTACTCGATAATGATCTAACTATAACAATTGTTTAAATAAAACACTTTAACGGTTTAAAACGCCACGGCTGCTGCAAAGCATCCGAAACGTCGGGCCGAAGTTAAAAATCATTTCCAAATAAGTTTAACTAATATATCGCGTTTTAAACCGTTAAAGTGTTTTATTTAAATGTGTACTACTCGCGTAAATTATAGACAGTATATAACAATTGTTTTCATTTCGAATCACAGTCTTTGACATTAGCGCTTTTCAACAAACAAAGAAACTTTCTTTTCACCTTTATATAAGTATAGATTAAAAATAAAGAAAATTATTAATAGAACGGAACACTACTCTATAATATAAGTATTGATAAGATAAAGTCCGGTAGATATCTTGTTTCCAGATCGAAATCGTATGTGTATCTTTTGCCTGGTCGTGACTTTTTTGACATTTCTATTACCTTTACTGTCAAGCTGTATTAACTCCACATCGATGTCATGTGCTTTGTTAATGGAAGTTTAACGTTAAATAAAAATATTTTGTTTATGTTCAAAAAATATATGTATCATATCTTTCAATTATAAAAAGCTATCAAGCTGTTTAGCCGTTTGGGATTTTAATTAAATTTGTGAACACTGACACTAGGATTTAAATAAAATAAAATACTTAAACGGTTTCAAACGTGTTAGATAAACTTATTTGAACATTGGTACGACGATGGGAAGACGTTTCGGCCTCCACCTTAGTCTCCCCGTGACCATGCCCACTGCATGCTGCAATTAACGTGTCTTATTTAAATTGTGTAGGTACTATTTGCGTAAACTACAGACAGTATTTTACCCTCGGATATAAAATGAAACTCTTATCCCGAAAAACCATTACATGTCTTTCGGACACATTCAGAACGGGGCATTCTGATTAGATTTTCATTAATAATAATGAGCCGAAATTCGATTCATATTTGCTTTATAAACTAAAGTAGTTTTAAAAATTTTCAACTGATATATTTTAATTTTTTCCTTAGCTTAACAACTCCTAGCTAGCTAAGCTAACTATAATTGTAACTTGCTATAATTATTTTATGAAGTTTATTCCATTGTCAAATTTGATGTCTGTTATCGGGCAAAGCGAAAATGGTTTAAGCCGAATTATGGCCGATCCCCTATAACCACGATCATTAATACTGTAGTAAGAGCAAAAATGGTACCTCTCTGTAGCAGGCTCTTGCGAGGCCAATGCGCGCGCGCTGTCCCCCACTTAAACTGATACCGCGTTCCCCCACCAGTGTAGAATCTCCCCCCGGGAGCTGCTCGAAGTCACGTAACAGTGCGCATGCGGTCACCACCTAAATCATTTTACTATCAATAAGAACACATGGAAGTTGGAAATAGTCTGAAAGCCCGATTCCCAAAGTGAGGTAAAAAGTGGGGGTGAGGTGCATTCTCTCGTGTATAACGTAATGTCAACGGAAGCGGGAACTTGTAACAAAGTTAAAGATTCAAAATTAGCCCAAATCGACCGGTTCCTTGGTCTTATGGTAGTCTCTATGGCTATAGGTTCTACCCCATAAATGTTTAATCATATTTCAAATCAAATATTTCTTCTAAAATAAATAAAACATGTTTGATTTCATCTAGAAAATCTGGGTATGTAATGGCTTATAAATAACACCCTTTAACGGTTTAAAACGCGATATATATTATTTAACTTAAATGAGTTTAAGTTGTTAAAGGGTTTTATTTAAATGTGTATAACTCGCGTAAACTACAGACAGTATTTGCTTAATGGCTGTTAGAACTATTGAAATTCCACCATCAGGGTGGAACATGAGAAACCATCATGAAAGCTAATAAGCTGGCTTGGGTATTTTACCTTCCATCAAGTAAACCTGTCGTATCTGTCTGTCGTATCGTAAAGCAATTCTTGCTACGGTCGTTACACTGTATAAGTGCTGTGCGACTAAAATTACACAGTAGGTATCGTAAACATACTCCGTTCTATAATAGCTCAAACGAGATAAATAAAAACTGTTATTATAACTTTATACCTTTTTGTATCGCACTCTGTCGTAGGGAAGTCCAAAAAGTATGTTCTGTCTGACAGTGGCGACGAAGAGCCACGGTTCTTGACTTGCGTACGCGATTCGCCCACCGCCCAAAGATACAGTACCGTGCGAAGGTTTCAATTCACCCAATATCACTTGCAACAATGAGGACTGTAAAAAGAACCTTATTATTATATAACTTAAGAACTATATTGATTAACAGCAGAATAATAATTTACTTAAGACATTATTTAACGCTTTAAACGCGATATAGCCGTGGTCACGGGGACACTAATATAAATCGCGTTTTAAACCGTTAAAGTGTTTTATTTGAATATGTACTATTCGCGTTAACTACAGACAGTATTTTATAAGATCTGTCAAAGTATTCTCTTTATACGTCGCATCTTATAGTTGTTACAGTCATCAAGCAGCCAGCGTGGTAGATTAGGACTTTTAATGGTCCCAGTAGTGGGAACTAATATAAGTCATCAGATGACTTAACAAATGTATTGTATGCAACTGAATTATTAACATAATTGTTACGATCAATGTTATGTGCAAATTGTCTCGACCGTAATAACTATTTATGTATGTACATAGATTATGTTTAATAAGAATTAATACTATTGTTTTTTATCATGTGATAAAAATTATTACAAAAGAAGAAAGGTTAAGGACCAAATGAGAGAGAAACAAAAGAAAATGGACGATAAATAAAATGCAATCCAAAGAACGAAAAAATAATAAAGTAGTGGTTAACAAAAGGCTCTAATACCTTTCCTGACCCGACGAGACCAGCGACACCGACGAATTCTCCAGGTGCAGCTGTGATGGAGATATTTCGTAATGTTTTTACGATAGGGTTAGGTTGCCAACTCGCTGTGACGTCGGAGAGGACCAGACCGGTATAGTGGCTTTTCTCTTTCAAGCTTTCCTTCTCTTTATCACTCCCGTTTAAAATGGCGTTGCCGTTAAGGAATTTTGCATCCGGTTGCTTCTCCGGAGTCTCTAATTCGTCTAAGCTTAAAAACTCCTGAAAATAACAAAATATTGGACGGGCTCGTCGGTGTTATGGCAATTTATAACTAATAATCAACGAATCGTAGTTTTAAACTTTAATCTTCACTGGATTCAACGTGTCTAATGAAATACTGTCTATAGTTTACGCGAGTAGTACACATTTAAATAAAACACTTTAACGGTTTAAAACGCGATATATTAGTTAAACTTATTTGAAAATTATTTTTAAATAAGTTTAACTGCAAGGACCCGGCCAGTTTCGCCAAATACCAACTTCGACGGAACAGATGCCGCTAGATTAGCAATTTTTTACTTTGACGTCAGAGACATCCTCCATCTTTAGTCTCCCCGTGACCACGGCTGTTGCAAAGCATCCGAAACGTCGGGCCGAAGTTAAAAACCATTTTCAAATAAGTTTAACTAATATATCGCGTTTTAAACCGTTAAAGTGTTTTATTTAAATGTGTTTCTAATGAATTTACTATTTTTCTGAAACATGTTGCACTCCGTCTGGAAACCTGGATATAAACTAGGTAGTAGGAATATCGGAATTCCGACCGGATCACGAACCACAGATGAAAAAGTTTAAATACGTTTGGTTTCAGTCTGTGGATTTTCGAATAACCAAAGCAAAAACACGCAGCATCTGCATCTTTTTAGATGTTGTATATTTATCTATTAAGGGAACCCCAGCTATCTGTCCTTCTTTAGATTATAAAAAATATATATAGCCCAAACACTATTCTACACGCAATTCGAGGACACAGCTAGTCTTTGAATAAGTATACAAGAAGCAAAAACGTTATGATATCATTGCAAATTCCACAGATGTTTCAGTGTCTCACTAACCTCTAATCTCCTCACGGAAACTTTGGCTTCGGCGAGACAGGAAAGCGCAAGCGGGAAGAATATATTGCAGGCCAATTGTAATAAGTTATAGTACTGTACGAGCGAGAATGTGATGGTCGCTCGTATGTCACCTCCCATAGCGACAAAGGCAACGACAGCGGCGAACAGAATAAATCGTTCCGTGAAAACGGTTAGCGCCGTCGAGAAGCCCTTTATGAACGATGTTTGCAAAATAAACTTCACTTCGTACCTGAGATAACATTATTAGGTTAAATTAAATAGGGTAAATTTATTTATCACTAGCGACCCGCCCCGACATCGCTCGGGTGCAATGCTGACACTAAATACACTACAGAAAAACTGTAACCGTTGTATATAAAAACCTTCCTCGTGAATCACTCTATTAAAAAACCTCATCAAAACAGAAAAGGCGACTTGGTTTTATACTATGTAATGATTATAAAGTGCGTTTCGTTGCCGCAATTGTGAAATTGTTTGACTAAAGTAAAAAGTTTAACGGGTTGATGTGATGGTAGCAACGGGTCGCAGGTCCCCCACAGGGTCTAACATTTTACTGATCAATTTATAACTTTTCTGTAACATTTGAAAACTTTGTTAATTTTTACATGTTATTGCACATGAAGGCACTGTATAATTTAAAAAACGAAAATAAATTGAAAAAAATTTTCGACTCGGGCAGGACTTGTGCCCGGCATCGTCAGAGCAACAGCACGGAACGCTGACGATGCCGGTTCAAGTCCTGCCCGAGTCGAAAATTTCTTTTTAATTTATTTTCGATATTTAAATTTTCTGTAACATGTTAGACTTCGCTTGGAATCTGGAGATTAAGTATAGGCAGGAATCACAGTAGGAGTTTTTCATGAATCTGACTGGGTGGTCTGATGAAACTAAGAGAGTTTTTCATGAATGTAATTAGCTGAAATATTCGTGTGACTCACAATGGCCCATGAGTCTAGGTACTTGGAAACTCTAATTTTTTTACATGTTCAATTTTTTACGCCAACAGACGGAATTTTTGTAAAGTATTAAGCGACAAGGCTCATTACAAACCTAGTAGCTTCTTGTTGCTAATTTATACAACGGTTTCGTAACAAGTTATTGCATACAAGTTTAATATGATTAAGTATCAATCAATAATAATTATTATAATTAATGATAAACAATCAACAAGGAAATATAGTATAATTTCATAAATATTTCTCCTTGCGCTCGTTAATTTCTAGAATCTTTTAAGATCATAATTTTATTTAACACAAAACATGCTCATATTTCTTCTCCCCCTGAGGGTGGAATTGAACAGATTCGAGCAATTTCGTGCATAAAAACTGCGTTTCATATATGGATCATCCCACTTAAATACAGTGAAACCTGGTAAGCATCAGTAAGTCTTAGCATATACCTCAAAAAGCCAAAAATATACATAAAACAGACAATAACGTATCCTTACTTTCTGAGGGTAGCAACCAATTTCTCGAAAGGTTTCTCCCATGCGTACATTTTTATAACTTGAACACCGTTAACGAGTTCACTCATAACTTTCACTCTTTCATCGGTTCTTTTGGCTATTTTGCCTCGAAGAACCCCTTGTCTGTTGCTTAAGTACGCTGAAAATATAACTTATTGAGTAAAACATCACTAAGCAAAAGGGTGGGTTCGATTCCCGTCTTATTAAAATGTTTGCTAATCAATTTCCTAATAAAACAATATGCTAATCTGAGAGTCAAAACGAAAATAGGCCAACAACACATGCTTGTTGGAGGTGTTACTTTAGTAAACCATCACTCAACAAAAGTGTGGGTTCTATTCCTGTCTTTTTTTATTTGTTTGCTAATCTATTTCTGTCTTAATTTAACGTTAGGCTAGCCAGAAAGTCCGGTCAAAACAAAAAAAGGCGAACAACACATTAATTGGTCATTCTACCTTACATACAGTGAACAAAATGTTTGTCGCTCTTGTTAAAAAACGTTAAACATGATGAATGAAAATTAAGTTTATTTCGTTGATGACATTAAAATGAATTAAAGAATTAATTATCGTTAAGTAATATCGTGTTTAAACAATAAACATTGTTTAAATACGCTTCTTGCATTTTGAAACAATTCTTTGCGATAATGTTATGTTATAAGTAGGAATTAATTTCTAAAATTTGAATACCGTATAAGAACTAGTATATCCGTTCGAATATATTATAATGAACATTTTGAAGGTTACTCCTTACCTTGGATAAATATAGTTTGCACGAATATGACGCCGAGGGCAGCAAACATTGCCCAAGCGATGTGTTGCCACACCAAATATGACACAACGATCACCACAATTGGCATCACCCAGATATAGTGCAGGAACATAGCGACGAGATCGAAACGGTTTACATCGTTGGACATTAAGTTTATCACTTGACCTGGTTCAGTGTTGCTTAGACCGCTTCGGTTCAATTTCAGAATCTACAAATAAATTAGTATGGCATCAGACCTTACGGTGGTTATTACTCCCTCCATCAATTTATTTATCATGTTGGCTAAATGGATTTAGCAGATGACACAAGTTTAATTTTTGTTTCCAAGAAATGGCAACATACGACCATATATTCTTTAGGTGCAATTTCTTTAGGACCAAGGATCTAACTTGAGAAAAGGTGTGGGTTGATATAAATTCTAGAGCGTTAAGCTTTGGTTTCTATACTTTCGCATAAGTATAACTGAATTGAAGCTTGAAAGTATATCATAGTTGGATAATAAAGGGAATATGTAATTCAATGCGTTAGTTACAACAACAAGTTAGTTCTTATAACAAACTTTTTTGTTATTTTTTTGGAGGGTAGAAATGAAAAAGCTTTAAATTTGTTTTGGAGGGTAGACGTGGAATGAGCTTGTGTTGACTTACTTTTCTGTATATTAAAGAACAGCACGCTATCCTAACGCGCATACCCGTGCAACTTTGTCCCAATTGTGAATGGCATAGAAATAACGCCGTGTTAACTGTTACGAAATTTAGTAGGAAATTGTATATGTGAGCATCTCTGTACGTCTCCGGTGTTTTCTCACCAGAAAAATATCCTATAAATAAAGCTAAGATAAATGGAATCATGGGCCTGAAAAGGGAATGAAACATAAAATGTTATTATAAATAATTTAATAATCTGTACCTAGCTCGTACATGGGTTAGATTAGTCAAATTTCTGTCCTAGGCAGGACTACTGACTAAATCACCAGAAGTCAATTGTCATCCGACTTACCATAATATAATAAAGAGGACACCAACTAGTACTCCTATTAACATGTATTCCAACCAGAAACAAGAAACTAAAGCCCTTTGTAGGGACGGCTTCGTGTTATTTGTACGGGACTTTCGGAGTTCCTTATTCCAAGCGTCTTCGAGGCGATCACCAAGTTTACCTGAATGATCGATTTCGCGCGCTTGCCACAAGTCTTCCACGTTAATACCATGTTTGTAGCCTCTATAGAATAATGGAAGACTCCAACTGAAAACAAATTTGTTTGATAAGTAATTATTATAAATAATAATTGCATATATATAAACATTTTTCAACGCTACTTGGACTTTTGAGCTTCGACCGTCGTAATTTAGAAATAATTCTCGAAATTTACCAATTAAAAATGGACGAGAATTGCCTAAAGACAATTTTTGCATCGCAATGGTTACTCAATTGCAACTACATATAGAATGTAATTACGATATGAATTTAAAGATTCGATGAAAAACTCTTAGCGGTTTTAAAGTCGATATAAAATTTTGACGAAATATGCTATGGATGGTTCTTTTTTTTTATGTATGTCGTCCTTAAATATTGCCTGTAGTTTACGCGAGTACTTACAAATTTAAGTAAAACGCACCAAGAAAAGTATTCGGATCATCGGGCCGAAGTTTCAATAAATTGTAAATAACTTTACCAATTTTTCACGATTTTATTTCCTTAACGGTAAAGTGATATTCTCACAAATAAGTAATACATTTATAAGCGAAAAATATTGACGCGTTGCCTATAAAAACTTTAAAAAAAGTTTTGATAATAAACAAAATCTAAACGCAAATCTTTGAAATGTGTACCTTTATGAGACTGTTTTCATAAATAACTCTATTGTGCTCCACTGTGTTGTATACTAATCAATTTCAATCTAGACAATTGAAGGAACCACAACACAGCGCTCGTTCGTAAAATATTCGTATCTATGCCACAATAAACGCGATACGTTTGAGGGCTAAGCGGCGGTTTAAAATAAAATCGATCAAGGTTAAACATACAAGCCTAATTTCTAAGAAGTCGTTAATCAAGTAGTTAGCGTCGAATGTCTTACTAGTAAAATATATATTGGTTTATAACGCGAAATATATGTAAAATTTAACTACGACCCGATGGTTGCATTGCAGCAGCTCTCCGGGACCGCATAATGCATATTTCGTGGTGTAAACCGTTAAAAGTGTTTTATTAGGACACTAATCGCGTGAATATAATTACTTAGTAAAAAATTTTATTCGCATGTTTATAGTATTTGATCAAAGTTCAGGTTTATTATTGTTTATGAAAGAAGTATCATTTCAAAGTTTTGGCGGGAAATTTCAACAATTTCGAAGAGCTTGCTGTCAATGGTGCAATGTATTATATAATAATCACTATTGTGGGTTTTCTATTAGAATTTATTATTTTTCTGAAATTTGTCTCACTTCGTATTGGTGGTGGGAATATTGAATTGTCTGGATCTAGAACCACCGCCCACAGATGAAAGTCGCACTCGCGTCTCTGTTTCAGTCTGTGGATATAAGCTAAAATAGGTCGACAAGTGAATCGTGAGTCAAGTTATATGGCTGCAATATTTTGTCTAGTAAACTCCATTTTCTTACTTCTAAGCATATACATATTATCCGCAGTAATTACATTTTAAATACAATATTAGGGCAGATAAGCGAGGTAAATGAACGCCAACTATATCTGCCTAATATATAATGATATGTTTCATGATATCGATTCAATTATTGATTAGAAATTCATAGAAGTGGAAGTACATCGCTTAATATCATTTCATAACACTATACACATATTCTTGCACTTCGTTAAATGGGTCTTCGTCAATCAAGTGCGATATTACATATGTATCGTAACGATAACCAGGAGTGAACTATTAAACGTATCATCCTATATTAGACAAAGTATACATTGTAGAATAGATTTCTAATAATCATCTTATCTCTGTACCAATACCATACCATGCTGCCGACGACCTCATTAAATGATACCACAAAGATGTACTTATTATCTATATTTATTTGATAGTTCTATTATTTTATTATGTTTAATAAAGTTACTGGCACTATAAACTTTTCTTGTTTATGTAGTAATAACTTTTATTAACTCTGTGGCACGTGGCAATACAATTTTATCTATGAATAGTGTATACAAAAATATCATTATTTAAATAGTGCAGTCTGTGGTTACATTGTTTTGGCGGGAATTACGTTGTGTTTATTGTTAACGTAGAAAATAAGAAAAAAAATTGCTATCTAGATTAACACACGTTAATGTTAAAGAAAAATAATTTAATTTGATATATCTTTCTACATATCGATCTTTTCTAGGTCGGGGTTCGAACCAACGATCACAGCTTACCGTGTTGATCTATCAACCGACTGACTTATATTTTGAAGTCCCAATTTTAATTTTTAATTAATTTTTAAGCTATCATGTCAGTCATAGTAACGTTAAAATCTCTCAAACTTGAATATAAATAGCCTTGCTTTACTACGGTCATTCAACCGCGAGAGATGGTTTCATTGTAATAGGAGTCGTAATACCGTAATTATATTGTATACACATGAATTTTTTTAGGCAGTTTAGTTTTATTTTACCAACGCAACTGTCTCACGGTTATTAGATTTATGTAGATAAAAGTTATTATGTTATTGTTTATGATAAAGTAGGATAGACAAGCATGGGGTGCCAAATTGAAATACCCCAGCTATGTAACTTCTATCCAAGATAGACTATCGACCTATTTTGGCTTAGGATATTCGATAATGCACAGGCTGAAACCGAAACGCGATTAAACTTTTTCATATCTGACGGTTCCGTGACGTGATCCGGGCCGATTTTTTTTTTTTAATAAAACACTATAGCTTATTCTGGTAACGGATGAATTGTCGTCAACGTGAGAAGCATGTACCTATTCAAATATGAAATATGAGCAGTGGCGTAGCTATCGTAGGGCCAGGTGGTGCAGTGCACCAGGGCCCCGGAATTTAGGGGCCCTCTAACCTTATCTTTGTGAAGTTATAAGCGTAGAAGAAAAGGATTTTTTAATGTTCTTGTTGCTATTTATAATTTTGAAGGTTCATTTAATTCAAGCTATGCTAAAAGAGAGGATGAGGACCCGATTTTTTCTTGAGCCTTAGGATTGGGTAGATCGGGGCCCTTGTCCACCTAGCTACGCTACTGAATATAAGTAAGAGGCGTTGGAGACTGAGTAGCCTAACTTCAATTTTATGACTTTTGACATGAAATCTAAGCACTAAAATCTTTAAAATATTTCTCTAATAGTAGCGAGCCTAAATCACGACAAATGCTGGATTCTCTTTAGATTTTTTCATCTGTTCATTACATTGAAAATTATTTGTTAGGATTAAAAAAATCAATGACTCTGTCTGGTTTCGAATACACGACTAGTCCGCATGACCCGTGACCAATATTGCTCGTCATTCATCGCCTTTTTGGCTATCAACCACTCAATCACCGTATGTCTATGATATTGTTATCAATTCATCACTGTTGTGTATAGTCGTAATATCTAAAATACCACACTACGAATATTACGTCGATCTTTGCTCATTACGTAATATTAAAATTTTAGTCTCTGCTCTCCTATAAACGCTATAGGTAGCTTTCAGTTAAACATCATCGCAGAGTAAACGTCGGACTTTACAATGATACCTCGTGTTGTAATATATACACTAATCTAACCAACAGAATCTGGAAGTATGCGAGAGCCACGCACGACCAAATTACATTCTACGTTCGATTTCTGAATAAATTTTGTTTATGCTAGTACCATGCTAGTACATACATAGTTTTCTTACACAGGGCAAATAAATTCGATAGATCGTTACTACTCGCTTGTAGTAACGATAAGATTAATTAAAGGCAGAAAAACGTGAAAAACTTTACGTAAACAACGATGACCACAGAATAGACAACATGTTACAAAATATAAAATCATATGCATATTAATTTAGAAAGGAAAAATTTTAATAATATAACTAAATCTTAACAAAATCATTGCAGACTTTTTAGGTGACCTTCCGCGCGTCTATAGGACCGTAGCCTTACACTTACAACTTTTTACACATCACTCGTCATTCGTCATTGAATTTTTGGAAGCCGACCTTTCTTATTAAAATAGTACGCTAGTTTTTCAATTATCGGCATATGTACTTGACTTCTTCTTGAAAATGTGTCAAACCAATAGTTATAAATAATGATGATTACAATAGATTTCAAAAACCAATTAACCTCCGAAATACTAAAATAGTAGCAATGCATCAAGTAGTGAAATTATTGTTTGAACGTCATTGAATACTTTCAAAATTTGCTAATATTTTAAAACTGGATTCGAACGTATAACATTTCGGTTTACAAGAAAACTTCTTTTCACACTTGCTTTGAAATAGTTGCATTTCTAAGCGAAAGTAAATAATAGCCCTAAATGATGACACGGTAGCTCAATTTGTAAGAGATAGCAACAAGGATGCTGTAGATTTTTTCACCTTAATAGGTAGCTAAAATTTGAATTTATAGATTCCTCAATTTTAGTAATAAAACAAAAAATATTTTTAAAATAAAAGAAAAGCTAAACTACGTTGTAACTTGTTTTCAAAAGAGGTAGGTATTAAAATATAATCTATGAAAGAAATTTAAAATTACCTACCTATTTTGTATTACGCGATTTTCCTATTAATAGACAAAAGTTCGTAAAAAATAATACCAATATTGAAACTAGCTGTAGGGCCGAAGTTAAAAAACATTTTTCAAATAAGTTTAACATATATCGCGTTTTAAACCGTTAAAGTGTTTTATTTAAATGTTATGTAATTGTCTCGTTTATCTAAAAAACACTTCGTTGTTACGGGTTACTTTAAGTAAACACTATTTAGAGATGGAAGACTCGGCATATGATAAATTATTTAAGCTTTTTCTATTTCTACTCCGTATTTGGATAATAATTAATTGTTAAAAACCGGAATATAGAATTAAGAGTCGGTTATTACGTCCAACGTAGTATTTTGACCTCTCCTTCACATTCATTTCGGTGCGTGTGTGTCAGAAAAAGTCGGTAGCACCACAAAGTTTGAACGCTATTTTGGAACTAAATTAAACTTTTTTTAAAATCATAAACAACGTTAAAAGCTTCTTCATATTTAGAATAAGAGGTACTAAATTAAAAACTTAAAAAGAAAATATTTCATAATATAAGTACTTACAATGATAAACTTAGTCTTCAGTGTTATTATGTCAAAGCTCGAACTCACCATAGAAAAATCTTCGATACAATATTCGCTTTGTCGTGTGGATTCTTCTCCTTGAGTACAACTTTTGAGTCCATTTTCTTGCTTTTCGTCAGTTATTTAAGGCACTAATTACAAGATCCCTGGTACGGTAAAGTCGATTTAAATTATTCACAGTCCATGCCACATTATGCAAAATGGCAACTAAATTCGAGGAAACACAGTCGCCGCGGAACGCACAAGAAGCTTTCGCAAAACTCCCAATTATTCAACTGTATAAATTGTTAAAAAAATAATATTTATCTTCTATTGTCGCTGGCATCACAGAGTAATCTTATAAATAGTATGAATGAATAACAGACACGCCGGCGGCAAATCGATTACGCCAAAGTTGTGGCGATGTACGGGCTGCCCGGCCGACTGCCGACTTTCCGAGAGCGGAGACCCGATCGCGATATTATCATACCTACATACAGATGTACCGTACACAGATACGCGCTCGATTCGTGGACATATTGAATCACGACGATCAAGTACCAACAGTATTATCGCACTTCGGCCGATGGCAAACTTTATTGCGTTTCGTATTTTATAACTACGCACTGTTCAGCTGTTTTGGTTCTGGGTAATTTGAATTTTTAATTACGTTTAGTCGTGCGTAGACTGGACACGGATCGTGCGTTTTATTATTATGTAATAAATTAACTGCGAGTTCCAAAACTCTGGAGAAACATTGCGCAAATTGTTTATCTGCAATAAATGGCCCATTGAAAGAGACAAGAGTTATTAAGAAAAATAACAGGCCTTGATAATATGGCTGAGTAGCCTAACTGCAATTTTATGGCCTGAGTTATTTATATTTTCATTATCTAAAAATATTAATCTTCAATAGCACAGTGAACGAAAATTGTTAACCTAGTTTTTACACAAATAATAGTTCAAATTTTATTTCCCTCCTAATTAAAATTCATGTTTTTTGTTATTAGGCCACTCTGCCCCTAACAGCCTCATATTATCTCAATTGTTGATTATACTACCTTCACATAGTAATGTAGTATTTATAAGATCACTTTGGTATTTAAATAAAACAAATGAATTCTTATACATCACATTGTATTGCATAATATTATTGTGGAACATTATGTGGTATCTATTTTTATATAAATACTGCATGAATGATGAATATAGGAAATTATTTAGGTTTACTTCAATGTTATAATGCCCTTTGTATCTTTCTAATGTGTTGACTTTTCGTTTCATTCACCGCTTCGCTTAACATATTTGTAAGATGTACCAAGTTCGGTAGGTCACACTGAAGAAGGATGTGGTTAACAACATTTTGACATTGACTAGCAGCCTTCGCTTCTTGTATTGATGAAGATATACAGTTATCTTCAAAATTTAGAGATCTTATATTTCCTGTATTATGTATGTTTTGATAACTCTTTGGTGTTGAGAGAACAAAATCCATAGTCACCACAGGCTTCACTGACTCGGTGCAACCTTTTGAAGCCATCTGAAAACCAATCTCATAATTTCAATAAAATTGTATAACAGAAGTTTATCCTAATTAAGGCAAGATATAATATATTATGAATAAGTAAGTTGTATCTGGAATTTTTTCTAGATAATTAATAATTTTTTATTGTGTACATAAACATCTAGATAATTATAACACTCACTACTCTTTAGAAATAGACATTCACTTACACTCAATTAAGACTATAGACCTCCAATAAACTTCATCATCATTTTCATTTTTTTTTTAATAAATTACATATCATTATGTGAAAAACTACCAAATTTTCTTGGTAAAAGAATTTATTACACTACTGACAATATATTTTAAACTTTTTATAATCAAAAAGTCATTCTATTGAATATTACCATTATTTCAATAATTTTAAGTGAGGGTGTTTTGATTGAAAAGGATTTTCATATTCTCTCTAGGCAATATTAATTAAGCTAAACAGCTTAATTTTGCTATATTAATGTTTATTTGATTAAAATGTATACAATCTATACCTGAACTTCGAACCTCCATGCTAAATCCTGATATGTGGGATCATTCTGTTTAAGCAAGTTTAACACACTAGATATTTCTGCTTTTTTTGTCAAATAGAACTTCACAAGTACTTGTTGGTTATCATCTGAAAATCCAGCCAATGCTAGTGAAGATTTAAAATTCTGCTCCGATAACTGTAAAACAAATCAGTAAGACAATTTATGCTTTCACTTCAAGAATTTATTGTCAAAATATATAATAATAAAAAAATAATCCTAATTATTTTTTTAATTATTGAATTGAATACTTTAAGCCACAGACTAATTGAGAAACTTAAATTGGACATCAATTAAGATAACTTACATTATACTTGCAGCTTTCTACAATAAGATAGGCCAAAGCTTGAATTAAATTTTGGATTTGACCTTGTGATATCTGTAATTTATCTGCAATACAGAATGAATAAATAGACTTAAATTATTTTTAAAGCTATCTTCCAAGTTGAATGTTTTACAAAATAAACTAGAATGGTAAAATAGAATAATCCTTACCTGCTGCTAATGACCACTTCTTCTCATTTACACCATTGTTCAAATAATCAATAGTCAATTTACAAAAGTCAATAAGAACTGAAATAAAAAAAGGGCGATATTTTAATTTAACTAATTAACTAAACCTTGGTGTATAGAACGAATATTTTCAAAATCTGTACAGCTTAAATCTTATAGCATAACATCTCAGCCTTTATTCATTTTAGAAACTTATAATGAATAAGAAAAGAACAAGCTTTTTTACTCACTTTGAGGAGAGTGATCATGGAGAAGGCTCAAGTGATCTTTTTGAAGTTCGCTCAAAAAAATTATCATTGTTATAAGTCGTAACCAAATATAGTAATAAAATGTTTGTTCACGTTATGTATGAAACAAGTTCACATGAACATAATTATTTTATATTGTTTATCATCTTTACATTCCGCAACATTACAATAATGTTTGGACTGGTCCTATCAAAATATTGCGATTTAGCACAGTCTATAAACTTCTCCGGCTGCACCTACAGACAGATGTGTGTTTTCTTTAGACGTCTGTGGAGTGACATTGATTTATCCCACAGCTGCAACATGAAATGTGGTGCCAATCTGTCATTCTTATCTGTGCTTGTCAAGCTCATTTCTTTTTGACATCATCAGATTTTTAATGTATCATCAATAGGTACATGTTACAGCCACCTACCTACCTAGTACCTACTTTAGATACTGAATTTCTAAATAGGCTTAAAATAATTTTATATGTATCTATCGCTTTACAATCAATTTATTTACACTATAAAAAGTGATGACTGTTAAAGGAAAAGGTTCAAAATGGCTTTAAAAAAGGTTAAAGGAAACTTTGAGAGGATGTTTGACAAAAATCTAACTGATTTAGTGCGTGGAATAAGAAATAACAAAGATAACGAGGTATTTATTTGTTACTGATAAATAGCAGACTATCCTCTCTGCTCTCATTTTATTTATTCTTATTCGACAATTATAGAATTTTATTAAGACGCGAATTTCTTATTCATTTAAGGCGAAATATATAGCACAATGTATGGAAGAAATCAAAGTGGAACTGCGTCAAGATAATATAGGGGTGAAAGCTAATGCCGTCGCTAAACTAACATATGTAAGTTTTATTGACTTATAACCAACCAAATTTTATATGAACTTATTATGAGTTAAGTTGTATTCTAACATCCAAGAGTGAAAAATCTTATACAGTTCTCAGTTTGTGACTTTGGTTGAGTTTGATGATAATAATTTACAAATAAAAACACTATTTTGTTTACAGTATTTACCAAACTGAATTTAATATAAAATTGGAGAAAATAAACTTTAAGAGCAATAAATATAGATGTTGTTTGGTTAGATAAGAAAACAACACATTGTGTTTAATTTTATTGTTAAGAATTAGATCACTATGCATTTTAATAAATTTTCAGCTACAAATGCTAGGATATGATATATCTTGGGCCATCTTCAATATAATAGAAGTGATGAGCTCAAATAAGTTTACATTTAAGAGGATCGGATATTTAGCTGCCAGTCAGTCATTTCACGCAGACTCAGAGCTGCTCATGCTAACAACTAATATGATTAGAAAAGATCTGAACGCGCAGAATCAATATGAAGCTGGACTAGCTCTTAGTGGACTTAGTTGTTTTATATCCCATGACCTGGCAAGAGACTTAGCAAATGACATTATGACCTTGGTGAGTTAAAAACTTGAGATATGGAAAACCATTATGGAAAAACATAGCATTGCAATAGGTACGAGAGGTCCTGGACTTGAAGAGAAAAGTACTAAATTGTTTTGGTTGGGCACAACACAAAAGTCTAGTCAGCTACTTGTTTGTAATTAAAAACAGGGATAAGCATCTCTTTGTTGTTCGACATACATTTGTAAATAGGCTTGTATGTTAATACAAATATTAATTGCTACCAAAGTAGCATGCCAAACTTAAGAGCACTGAAAATCTGAATGGTAGCGTTACACCCCTAGTTGATAATATAAACTGAGTATTTTTGGTACTATATTGATTTATATAGAATTTCAATAAATATGAAAAAATTTAACACATGAAGAATAACTTTTACAGATGAGTTCTACAAAACCATACCTAAGAATGAAAGCAGTTCTGATGATGTACAAGGTTTTTTTAAGATATCCCGAGGCCCTAAGGCCGGCCTTCCCTAAACTTAAGGAGAAGTTAGAAGACCCCGATCCCGGTATGCTATTACCACTATCTTAACATTACAGATTCTATATTTATTGAAATGTGCTAATAGAGTTGTCTTTTTCCCACTTTTCCTTATAAGGGATTTTGTAACAATTTATTTAACTATTAATTTATAGTAATTAATACTACCTTTATTATATATAAAATTTACTGTTCCAGGTGTACAGTCTGCAGCAGTTAATGTAGTGTGTGAATTAGCAAGGAAAAATCCCAAGAATTATTTATCATTAGCGCCTGTATTCTTCAAGTTGATGACTACATCAACAAATAATTGGATGTTGATAAAAATTATCAAATTGGTATGTCGGTTTCAAGTGCCCCTTAGCCCCAATATAGTAAGTGCTGATAACATAAATATTGTTATGGACCATACATAAATTATGTCAGATGTGTTGGGGGTTGGAGAGGGTTAATAGAGATAATAGGTTTTATTGGGGCCAGAATTTTGTATGTCAAAAAATCAATGGATTCTCATCATATGTTATATATATGTCCAAATATGATATTACCCAAGCATGTCCAAGTGAAGTTCACAATTGGAAAATTTGTGAAGTTTTTATCGTGTTTCGGCAACTGTCTGTTGATTTCTGATTATACAAAGTCAAAATGGTTCTCTATTAAGGGAATCTTTAGCGGGTGTTTCCACCATTCCGTCCCCTTAATTAAACATTTCACAATATGTGATAAAAAGCAGAAACTAAACCATAATTTGTGAGTCCTAATTTATGGTTGGTCCCCTATTGAAGGTGAATACAATAAAAAATAACAACTTGCAAATTTCCACAGTTTGGTTTAATGACACATTATGAACCTGATATCGGAAGAAAAATAACTCAAAGCCTCATTGACCTTATTTGCAGGTACAATTAGAAGCCCTCAAATCGAGTTTACGCTAGCATCATTCACTCTCACACATTTCCAGGCCGGCTTATTCTCAATCGCATCTTCGAATCATTCATTTACACTATTACACCGATACAATATGATATATACGAAAATATTAACACTGAGGCAAATTTTATCACACAATATTGGCATGTGACACTTTTTATTCTGTTCGCTGGCAAAAGACGGTTTGAGGATAATCAAGTTACAGTCGAAACATGTCTCCATCGTGAAGTGCTCTCCCATAAGCTAGTCTTAGTGACATTGTATTTGTTCCAGTTTGGTGCCTTAACCCCATTAGAGCCCCGACTTGGCAAGAAACTGATAGAACCGTTAACTAATTTAATTCATAGGTGAGTCGTAAACTCGATGATCCTTCTGTTAAATTCTTTTGGTCTCGATGGGGTGAAGGGAAGCTTTTACTGCCTTAGGTAGAAGTAGGCGCTTTCACAGCTTATTATTTGTGTGGTTTAGCTTCAATCATGTTTTATAGACGAAGCACTGTTCAGCTCTTTACAGCAGCGCAGTTTTAGCTTGATCGCTGTTTAAAATATTGATTTATGTTTGGAGGTTACCTATATACCAACAAAAACATTTCTGTTATGGCATCGGTTATTACAACCAGTCTATTAACACACTGTTAATATGTGTGTGTGTATATAAAAAAAAGGTAACAAGTAAATAGCATCAAATATAACGCTTCGTTAAATATCACCGTAGTGTAATTATTACAATTAATTTGTGTATATACAAGATCCTTTTCAATTCTTTTAAGAACGTAAATTATCTTCGATTGAATTAACAAAAATAAGATTAAAGATTGCAGATTATTTTCAAATTTTGTGATATAATTACAATATTTTTTTTCACCAAAAGTGATTTATAAAAGACAAACGGAAAGAATTTAGTCGCCAAATAGTTGTCATCTTTGATAAGTCTTGATAAATAATTCTATGTAATAATAGAAATTGCACCCATGTAAATAACAGATATTCAATACTCTATAGGTAAGCCTGTCTCTACCAACCTATTCCAACGATTAACGAACAATTGAAATTCGTTTATTTGAAATAACTCACTCCGTTTATAGGAGACCACAACCTTAGGGTGCTTTTCCAGCACAGACGCTCTATCTATGACGCTATAGATACGTTTGATTTTCACTGGTGCACATAGCTTAGCATTGGTGAAAAAATTCAACTAAGATACGTTTTTTTTAATATGAAAGGATGCGTGCTATATAGATGTCTGCTATCGCCTCGCTGTTTCACTCCGAAAGTCGATGAAAAGCATTGAAATAAAACACTTTAACGGTTTAAAACGCGATATATATTAGTTAAACTTATTTGGAAATGTAACTACACTACGATTACGGCCTCCCCGTGACTACGGATGCTGCAGAGCATCCGAAACGTCGGGTCGTAGTTAAAATAATTTTAAAAAAGAAGTATTGATGAAAGCAGTCAAATATTTTGGTTCTAATTCTTCGCAGCATTGCTCCAGAGCACATTTGCTGGAAAAAGCACCCTTACTCTATATAGACCGCTGTTTATACTGTATTTGTAGCAAATTATAGTATAGACCTATAATTTGGTACAAATAATCCTTATATGTGTAGTACGTCGGCGATGTCATTGCTGTACGAGTGTATAAACACAGTGATAGCAGTCTTGATCAGCATCAGCAGCGGAATGCCCGGACACGCTGCGTCAGTGCAACTCTGTGTTCAGAAATTAAGAATACTCATAGAAGATAGTGATCAGAATCGTAAGTTCGCTTAGTTCCTATATCTTCGAGAAATTGAAAATACTATTAGATTGTTTTACAATAAGCTAAGCAAAGCTAACTCGCGCGCCTCTTGCGGCAAAATTGAGAAGCTGTCAAAAAACGACACTCCTTTAGATTTGACTGGATGTTAAGTTTAAATATGATAAGTGGTTAAATAAAAGCACACAACACAATGGTGCCGTGCCTCGATGTTGTATTTACTGATATTCAAGATTTAGTATTCATTTGTTTCCTAAAGTCAAAATTATAGCAGGAAAATGGGAGACTGCTTTAAGAACAGGCTAAGGTGAGTTCCTTGTCAGATAAAGAGAAAATCTGAATGTCTAAATGGGCGTAATTAACATCGAAATTCCGTCTATGTGACGAACTACCGGCAATTAATTGCATTCCTTTTCAGCCTGTTCTGATTTCTGAATATCCAGGCCGAAATAAGTCGACAGTGCATCTTGATTAGATGTTATATGGCTGAGGTATTTCATCCACCAATAAGAGAACCCCACCCTTATCTATCTTCCTCTATCGTGAAGCAAAATACGAAAATTTACTTTTTTTTTTCAGTAAAATACTTGGGTCTGCTAGCGATGTCGCGGATATTAAAGTCACACCCGAAATCGGTACAAGCTCACAAGGATCTTGTACTGGCCTGCCTTGACGACAAGGACGAATCAATTAGACTGAGAGCACTAGGCCTTTTATATGGCATGGTAATATATTTTCATTAATTTTCTGTTGTCTGTAATTGCGAAAGATTTGTCTGCTAAATGTATGTATGATATATGCACATTGGTTCTCGGTAATTATAGTCTTTCAGTCACTTTTAACGTTCAATTTGGAACATATAACTTAACATATTGTTAACTAATACCCCCACCAAGAGACATGGAGAATTGGTTGACAATATAGTGTGTGGGCAGTATATAGTCTTCCAGCAAGCTTTCTATCAGTGTTTCCACAAGAAAAAAAAATATACATATCATTGTCTTTCGGGCTGTTCGGCCGATGTGAGCGAGAAGAGGTTCTCGCTCACATCGGCCGAACAGCCCGAAAGACAATGATATGCTGATCGATGGCCGTGAAAGCCTTACTCAATTTATTAAAAAAAATATATATTTTTAATTTGAAACATAAGTCATTTAAATCTTTTCTAATCATGTAAGCTACAGACAATTTATATTCATTGTTTTACTTTGTTCTGTATATGATAAAAATTAGACCCCCAATTTATACCCCTAACAGGTATCCAAGAAGAACCTCATGGAGATAGTTAAGAAGCTCATGGTTCATATGGAGCGCGCGGAGGGCACACTTTACCGAGACGAGTTGCTCACGCGCATGATTGAGATTTGCGCGCAAAACAACTACCAGCACGTGGTCGACTTCGAGTGGTACGTCACAGTACTGGCTGAACTCACCGAGATGGAGACCAGCGCTAAACATGGTGAGCCTTCATTTTGTTGCATTTGAAATTAATATACACACTAGTCCATTAGACGTTTAGTGTAATCAATAGACATTGTATTACATTTATAACACGGCAAAACTTGAACTATCACTTAAAATTTTCCGTGTTGCTGCTCTAATTGGGCTATCATGACTTTACACACGTCATTGTCGATTTTTTTTTTTTCGAATTCATGATACACGCACCTCTCGCACAATGTAATTTCAATGTTAACAATAGAAAATGTAAATAACAAATACAATAAGTATAAATAATAATTAGACACGCTAAAAATCAAATAATGGGCAAAACAAACAAGTAGGGAAAAAACTGTAATATTTTATTAATATCCATTTGTTTCAGGTTGTATGATTGCCGCACAACTTACCGAGGTTGGAGCGCGCGTAGCGGATGTGCGAGAATTCGCTGCGCGCGAGTGCAGTGCGATGTGCGCCCGCGCAGCCGCTGCACCGCCGGGGCCCGCTTCGCGAGAAGTTCTTTATGCTGCGGCCTATGTACTCGCTGAGTATTGCAAGTAAGTATTTCTAAAGTTATATGATTTTTGTATACATACAAGAAGACGCAACATACATACGTAAAGATATTTTAATTTTTCACTAGAAAATATTCTTTAATATTAAAACTGTCAATTGCAAATTACCGAATAGGCCGGAGTCTGATACCTGGCTCATCAAGAAGTGCAAGATACATATGTCCATTGTCTATAATCGAAAAATATTTATTATTATATTAATATTATTATTATTATAAGTGAAACTCTAAGAATAAAAGAAACTGCATTGTCCTTAAAATGTGCTTTATTCATTTAAAACAAATTAATTTATAAAACAGACTTGATTATTTTGTAAATTATTTACATATATCGTAAAGCTTATTGAAATATTTCCAGTGAGGAAAGTGTGATGCGCGAGTCGATAACGCCCGTACTAGTGTGTGCGCGGGCGCACGCAGGAGGCGGAGGCGCTATGAGGGCGCGGGCTGTCTGCGTCCATGCTGCGTTGAAGTTGCTCGCTAAATTACTTCTTCTTTACGAACAGCGCGGCGAACGTAATAATGCTATAACTGTAAGTTATTTACTTATTTTATTACAGCTATTGCATTTTGCCTCAAGCTTCACTTATTTCGGTTTTAACATGATTTTTATTTTAAATTATATTGTGGAAGGAATGTTTTGGTAAGTACTTCTCAACTAAGTGACATCTTATTCTTGTAGATATTTTTGACTGCCTCATTGGTCAAAAATAAATAAATCAATAATTTAGCAATGTATGGACCAATAAACAATGGAACATACGTTTGATCAAACGGATCCATCATGTTGGTAATCAATTTCTTTTAATGTTGTACTTCGCCTGGAATTCGTATATTAAGTGGGTTGGTTAATTTTTAAAAGTCACGTCCATAGATGAAAAGTCGTCACATTAACCAATATAGGTTAACGCAGCATCTTGTTTAGATGTTATATACGGGGGTTTTTCGTAACCAATTACTTAGCTACCGGGACTTAGACATCATCGTCGATTTTTTTCAATCCATTGATACATGCACTCTCGCGCAATGTAATTCCAACCTTAACTTTTGTGTATTAAGGTTCAATGTAAGGCTTTGCAGCTTTACAAAATCATTAAAGATGAAATTACGAAGTTCGAAAACTTGAATAATTTTTATTAAAATCATTTTGTATTCAAGTTTTCAAAAGTAAATGAGTCTTAAATTGAATGCAATTCGATCACTTGCGGCCAAAGATACAATTGGTGATAACGATACAGGTGGTGCACGAAGCGATGGCAGGCTTCAAACCGCTGCTCTGCAGTGAAGATATGGAAGTGCAGGAGCGCGCTCACAACGCGACCGCCATCCTGACTTTGCTTCTGCGGCGCATAGACCCGAGCAACACCATGCCCGACTTGGCTAAGGAACAACTCATCACCGATACACTCGTAGAACATGACAGGTGATTTTTGGCATTTTTTTAGTAAATAAAAAATAAAAATACAAATTATTGTTGTTGTAAAGTTTTACAATAAGTTTACCAAACGCCTCTTCCCTTTCAAATCCATCGCTATAAGCTTAAATTATATAATATATTATACAATTTATTTTTTCATAATAAATAATTGAATTTTATCCATTCAATAAAAATACATTTAGGAAGGCTTTCGCTGCCATTTTTTTTTTATTTGAGTTAAAGAAAATCTTAACTATTTGATGATGCCATTATCTCGTGACGGCGAAACGTAGCGAATCATTTTTCAAATGCGACGGTCGACCGATTTCTAATCATGAATGGGTCATCGATTTCCCTGTCCAACCTATTTCTAAAATTACAGTGTTTATGAAAGATATTTGTCTGTTAAATAAAACTCTTTTAACGGTTCAGAATGCGTAATGAACTTCGTCTGTAAACTCTGGACACTGTATTAATCGCGTTTCGTTTGCTGGGGTATTTCATGAAGCTTCGGGGTTAACGTGAATTAACCCGCATATGTCTTGAAGTTAAGATTATTTTTCTTTCTTTGTTCCCCACTAAAGTATAAATATATACATACATACTAATCATGAATTATCCATAAACATTAAAATCCGATTTGTTTTTCCAGTAACGGTCTGGATAACGATACAGAGGATGGCATTATAAACGGAGAGATCGCGTCAAGTCCATTCAGTGGTGGTCTTATAGAAGAGCTGGCGAGTTTGTTCGAAGGAGAACTGAAGCCAGTCGCACCAAAAGCACAGAAGAAAGTGCCCGTTCCTGACGAGTGAGTTTAATAAAAAATAAAAAGAAACACATTTCGTCGTTGGTATAAATAATAAAAAATAGATTTTATATTATTATTTATTTTATATATACAACTTTGTACTTACTGCCATTAAATAAGTGATGTTAACCTGGATAACTCTGGATACCAGGAATATCTTTGAAGAACTTGGAAGTATCATCTTGTCCCTACCCGGATTCAAACCAGAGACTATGATGTCAAGTCCGTGAAGAGCCATTAAGACCAACGGGGGGAATTATCTGTGGTTTCGTTTTAATTAATTTGCTTTTCAAACCATTAAAAATGTTCTATGTAAATGTGTTGCAGCTTGGATCTAGATCAGTGGCTGTCACACGATCGCTGGTCCTCTGAAAGTTCGAGTTCTGAAGATGAGAGCAATGCACTGTTTACCGCTCCGCAGCCTGATGCGAGGCCCGTCACCCATCTTACTGCTGATGAGTTGCAAATGGTTTGTGATTCTGGAAAATCCTAGAATTATTTAAATGTATTTAGGCCTACTGCCCTAGCTGTGCAAACTTTAGACATCTAGCTCTTAGTCCATCATATAATTATGAAAATAAAACACTTCAACATTTTAAACCGCGACATATATTAGTTAAATGTATTTACAAATTATTTTAAAGACCGCCCGACGTTACGGATACTTTGCAGTTCTGTGGTCACGGGGAAACTAAATATGGAAGGTGTCCCTAATATTAAAGTAAAAACTGCTACGCTAGCGCCATCTGTTCCGTCGTAGTTGGTATTTGGCGAAACTGGCGGGGGCCTTGCACGATTGTTAGATGTTATAATTAAAATAAGTTTAAATAGTGTATTTCGCCTTTTAAACCGTTTAAGTTTTTTATTTAAATCTTTACTACTCGAGTAAACTACAGACTAGATTTTTTCCAGTTATTCACAATTCACTGAGGCCCTATCGCAGATAAATACTGCATGGCCTTCCTACAGATGTTGCACATAACATAGTGTTTTCAGACCGTTCTTAACCTGCATTTTGATCTTTTCAGCTCCGAGAAGCTCGTAGACAAGAGCAAGCCAACAATCCTCACTACTTGAAGGATGACTCGCCTCGGTCCTACCAGCAGGACGACGTGCCCATAGCGGAGATAGCGTTAGAAGTACCGCTGCAAGTGCAATGTAAGTGCAACATATGTTTTTTTTTTTTCAATAAAACAGTAGAAATCAATAATCTATAATAAACAAATGTATAGGCCATATAAAAATATTCCAACATAAAAATATAAAAAATTCCCGCCTGGGTGTTAGTTACTTATACTCCTCCGAAGCGGTTCGGCTGATTTTTATGAAACTTAATTAATTTATTATTATTTTTTGGATTTTTTTATAATGTACAATTTTTCAATAGTTTAATCGTAATTTAATCATTTTCCATCTCGCTCCGTAACTGATCAATTATCACTTAGTTAGTTATGTCACTTTTTGCCCAGAAACAGCAAGGAGAAATTCTCTTAGAATATTTTTCTATCGGTTGCCAGTTAAAAAATATTTAATTATTTTGATATTTATTTTTCATAAGTCACACTCAGAACTTTTCACTATTAAGGAAACGGCAATTAACCATGCTAATATAGGTGTATAATATGTTTTCTAAAAAGGTTAGTTGACATAGTGGCATAATAGTACATTATGATATAAGTGCGGTAAGTTGAAAATTAAATAAGTGATAAAAACCATACAGCGAAAAGAAAAAGCGCGCGGAATTATTTATACTTGTCCACAAATAAGCGATGCGCGCGCATCAACTTTTTTTTTAGGCAAAGGTACAAAAACAGCCAGTATTACTAATAAAGTAAATTAATATTTTTGTGTTTTTGTTATAGAGAAATGGTTGTAATTTATTGTCAAAATTAATTGAATTAAAGAATTAAATGTTTATTTGTTATATTTTATTTCCCAACGTTAATTTTATATTATATATAATTTTATATATTGTCCACTTTCTTGACATAAAACCTCTTTGCTAAGATTTTTAAAAGTATCGTTCATTTTTAGACGGAGTATCTTAACATAGCCTTTTACATTACATTATCGCACAAGTACGTAATGAGATACATTACAAAATTGCTGTAATTACAACCACTTTACGAGCAAATATGTCATAAAAGTATTTTTTGTTCCAGCAAAAAGATCTGATAAGTACTTAGTAACGAAAGAGAGCAATAAGAAGACAAAGAAAGAGAAGCGACACTCGAAAAAGCGCAAGAACAAGACTCAGAGACATTCCACAGAATCTGACAGTGAAGGTATATTTTGAAAATTACTACTTTATTATGTCCCATTTTAATTTAATTAGGGACTACGCAAAATCATTTGATAATACCAAAACATATTTCAATTAAGACGATTAAACAAGTTGCAAACTCAAGTATATTTGTAAAAGTGGTCGCGAAAGTCTTATACAATTTAAACTTTATTCCTGAGAGTTTAAAATTCCTGATTTTTTATTTTAAGTTCAAAAAGGTACTTCAGACAAACATTTACTGCGTGTAAAACCTGTGTAACAATGTAAATAACCCACAACTGTGTTGTTTGTGAAATCGAGTCCATAAAACACCTTTCTGAATCTGTCATTCAGGGTTACCTGAGCGAGATAGCTTGTTAGCAATAAGGCCGCCCATTGTACTTCAGTTTAGTATATAAATCTCATTTGTGTTGTTGTTTTTATCTATTGTATACTAAAGTGTTGATAAATACATAAATTACCAAATACTGTGTGTAGTTTGCGCTAATAAGTTAACGGTTTAAAACGCGAATTATATTAGTTAAACTTAATAATTAGCCGTGGGTCTAAGAGACGTAGGAATTAGGGTAGACAGTCTCCGTGTAACCACGCACTCGAAACGTCGGGCCTTAGTCAAAATATGTTTATCTAATATATGTCGTGTTTTTAATCGTTAGTGTTTTATTAAAATACATAAATAATGTAAGCCATTTATGATATATTGGTCAACGCAGATGCAGACGAGGCCATTGTTTCCCGCCGACCAGCAGTAGAGACTGGTGGAGAGCTACCCGAAGGAGCTGCGCCCTCCGATGAAGAACCTCAACCAGCGTCTACTGATCCCCACCGTGCTCTAGACCTAGACCTCGATATGTATGTGTATCTTTCAATACACCAATTTATTCTAAAAAATTCTTTATCGTCAAAAAAATTTACTACACTTTACAATTTACACTAGGATTACCTATTAACAAAATTATTTACAAAACGCTTACACATGGTCACATTTTCAGACCACTTCGTGAAGAGGAATTACTGGTGACGAGAGTGAAGCAATATCCCGCCCCGGGGGGTGAACTGATACTCGAAAAGAAAAAAGATAAGAAGAAGAAGTCCTCCGATAAAAACTCGACTGAGAAGCCCGTAAAGAAGAAGAAGAAAACCTCTAAGCACACCAAAACCGCGGAACTAATACCGGAATTGAAGAGCGAGACCTCTGATAACTTAGTAGTTAATAATATAAGTAATGACGTGGAGGGCGCGGGCGACGTCCCGCCCAACGCGACGCAGGTGAAAAACAAGACTGAAAAACATAAGTCTAAAAAAGATAAAGACTCGAAGAAGAAGTCTAAGAAAGGTGAGTAAAATGCTCAAGTAATATTAACATTTATTTTTATAAATTTATAAATCTTTTGCGAACGGTGTCAGGGAGGATACAAAACATTAAAAACATCTATTCAGATTAAAGAAAATTGACGTTACGGGAATATGGACCGGCATCAACAGCGATCATGCTGCTTAAACCAATTGAGCTACCGTGTCTTACATGTCATTGTATAATGTCTTCAACCCTTCAAAAACTCAATTACAATATACATTCGGCAATGTAATTTCAACCCTTAACCTACATATTCACGTCACATTTTTTAAGCTAAATTGATTTTATTCATATATGGTGACATGATTCAATAATGTGTAAAAATATGTGTGAAAGTTTTGGAAACAAAGTTAATGATTGGGAATTTCTTTATAGTTCGTGTTTTATGTGTATTTCAGATAAGCACGAAACGAAAACGGGGTACGAGGAGGCGTTAGGTATTTCTACGCCCAGCAAAGAAGTCATTTAGTGCCTGGCATAGACACTCCCCCCTGTCAGATGCTGTCTCTCAGTGCAATTGTTTATTTGAACAATTAGTTATTATTGAATATATTTTATAAGAATGATTTTAATTCAACTTAACGATGTCCACTAAACGTATATTTCTATTCATGTTTAGACCATAATATTAAGTATGTATAATCATGTACAGTTATGAAAGATTATTAAAGTTAAAAGCGATTCGTTTACTTTGAAATAAAGCTAATTTCTTCATGTTTCACTGCGTTTTCATTCACTTTTCAAAATATTTTTCACTTGAAATTTAATAAAATTAAAATTTATTAGTCATATGTTCGATTTTCAAAAGTAATTAATGCTTAATTATTGAATTATAAAAATTTCATTTATAATCATATGACACCTAGTTAACTCAAAAAAAACTTCAGCTGGAGAGAACTTAAGTTTTGGTTTCGTTGCTTTGGGTAAAACCAATCAACCGGCCGTAAGTTCGATACATTTTGTTTAAATTATTTTATACATTTTCCGAAATCATCGTCTGAAAAATTTGGACATAAAATCGAAATTCCATATGTAAAGTGTAAAACCGCGTTTCTGTCTCTGCCAATAGATTTTAGAATGTGCAAAGCCAAAATAGGTAGAGAACGCATCAGTTGTGTAACTTCATTACTTACAATTTGAAGGTAGTCTGTCATAAATAAACCACCACAACACTTGTAGAATGTAGTATACTCGATCCAAATGATTTATTATTATTAAACAGGAAAATTAAACTGAAAAATGTTACAAAAGCAATAATGGTAAAAAAAAAGTTCTCATGACGTCACTTTCGTCTTTTGCGTCTTCCGTGGCTGGGAGCACAGGGGTCGCTGCACCCCCCTCCATCGCTCGCGCCACTACCGCCACCTGGTTTCGATTTGCCCATACTTATTGCTACCTGTTATTGGAAATTATTATTAAAAATGCTACTGTGTGTTTGTTTGTCATCCTACGACGTTCATTTGAAGCGTTTGTTTGCTTGCTCATATGTATATTATCATGGAGGGAACTATTGAGGATTACTTACACCTAATAGAGCGAGTAAAGTCAGAAATAAATATATTATGATTGAATAATAATGGACAAAACCCTAAAACTATTACTACATCAGTTTTAAGTTTTCGTTTTATACTTGTTACAATAGTCTCATAATAAGCTAGCAACTACATATAACGAGTACTCGACTAAAATTTGCAATCCACTATAACATTCCAATTACAACGCTACGAATGGTGTAAATTTCGAGTCAGTTTGATTTCGACTCGTCCACAGCTCACCCAAGAAGCATATCACTAATGGTACAATAAAAGTCGTGAAACGTTTATTTTAACTTTAATTAGAGTGTGATTACATCATATTACATATTCAAGAAATAAATATCACTCAGGTATATAAACCTTGTTGTACTTTAAACGCGTTAATGAAAAATAAATGAATCTATCTACAAAGGAACATACAAGTCGTTTAATAATACTTAATACTTTTTATTGCGCAGCTACACGTATTAGCAATGTAACAAATCTACATCTAAAACAAATACTATATGATCATATCACTAAGTTGCTGATTTTACCATTTATAATACATATATGTAAACATTCAATGTTTAGTTTTGTAAATGAAAAGTGTACACATCATATTGTACACGTGAGTACAAAAAGGGGGCAACCCATAGTGTCTTTTTGCAATTCTATTACTTTGAAATCTGACGTCATATTAAGTAAGGGGGGGTGTCACGTGACCAGGACGGAAGGGGAATCTGAAATTCCATCATGATTTACGGATAGCCCCTTATTGTTAACAGACATGGAGACTGGGCTTTTAAATATTAAGTATACATTCCAATTTCTTAAATACACTGTCAAAACAACTTAAACTAGTGAAGAATAAATTAAAACGCGACGACCAAGTAAGAACTTGGGGCTCCGAGTATTTTAATGAAACGAGGAACATAAACAGAGCGGTTGAAAAGCACTAGTGTAGGTTGACTAACAATGCACGACACAACAATTGAGTTATAACACTTTTACTTAAAATCTATTTGATTCGAATAAATAATAACTTCTAGAATTTAATCACCTCAAATCATTAGGTGCGATGAGATTATATAGTGATGTTTTAAGAGGTGAAAGCTTTTGGCGGGCTGGGTAGTGTCCAGGTCTTGGACTGGCAGGTACCATCCTGTCACTAGATCGTCCAAATACAATAAATATGAAATCCAATGGACATAAGGATACCATTATCCGGTACAAAAAACTTCACGTCAAAATGACTAGATCTCAATGTCTTATACGGTTTATAAATAGATTTTTCTTAACTTTTCCAAATACTTATTTACTGTCTTTTATCAAAGTATTAATGAATAATAATCCAATGCAGCGTAGCAGGCCCAATCTGCTATTTACAATGGCTAGCTTTAAGGTTAATAAGGTTCCGTTTTAATTCTTGTTCGATATATTATAAGTGTTCCTTAGCATGTTGGTACTGGTACTAAGTATGTACTGGTTTGAAAATTAGCAGATATGGGACCCTTTTAACCCATTGGAAGTGACTTGATGGTACAACAGCCAGCTCGACTACCTACAGCTAACTAGTCTACTTCTCTTGCATCATCTTGGGAATATTGAGCTTGACCTCAACACCGGCTTTCTTAGCGAGCGCCACAATCTCCGACAGCTGCACCACCAGCTGCGCCGCCTCGTCGAGGTCGTCTCGTGGCACGATCCGCAGACCCGAATCGGCGATCAGTTTGCGAGCCTCATTCACTTTGGTACCCTAGAAACAGATCTGTTATGAGCATTCGAGAGTTCAAGTAAGAGCCTAAGAGAGATGTATCTTCCTTAAATCAACTCACACAAGTCGAATTTTCAACACAAGATTGTACTCTTCAAGTAAAAAGTGTATCGTGGGGTACACCCCTGCACAACATTGTTTCAAGTTGTAAAAGCCGCAGTGAACTAAACAAAAACAACTATATTTGTCTTCTGCGGGGCCAGGGCAAGATTAAAGCTACAAGTATATAATCTAAGGTTTAATTCAATTTAGTAACTTCTTTTTTTACTATATTGACAATCATCACCTCACCTCACATTAATAAATGACATTTGATTTGAGGTTGATTTGATACCGGAGAGCAAGTAGCTAATTATACACGGACATAAATATTTAGTGCCATAGAATCGAACTTGCGGTCTCGCTAATTGTCAGGTATAGACATATAAATAGAGTTGGAATATTTAAATTCACGATTCAAAATATGTAATGTAAGCTATAACGACCGAAGCCATTATATAAACATAAGATAAGATGCATTACTGTAATCTTATTTATAAAATCACACGAGAATTTTATTAGATTTTCACACCACGTAACCGTTATTACTCAAAAAAAGATTAGCAAAATAAATTTCTTATATGAACAATTTGGAATTCAAACTAAAATTTTAGCGAGAATGTGAATAGTGTGACAGTCACTATCAATTTATTATATACTAGCACTAGGCATCAATTTTAGAATATAAAAAAAACATTAACCGCCTCCTTGGCTGAATGGTAAACGAAAGAGTCTCGAGAAAAATAAGTTCCAATCAGGAATTAGTGAAACGGACACAAAAATGTGTCTGCTCCATGTCGATATAGGATTACACACATAAAAAATGTCAGCTGTATAATTTAGTCTAGTGCGGTTCACTGAAAAAAACTCAAATACTCATAAAACAGTAACTCGTCGTCCTACATTGAGCAAAGTATAAAAATTCTCACCTGTAAGCGTACAATGACTGGGATCTGAATGTCGAGGTTCTTAGCGGCATTGATGATACCCTCCGCGATGACGTCACACCGCATGATACCTCCGAAGATGTTGACCAGGATAGCAGACACCTTCGGGTCCGACAGGATGATCCTGAACGCTTCCTGGAGGTGGAAAAATACAATGGTTTCAACAAAGCGTAATTGCTTAGAAGATATTTTATAGTAGAATAAGAGCGTTTAGATTAAGGACGTGTTCTATAATTTTGTTTTAAAACATTTGCGTGTAAGGTTTGAAACGTTCTTAGCATTAAATAAAACACCCTTCAACGGTTTCCCCCACCTGCCGCCCGGAATCCCACACCGGATCCGATACGTCGGCCCCTTATTAAAATAAGTTAATATTTCGCGTTTAACCCAGTTAAAAGTGTTTAACTAAAACATACATTCTTTCATAATTACGTCCTTCGCCAACTTGTGTTAAAAATGTGTATGTTTTTAGTTATTAACAATTGCATATTTAATTAAAATTATAATTGCATTTACTTCGTCTTGGTTACAGATATCTCACGTATTATACAAAATTATATAATTGTTATGTATAGCTAAAATTAAAGTAAATGATCAATTTGTTAGCAATGATAAAAAAGACAAATTAATAAAAGTCACGTTCAATATATATACTCGTGGGTGTTAATTAGTTGAAAATATATTATACATAATATATGGTGGGGGCTAGACTAATATGTTTAGGTGGTACATAGTTATCGACCTTTCTATATTGCTCAGTGGCACCACTTTATAGACTTCCTTAGCATGAAAGGTGAAAGGTCGCGCGTTCAAATAAAAAATATACAGGTGCTCACTAAACAAACTTGAATACTAATTAGCCGTATAAAAGAACTATCAATTATGTGTAAATAAAACACGTGTAACAGTTTAAATTTTAAACTTTAACTTTGGCCCATTTTAGTCCCTCGTGACCACGGCTGCTGTCTGCATACGGAAAATAAGTTGACAAACATATTTCGCGTTTTGAACCGTTAAAGTGTTTAATTCAAATGTGTACTACTGGGAAAGATTACAGACAATACTTATAATTTTTGTGGTAAAATAAAACATTGAAAATTTGTAATGCCCGTAGGGATTATACTCTGACGCAAGCGAAGCATTTTTTATCCATTACTAAAAAGTGTACAACGCAGCTAAAGAAGTTTTTATTTCAAAATCGCTACACTACAGTCGACCTAATTCATTTGATTAGTGAAGCAAAGTAATGTGACGGCCCCAGGCCCACATAACAGAGATGACCGCACTTTTTAAATATAATATTCAGTAAGATATAGACTCAATACATTTTATTCGACGTAAGCAGGAAATATTACCGAATTAATCAATCAAAGCGCAAGATATTAATGCAGAAGGCTACTCGTTTATTTTGTACTTTGGCCCGACGGGTAAAGTGCGAGAGCAGTTCAAAGACTCCGAAGCGAGATAGCGTCACGGCGACTGCTCGATGATAAAATAAATGAGCATCGTATGATTTCGAATTTTATTTAAAAATATAATTTATTATTTTTTATAATAAGGGACCGACATTGACGGATCACTCGATGGAAGTTGTGCTCTAGACCTATTTTAGCTTTTAGCATTCAGAAATCCAAATAATGAAATTGAAACGCGATTAAGCTTTACCGATGTTTCATCTGCGAACGGTGGTTCGTGACCCGGGGCGAAATTTCGATATTACCATTTAACATCCAGATTTCCAGACGACGTCCAACATGTTTCCGAAAACTTGTACATTTAAAAGCATGTTGGACCCGGCGAGGTCCGAACCCACCGACCCGTTGACGATTCATAGCTACTATCAGACGAACGCGACGGTCAATTTTTTCACATACCACCAACAAAATATTTTACGGCGTACAAAAACCAACCGGAACGCCCATAAACAGGTAAAACCACAGCATGACAATAACTTTATTTCGATACAACATATATAGTTGTCACTACGTACTTGTAAGTAAAATCAATCCGTCAATCGGACATTCTTTGTCCTATGCGGTGCATGTGGGGGAAACCGGATTTCACGAACACAACGACGATTAGAACAAATGTTTAAGGTTTAATTTAAAAAATATATACATGTATAACAATAATATGTATAAGAGCCCTATCACCCATGCTTACAGTTCATTAAAATCCGTACAGTATCTTACGTGTCAGAGATCAAACATACATATACAAAATGTGTACTTTAGTCTGGTTAAAACATACACAATAAATTTTTATTACAAATAGTACATACAGAGACAGCCTGGGCAGTAGCTCCACCACCAACGTCGAGGAAGTTAGCTGGGTCACCACCATACAGCTTGATAATGTCCATAGTAGCCATGGCCAACCCGGCTCCGTTTACCATGCATCCGATGTTACCTACATACAACATAATATACCAATAAATGGTTGGGCTTCTATTTACCGTGACCATCTCTGTAGCTCAACAAGAAGTTTGAGTCACAAAATCAACCATTTGTTTAAAAATAAAATGGAGTTGTGTTCTATTTTGTGACACGGAAATGTCCCACAGGAGAAATGGGGGCACACCTACATTTCTATTTACCTTTTAAGCAATTCAAAATTAACATATATGATAAGTAACATTATGTAATCGGATATATCAATATATGACGCAGCTAGAGACAGAGTGGCCTAAAAACAAAAACATGATTTTCAATGAGGAAAAATAAAATTAGCAATTAACTTAGGGTTAATTTTTGGTCACTGTGCTCTTATAGATTAACATTTTTAGACTATAAAAATATAAATAACTCAAGGCCTAAAATTGCAGTTAGGCTACTCTGTCTCAAGCCACCTCATATAATGAGTATAAGCAATATGTATAGTAATCTAATATATCGATATATATAAAACTCACCATCAAGAGCAATGTAGTTCAAATCAAATTTAGCAGCTTCGATCTCCTTGGAATCTTCTTGCGTGGTATCTCTTAATTGAAATAGTTCCTTCTGTCTAAACTCGGCATTGTCGTCAAAACGGAATTTGGCATCCAGGCAGAAGACTAAAAACATTTTTTATTATACCACAAACAGGGACATATTATATACAACTGTAATCTTGACATAAACATTACTTACATTTTCCTGTTATAGCATCTTCAGCGTAAGGATTGACTTCGATCAATAGCGCATCTTTCTTGAGGAAAAGGTCATACATCTTCTTTATCATGTCTGATGCGTCGGCCGAGTGTTCTTTTAGTCCAATCTAAAATATGACATTTATCTCTGTGTAACAAAATATTTTATACATAACATTTGTTTTGGTTAATTAAATTGTTAATCAACATATATAACATGATTCATTCACAGATAAAGGGTGTGTTGCGGCAGTAAGCGTTAGAGGTCCTGGGTTCAAAAATGGCAGTTGTTGGTAGGGAAGGGCACAGAATTCTTGATATACCACATACTATATAAAATGTAAACCTATATCTTCCTCACGCGAAACAAAGTATAGTTAATCGATTCTTGATTGTTGCTTCTATTCAAAGGCTATTATCACATGCATATATAAAAATTGTTTAAAGCATGTTCACCTTTTCTACAACACGTGTAACTTGGTCATCAGTTATACCAGTTTTAATGTCGATCGGTTCATATGTGATAGCATCTGGATTCTCTGCTGCAACATCCTCAATATTCACCCCACCTTGAGATGATGCAATGATTACTGGACCCTACAAGAAAAAAACGAAAAAAATATACAAAAACAATTCATTTCCTTGCTTAAAATATGTTAACATATATATTGTTTGTTTTTTTTCTTGATGTTTTGCCTACATATTAATACGATAATAAAACTATATTTTTAAGCATGTTGATAAAGTTAAAAATAACACTGCCTATAAATAATAGTAGCTTGTGTTTGTGTTAACATATGTGTGTTTAAATTTGTCGCAACCATAATTAGCACTCTAGTTTGTGTCTCACAAGTTTTTTGTTACCCAACATATATTTTGCATATTGATAAACTTACATTAAAACTTCTTTCCATCATAATGGCAACATAATATTCTTTACGGGGGAATTTCCTCTCTGTAACCATCACCATGTTGCAAATACGTCCTGCAGCCCCAGTCTGCTTTGTTACCAAGTATTGCTTTAACATTTTACCCACAATGTCTCCAGCTGCTTCAGGTCTAAAATTATAAAAATTAAATAAGCTAGGAAGAACTATATATCATATTAAATTAGAGATATTGCTGTGACTTACGTATTAACCATTCTTACACCTCCTTTCAAGCCATTTTTAAAGGCACCCCTGCCTCTACCACCAGCAAGAACCTTTAATTATTGATATAAATAAATATAAAATCAAATAAGACTTTAAATGTTATTATAAATTTCTTGTTTAAAATACCTGGGCCTTTAATACAATGTCTTTGGTATTAAGTTCCTGGGCATACTTGACTGCCTCGTCCTTTGTCTTGGCAATGTTGAATTTTGGGACTGGAATACCATTATCGCGAAGTAATGTATAACTGACATATTCATGTACATTCAGATTTCGTACTTGCTGTTTGCTTGGAATTTTATTTCCTGCAGACACTGCCAATAACTATAAGAAATTAAAATATAATTTCCTTAAAGAAACACTTTTTGTAGTGACTAACAATATGACACTAGGACACTGAAGTTACAATTTTAATGATGATGTACTTCATACATGTAAATGAAGATCAAACATTTCTAATTTTTATTAAAGCATACTCTAGGTGACGTAAGGTCTACAAGGCTGACAAGGTCGAGTTTATAAATAAAATTATATAAATGTACATAAAAGCAAAGTGATAAGCAGATAAATATTTAAAATGATAGCGAATTTTTTTAAATTGCTTTTTTTAAATATTATTCATATTATTCAAAGCTTTTCAATTATGAACAATTGACGATTTTTACGTTCAGATAATCAATTAAATTTCTAGGTTGGTAAATATAGGCATTAGACGTATAAAAAATAAAAAATAACTTATAGGGATGATATGTACCTTGGATCCATTTTTTAGAAAAATTGTTTCTGCTAAATATAAAGAACGAGGAAGTAAAGTCGCCATTTTTACTGTACAACTAATGACAAATAGTGACATAAGACGTACTTATTAATGCGCTACATATATTTTTTAAGTTATTTTACTGAATCTGGATACTAGTGTTTTGGCCATAATATTCGATTATAGCAGATAAACGATTAATCGATTTTAAATATCTACGAAGGCAAGGATACGAAAAAAAACTAATAAATTGGTCGTGAGCACAGATCATAAAAACAGATGATTGTCTGTCTTATCCCGCTTCAAATGTATATTCCCCGCCAACTTTAAATACTATTATTTTGAAGTAGACCAGTAAAAATAAATAGAAAAATTAAACACCATATTAAATTCAGAGGTGTCGCACTATTAAATAACAGCTAAGTTCATGTTAAATTTAATAACTAAATTAAAAATTTATACGACACTGGTGGGACTTGGAACTCGCGTCCACAGCCTTCCGTGTTGCTGCACTACCCCAATGATCTAATGCATCTATTCTTAATTATTCATTTTTCTATGTTCACTTCATGTAGGAACTAAACTCAAAACATAATATAATATTCATAGGCTTCTTTATTTACAAACTTTAATAAATAATTCAATGTCAAGCACTTAAATGAACAATATTTTTTTGTTGTTCTTCTGTCCAAACACCATTCCCTGAAAAATAATGTTGTTTCTCTAACATATACAATACTATACTCAACTTTTGGGACTTAGTTATTTTTGTCAAATTTATTTCACTAATTAAATGACTGATTTTATTTCTATTTTTGAGACTGTCAATAGTGTCTAGTTCCCGTTTAATTTTATTCCATGGGTACAGAAGTATTGGACAATTTTCATAAATATCTTGCACTGAGAAAAGAGTTAGTAATTTATCACAGACATACTTTACTTCCACTAGTGGAATATTAATCCAAAACGGATGTTTCTTCAGCTTCTGACGAATATCTTGGGATGAGAATTTATTTCCCAACGCTTGATTAACAGAAAATACCAAATCTTTCCCCTTACCTAGTCCATCTCCAGGAGCTTTTTGAAAAGATTCATAACGACGTCTACAGCCAGATACAATATTAAGACTCAAGCATCGTTTATTGCTATCTTTTAAATTTGTTATCCGTTTTAGTACTGTAGTGTTATAATGAATAATCTTCAAAAATCTAGGGTGATTGCAATATATATTGAATTCTGGCATTGCTCTTGTGTTCTCTAATCTTTCTGCAATAGTCTTTGGACTTAGAGTATAGATTTCTAGGCATCTAGACTGCGCTTCATCACCAATTCCATATTTTTCTAGTATTTTTTTTGTTTCCAGTAAGGAAGTATAACTCCTGGTGGCTAATTTGGGATACATTCTAATTACTTCCTTTATATCGACTCCACCTATGGTTCTAAGATAGTACAAAATATTTTTTAAGTTGTCAGGGTCAATATGTATCAAATACATATTTGACTTTATTTTTTCATTAGACATCTGCACTTGAGATTGTAATATAAATAATGTTTCATTTATAGCTTTGAGAGGTCTGTGCTGTATAGTAGGGTATGTCTTCATGCCTCTGTAAAATTCTTCTTCACTGAGATCAAGCATTAATTCCAGATACCTTTTTATTAATTTAAGTCTTATTGTATACAAAGTAGACAAGTTAACATCACCTTGTATTTGAGTTGTAAGTGATGTAGGCCATTGAGATAAACAACTTGCCAGTTTGTTTTCTATATTAACTAATGTTGATAATAAGCCCAGGCTCTTTAATTCTCCAATAGTTCTTTGTTTTATAGTCTTTAAATATGAGAGTAAGAGATCGGGTGTGATATCTTGAAATCCACATTCGTCTAAGATCCTGTACCTATTTTTTAAAGTAAGTGGTAGCATGTAAAACAAAGTAGGATGGCTGACTAAAATATCTCTCGAGTAGCCTATAGAATACAAAGTTTTAACCATTCCCTCTACACGATCCTCAGTCATTTTAGATATGTATGGTTCTTTTAATTGCATATATTTTGCTCTTTCCTTGTCGATTTTCAAATGTTTGCACAGAATTGATAAGTTATCTTCTGCATTTGTAGAAATTAATCGCATCTGTCCCCACTTTGTAAAGCGTAAGCCAAGCAACTTTTGCAGCAGCATTCTTGAAAAAAAAATCATTAATTTCTGATCATAAAATTTGTATAATATTATAATCATTAGTGTTCATTATTATAAATAATTAAAGATTATTTATTTCATTTTTAAATGTATTTATGAAATTATACATTGGTTTGACGCAAGTCTGACGTTTTAACTTTTAAGACAATTTCCAAGAGTTACAGCTGTTACAGCCTACAGATAGACGAATATAGTACAGACTATACAAGAAAATGTATCTGTAAGGCGCTACTGTACTGTATTTTTTAAATATACAAATTATATTTAGTTTTTTTATTACTATTTACAACGGATGTAAAAATTTGGATTAATTAAATAAATCTGTATCAAATTAACACAACACTAATTACTAGTTTACTAATTCGAACACCAATCTGGCAACAAAATTTATTTTAAAACATTTTTGGGCGTTGTGCTTGGTTGTTCAAAACAGCAAATTATTGTTTTATTTCCGACTCTATGTTATTATTGTGCTCTCAATGATTGTGCTGGTCACAGTTAATTTCAGATACCTATAACTTCCTAGATATTCGGCACAAATTAGATCTACATTTTCAGAAATCATGGATCATTAAACAGAGCACCAAAATTTGGATTTTACAAAGCTTTCATAACTATACAGTGTTATTATAAAATTTTATAAGCGAGACTAAATACAATGGTTTCAAAATCGAAGACCGGGTTATTTGCCCTTGGATTTTTTACTTTTGCTTCTTTATTTATTATTATTTCTTTTGTCAGTCCTTATTGGCTAGTAACTGATGGGAAACTAAAGAATCCGAAATTTATAAGAATAGGTTAGTGCAATATTTTTGTGTTTAGTAATGTTAACAAAAGATGAATTACCATGACATCTCTTATTGTTTTAGGTCTATGGGAAGTTTGCTTCAATGGCTTCGAAGAAGTACATCATTGGTATGACACAGTGTTCAAAAATTGTTGGTGGATATTTGAAGAAGAATACTACATCATTCATGACATACTCTTACCTGGATTTTTTATTGCTACCCAATTCTTCTTTACAATAACTGTTTGTTGCATCATTCTTTCATTTTTCTTGCTGTACATTTACTTGAGAAAAGAGGAAGATGATGATAATTATGTTGCACTTCTGTTGACATTTGGGACCACTCTTGTTATTGGTGGTAAGTAAAGTGAAATCATATTTTCCGTGGTGGGGCCTGAAGTGAACACATTATCAGTTTACAGGCAAGTTAATCAGACTTTAGTGCCCTGCCTAGTTGAAATATTCGACTCCCCATACTATCCCTTGACTTTTCACACTAAACAAAAAACCTAACTATCAAACTATAGAGGCAGTTACTCTTGTGGTATATGATGTTATGATATGTGATGTAATTTATAACTGCTTTATGTTTTATTTTAAACTAAGGGAAACTAAATTATCTGCATCTTTTTGCTTCACTGACTAGCTTTATTTATAGGTATCCAAGTTGTTATGGCTGGACAGGTATTATTCTGTTTCTTCAGGTGGTTAGTAAGGATAGTATAATATATTGTATCATTTATTACAGGTTTTTCAGGGTTGGTATCTGTTATTACATTTGGAGCCCGTGGTGATGGAAGAGACTGGATGCCCCACTGGGAACATAATGATCTAGGATGGGCATATGCTTTAGGCGTTGTAGGAGTGATATTCCTATTCCCTGGTGGCATTCTGTTCCTCATTGAGGCGAGAGTCAGGAAATACAAACGATTACATGAAATGCAAAGTAGAGAACCTTCGTCTTATACTATGCAGGAAAGGAAGGTTGCTTTCCCTGGTCACACAGATATTTAAATCTTATGTTTAATTTTTATAGAATCCGTCCAGTATGAAGACTTTTTTTACTAACAAGATTATTCTTATTAGCTTAAGTTTAATATTTTTTTTAACAAAGCTGTTAAATAATAAATGACGTTTCTTGATGAATTTGTATTTTATTTAAAAATAAATTGTGCATTCAATTACATAAATTTTTGAAATTTAAATTAACAAAAAAAAATATAACTACTACAAATTAAAAGTATCAGGAACAGTAGTTTTACATGTCAGGGATGCTCTCGCGCACTCAAAACCTGTTGAAATACAGATTTCTTCATTCTTGTGTTGCAAAAAAGCATGAATAAACCCACTAGTAAAGCAATCCCCTGCTCCAGAAACATTTTCTACCCTATTAATATTGTGGGTAGGGTAGAACTTTACATCTAATTCATCCATTGTTGTATCTTTATGTTTGACAACCATAACACCTTTAGATCCCATTGTAATAATTAGGGATTTTACATATTTTAAAACTATTTTTGATAGTTCAACTATTTGAAATGTATCATTATCTTTTATGGTAACGTTCTGTGATTGGGGTTTTAAAATTAATGCTATTTCTTTTAGTTCTGATATGTTTGGGGAAGCGAAGGCCACGTTGTATTTGTGTTTTAAAAACGGTTTAACCGCTTTTCTTCGGTCAGTAGGTTCGAAGAAAACTGAGAACAAAAATCTTAATTAGATAAAACGGCCTGCAGAGCTGCCAAATTAACAATAAGTAGAATTAAGACTAAGATTTTATATTAGTATGAAGTTTAACAATTCCATTTCTCAGCGCTAGCATACATATTCTATTGGTATTCCCGCTATATTAAAAATAAACATTTTATAATAATCGATTAATATCTACTTTCGATTCGATACCAAGTTCTCGATGACAGACTTTTTCATAATCTATGGCATGACTAGGTCTGCCGTGTATCTATGGCTTTAAATATTCTCTTTAGACTCCACCCAAAAATTGAAGCCAGTTGAAGCTGTTACAATATTGTTAATGTTTGGTTTCGTATTAGACTCGACAGTTTTATTTTGGTGAATCAAACGTTAAAATATGAACTTAAATTTATTGAACATTATCAATAATTAAGTTTAAAATCGTTAATGATTAAAACAATAAAGAATTTTAGTGTTCTCGTAAAGTGTAAACAGTAAAAACTTCTCAAGTATATCGAATTTAATTAAATATACTGTACGTTTTCGATAAATTACTGTGTACCGAGTCTACAAAACTAAGGTAAATTGTTTAAATTACAATAGTTCTTACTTATTGTTTTACATTTCTACAACCATTTAGAAAACAACAAATTAATAATTTCCCTTGCAATCATTATACATCAAAGTTGGAAAATCATCCTAATAATAGTAAAAATACATTACTTTTTTACTAATCTGATAAGCCAATAAGACCCTTATTTTGTAGTAATGCTTATTAACTATACTAAAATCCTGTTATGTGCTTTCAATTCCGAGGAAATATATGTTATTTTAGCAAGAGTTTAAAGCAAATATACTGGTTAAGGTTTTTTTTTATTTTAGTCCAACACACATAGTCTCATCAATTTCACGATGTTGGTTTCTTTTTTTTATCTTATCATTAAAGTTTATGTTAACTTATTTAATTGGAATAATAATATTTTAATAAAATATAAGAGAATACTAAAACTTTTTCTTGAAGTGGAATTAGTTAACAATTGAAAACATAACACCCTGTTTCTCTTACGAAGCAGACACATTTATCTATCTATATTTTATAACAGGCAGACAGCCGATCTTACTGGATACTACTGTATCCCATAAGACTAAAACTATTATCAGTTGTGAAGGCACCAACTCTTAAATACAATATTAATTTTGAAACTTGAATACTAACCTCTTTTCCTCTCCTTCTCTCTACTTTCCTTTTCTACTTGGGTTGCCTGGAAGAGATCTCTTGTTAGAGAGAAGGCCGCCCATTGTACCCCATATTTTTAGTACATATATAAGTCTTTTTTATATTTTTGTTCATTCTTTTTTTGTACAATAAGGTGTAAATAAATAATTAAACCCTCTTTACAATATACAGATATTAGAGCCCTGCCAAAGAGATTAAAGGTCTAATACAATATATGTAATAAATAATATGTAATAGACATTTTTGTTTTTGACATTTCATTACTTGTTCTAACCAATAATTTTCATTGGCTGCACTAGGCACACTTACGGTCACTTAAACCTTTATAGATACACAAATCCTAATTACAATACACAGATATTAGTGTCTTACCAAAGTAATACATACATTACAAGAGATGATACGTTTAATATTATTGATTTCAATGTTTTATTACCGGTTGTAAACAATAATTTTAATTGCTTTCATTAGGCTTGCGGTCACTTAAAGATAGATACTTAGATTTGCCGTTGTATCATTGATACCTAAGGTTGTTTAACCCTGAACAGCAGACATTCTCACAGTGACTAACGCGTGTGAACCTTTTAGCATTGTTATTGGTCGAGTTTTATGTTGAATTGCCAAAAGTACCTTCGCCACACGTTTAGCGTAGGTTACGAAACTTCTGTTTGCTATTCATCTTTCATGTAACCTCGTTTCAGGTTTAGTGTCTTGTGTTACAAATACAGTAATGGGTATACTTTGTCTTGACCGATCAAGGTTAAAATGATTTACGTACCTAGTTGTCATTATGCTTTGAGCTGTGTAAAGTTCTAGTCTTTAAACTACTTTAGTTTAATGCTCCCAGTATATCTATACTAAAATATAAAGCTGAAGAGTTTGTTTGTTTGAACGCGCTAATCTCAGGAACTACGGGTTTGTTGGTTATACATCGCGATTAGATTTATAGGCAAAGAAACAGCCGGGAAAGGAAAAAAAACAGGGAAAAATATTATACTTCCTTGTGGGTTGTTCGTTGCGTACGCTACGAAACGGTCAAGATACCCACAAAATATGTATCAAAGAATGACACTTCTTCAAATGATATCAAAAAATGTCCGCGTCGGTATTTGTCTATTTATTAAGATTAACACGTAAGAACGACTGGACACGAGCGACATCGTGGAGAACAGCTAAAATTTATAAATACCAAGAGGAGGATTGCAAAAAAACAAAGTTTGTTACTCAAAATAACTACTCTACGCGGACGAAGTCGCGGCGATAGCTAGTTATGTTATAGTTATGTTATCAATCGAATAAGTACCTTAAAACTTTTCGTAGCGCTTGATGGAACTCTCGAAGATTAATTAATAATTTCCCCGTTTGTTTCATCGCTCCTATTGGTCACAGCGTGATTTATAATCTATATCCTAAAGCTTTTCTATCTGAATGGTCCAACCAACAATTTTTTTGAAAAAATATTTTTTTTCAATTCACAAAAACAAACAAACAAACAAGCTTTATAATATTCGTTTAAATATATTACATATTTATTCTATTTATACTAATATTATAAATGCGAAAGTAACTCTGTCTGTCTGTCTGTCCGGCTTTAACACCGGAACTACTGAACTGATTTCAATGAAATTTGGTATACAGATATTTTAGAGCCTGAGAAAGGACATAGGCCAAATAAGGGTTGAAAAAGGGGATAAAAGTTTGTATGGAAATTCATGGTTTTTGAAGCTAGAACAATGAAACTTTCTTCTTTGGCTTTTTGGGAATGGGAGTGAGTGTAGAATTGAGAGTGGGAGTTAGAGTAGGAGTGATGTGAGGTGAGAGTGTTGCGGCGAAGTAGCTCTTACAACATAGATTGGCTGCCTTAAATGCGCCCTTACATAAATTAATAAACAGCCTAAATAATTAAAAATTCTACCACAAGTCACTATTCCACGCGGATGAAGTCGCGGGCACACCTGTAGTATATACGTAGATATAACTTTGACAATACCCCTCGATAGATAAATTTCCAGAGAACAAGTGTGACACATGGTCACATAAGTATAAATTAAATAATTAATGCGATTCGTCGTTACAGCTGGACTAACTACGATTTCTGTATTATCTTTTCACAGGAACCATGAGAAACCGGAGCCTCGCTGGTAATTGCGGCATTGCCGTGTTTGTGATCGCCCTTGTCACGGTGGCATTGGCATTCGGTACGCCCAATTGGCTAGTCAGCGACTCTAGGATTCGCGGGGCCAAAATGGAACGGTGAGAAAACAATTGGATAGTAATCATTTACAGAAAACACTTTTAACTGTACAAATGAAAAATCGATTTTAGATTAAAACATTGTTACGACATGGGCACCTGGGCACTTGAACAAACTTGAACACGGTAGCCTAATTGGTTAGAGTTACAGTACGGAACGCTGTGGTCGCCGGTTCAAGTCATGCCCGTGTCGTAAAAATGTTTTAATCTAAAATCAATTTTTCAATATAAAATCGATTTTTTATTTATATAATGCCATCATGTGCAATGGCACGTGGAAAATATTAAAAATACAAAGATGACGTATATAGAGGGTAAAACTAATTAAAAATAAGTTAACTGATATAGTTCTCATTCTAAACCGTTAAAAGTGTTTTATTTAAACTACTCGCGTAATTCTAAGCAAACCACAGCCTAAGATGGACACACTAGCTATTATCTAGGCTTTACCTTGTACTTAGTTATTAAATAAATCGACATTCTTGTTCGCTCAGAAAAATAAAACGAAAATGCATAGAGATTGGTATGTTAGGTCATAGAAGCATAATTGACGGTAATTATTGACTTATTAAATGAATTAACAGTAGAACAAAATATATAAACATGTACCTTTACATTTGGTTGCCTGGAAGAAGCGCTGTTTAGCGATAAGGTCGCCAATTATATAATTATAAGATAGTCCATAAGTTTTTTTTAAATATGTAAAACATTCCTATGGTGTTTATAATAATAGTTTAATAAAATTAATTAATTAAATTGGTGAGCCCGTACGAGACTTTCTAAGTTTTGGTGAAGGTGCAAAAAACCTTTGCCAATTCCATTTTCTGATAGAGGGTAAATTTATAAAATCTTATTTCTTTGCTTAGCCTTGGATTATGGAGTCACTGCTTTAGATCGTTACCTGATCCGCTGGACCAATATCAGAGAAGGTTCTTTGTGGGATGCCGCTGGGTGTACGATCCGTTTACCACGGGTTACGATAAGATACGTGGTTATTTACTTCCAGGTACGATATATATTTGATTAACCGCATTAACACACGTTTAATTAATGTTTGTCGCGTTTTAAACCGTTAAAGATAGTATTTAATTAACCACATAAATAAAAATTCTTAACGGTGTCAAACGCGAAACATTCCAATCTTATAATTGTTCATTTATTTTAAGCCGATCGATATCAGCCCATGAATCCAAAAAGTGAATTTATATCGTTGGTTAAAAGTGGTTATTATTAAAAAACAACATCAACTTCGTTTCAATACAAACGAATAGAGCAATCTAACAAATAACTTATAATCTCATGGATTAGGAACATCGAAAAAAAAACACATTGTTTACGCTGTGAAGTCTTAAGCCATCGCAAATTTATTGCAAGAGGTCAAGTGTCGGTAGAACTGGACGAGCGAAATCTTTTTTGTCGTAAAACATTGTTACACGATTGTTCTACAGATTTCTCATGAACCGAAATAGCTGAAATGTTCAATGTAATGAAAAAAACACTTGCTTAATTGAAAGATTTTAATTACACTTAAAAAAATTTAACACTAGCTACTAACACTAACACTAACACTAGTAGCTAGACTTGGGGTTTCGAGCTGTTCGATCATCGTTAATAACTATGACGTCGGGTCAACGGGTCGCGGGTTCTGTTGGTGTGCGACACTTTAAAAAATATATTTTTATATGAAACATGTCGGACTTTTTCTGGACATATGACATTTCATGGGTGGTAAGAATATTTAAATAAGTAACGAGAAAATACCGTCTTTCACAAATGAAGGCCGTGAGGTATAAGTATATCCCCGTATGGATTTCAGTCCATGGATTTTTAATAACCAAAGGCAAAATCAACGACGCATCACCTTTTACGAAGTCAATTTCATGCTTGTCCTATATAACGTATGTCATATATAAAAACATTACTTAAGTTTTAAGAGAACAGGGTAACCGAAGTAACCAGATAACGCGGATGTAGACCAATTGACATAGTTAAGAAAGCTATCGATAATCGTACAAGAGTATTACATCCTCATTACTATTGTCAGTCTGAATGTTACGTACAATAAAAAAAATCAAGTATGATTAACATTTATATAATAAAGTTTGGAAAAGATATGATACTTTAATTATACACGTTGGTAATCATAAAACAACATATTTCTGAATGTAAAAATGTGAAGTAACAAACAATATCTTTTTAAACCTTACGACGCAACAAATATTCACTTTGAAATAGATTTTTTTTTTCATATAATAACGTTGTCTAATCTTGAACTTCAGTTCTTTCCAGTGTAAATAAACTTAGTTACAGCGCGATATTATAGTTGTGTGCTATTTTTTTTCAATCAAACATATTCTTCTTTTCCAGCCTTCATGATAGCGACCCAGTTCTTCTTCACCGTATGTCTCATCGGCGTGCTAATATCAACGATATTAGTATTAATATTCTTCCTATGTTGTGGACCGGATCAAAGTAAATTTGAAATACTTATCAAAAGCATAGGATACACTATGTTAGTTGCAGGTAAGGAACATGTAATTTTTTACGCAGTCGGTCAAACGGTCTCGCAGTTCACTTGGCAAAGGGTAAAATGCTTCAGAGATATCAACAGACTCGATCGATATAATTAAGATGGTTTATCATTATCCAACCTATATTGTCTTTGGATATTCGTAAATTCATTGACTGAAATCGAAACATAAGTTCATGAATTGTGCCGAATTTCAATATTTTCAACTGTAGACTAATTTTTTTTTTTAATTTTTTACTAATTTAATTGACGATCAGGCTGGCTGGTTATGAATTAAAGCTATTATTATTTTATTATATAAGCGTATCAATGCATTATTAATATTTATATAATGCATAATACATATATTTATAAAAAAATAATTTATATCCAATGCTTTATATTTCAGGGATAAGTGGAAGTATAGCGGTGATTGTTTTTGCTTGCACTGGCAACACTGACGGCTGGATGCCGGACCACGCAAACAACTATTTAGGTAAAATTAACATAATAGGGCAACATATTGTAGCCTTAGTTTTTAAGTTTACTAGACACAAAGTTACCAGGTAGTCAATTTGTGAAATGCTAGAATTACCGTCATTTTGAACGAATATGACTCGAGTTCCTGAAATTAGTTAAACATATAAAAAAGGACGCAATTAAACAAAACATCTGAACGGTTTAAAACGCGATATATTTTAGTTACACTTATTTGAAAATTATTCTAATATATAACGCGTTTTAAAAAGTTCAAGTGGTTTTATTTTATGCTTCTTATATAACGGCTGTTAGATGAGTACAAACTGTTCACAATATTGGTTAAAATAATCTAAATAAAACAAGCTTACAAACCATTTACATATAATAATGAAAAGATATGTGAATTAATAAGAAGACAACGATATGATTTAAATGGACCTTAAGGACATTAATAGTCGCTTCTTTTACATATGAAAAATTTATCATTATCTTTTATAGGTTGGTCCTTCGGATTGGGCGTAGTGGGGTCTGTCGCTTGTCTAGTGACAGCGGCTCTATTTCTGACAGAGTCAAACATACAAACAAAGAAACGCCGGCGGTTCAAGGAGTCTCAGGCGCGCTTCGAGCTAGAAGAAGAGTCGAAGGCGTAAGCAGAATATCCAACGCCAAAACGTAAAACTCTTTGGTGCCTTATTACGATATATGTCTCACATATATTAACCTCCTGATACCCAAGATCTTCTCGTTTCTCCTTCTATCAGTTTGCCTGCTTGGCAATAGTGGTAGCAATTTGGGATCCCCACCAGGTCTAACTTGTTGAAACTTTGGATATTAAATAGGTAGTAGGAACATCGTAATGCCGTCCGGGTAACGAACCACAGATGAAAAAACCGAGAAGTGTAATCGCGTTTCTATTTCAGCCTCTGGATTTCCCAATATCCAAAATGTGACAGAACATCGTGTCAAGATTTTATAGCTACAGATCTCCCATTAAATGAACCCAATGCTTGTGTGTTCTCCTCTATTATAAATAAGGGAACCGATAAGTCTAAGTTCTCCTGTACTTTTAGTGGTTTTAGACTTTAAATGTTTTTGCTTAGCGTTATTGATAGATAATTTGATCAATACTTGATTAAGAAAGAAATGGTTTTCAGGGGGTTAGTAAAGCATCACTATTAATATTACAAATATGTATTCTTTAGGTTTACAATGTTTCTGATATAAAGATCTATCTAAGGATTGTTTAAATACAGAGCGCCATTTAGGTATATAAGAATTTTTAACACTTAGTGTAAGATCCACCGATAAGCATATACTTGTATTATTTGTACATAAAGCAGAAGTTTTGCATATCTTGATAAATAATTCCGTCCAATTTTATCTCTAAGAATCAGTGCCGTCCTCTTAATGTTCGTCCAATATGCTTAAGATATTTGTTTTTTTACGATGTTGCTTTTTTAGATCAAATTTTCATAAAAAATATATGTACTAATTCTGGCAACACATAATATAAATGTGACTACCACACTGCCACATTTTTTGCACATAAAATATTAAGATATTAATGTACCTAGTTCTTAGTACATAACATTACATTATTGTGTTTATACATCATGATATATGAATCACTTCTCTATGTTGTTTAATGACATACCTTATTAGAGCCAAACATGATATATTTTTTTTACTAATTAGCTTAATTGTATTTCTATATTATATTGTTTTTTAAAGATGAATCGACATGTTATTCATGCCGTTGTTAGTTCTGTATTGTATTTTAATATAATAAAAACTTGTACTGCGTACATGGATAACTATGAAGTTTTTTTTTCGATGATACCTTTTTTTCCTTTACTCTGTAACTATACAAAGTCAGCAAAAATTAACCTATATATATCTACTAACTTATATATCTTTTTAAGTGTGCCTAAACGCAGGATACAAAAAAAACAGCAAACGGTGAAGAAAAATAGTCTGTTTAATTCATATAACCTCCAGTACTAAACTATTAAATTTCGGATATACATTTTTGATTTCAAAAATATTTAATTTCATTGGTAATTCTATACTTGTATGTTAACGTAAAAACCACATTAAGCCATAAACATACATCTAATGCAATGAAATCGAATGTTAATTATCGATTATTGTAAGAATCGAGTTTGACAAAAAGCACGTCTCCACGATTGGCTTAAAGGTCTCTTTACCACGCCATTAAATTTCATTAAAAAACATGAATATTTTTGTTTCTTGATTCTTCAAAGTTGAATTTGATATTTGGAATCGTTGTAAAGTTATGAATTGGAATGTGAAATTATTTAACAAATACAATACCACCGATTAGTGTTTTGAATAAAAGGCTTGTTTAACTTTTACATATTCAAAATGACGGCCGCTAATAACGAATACCCTAAAGCGTCCAGTAAGTAAACCGGGCACGCCCAATAATTTTTATTTAGTTTAAACTTTTATTTAATGAACGGAAACATTACAGTCCAAAACTTGATCTAATAAACTTTAATAAGAAGTAAAATAATAATAAAAAAAACCTGGCTTAAATTTATAGAGTAATCATTTGGCTCAATGTAAACAAACAACCCTTTATTACACCTTTAAGACACAATGACTTGAATCAAATCTTAAGTAAATATAACATTTCAGATGCTACTCTGATTGGAGCATCAATCACATATGTGGCTGGATTATTTCTCCTCCTATCCTTTGCTGGGCCCTACTGGATAGAGTCATATCCAGAAATGTTTTCATCCTTCAAACGCATGGGCCTATGGGAATATTGCTTCGATCGGTTCCGCTTTCCTCATTACCAGTTTGACAAGTTGTTTCACGGATGCCATTACATCTTTAGCCAGGTACATTAATTTAACTAGAATGCTCTAAATATAGAATAAACATGATTAAAACATCTGCTCCATATTGATAAGAGATTTCAAGTTTTATTAAGTAGGAGAAATTTTGCTTAACTACCATTTACTATTTTCCAGGAATATTATGTGATCCGCGAATGGCTACTTCCAGGCTGGTTAATGGCGGTACAAGCATTTGTCACTTTGGCTTTTATGCTCACATTCTCAGCTCAGGTTTTGTTAGCCTGTGTAATCGTTAGAATGCCGTTGCGCAATGTGTTGAGATATGAATGGATATATGTATCTTCAGCATTTCTTATGATTGCTGTCTCAAGTAAGTATTGAAGATATTGGGTATATCTTTAGACCTGGTTTATGGGGAATAATTATTTTATAATACTGTCATTTAATTTTGAAATATTTGCAGGTGGTTTCCTACTCTTAGCAGCAATTATATTTGGGGCAAACTGTTATCGTCGTGATTGGCTTCTTTATCCGTCCTTCAATGTTCTTTCTTGGTCGTATGCTTTTGCAGTTATCGCTTGTATATTATTTGGTAAGTGATGAATATATTTTTTACTATTCAGCTGATGTAAGGAATGGTGTTATAGATCATATTGAGTTTTGATAATTTAAAAAAAAAAAAATATATTCTATGTAATTTACTTACTGTATCTGAGATTTCTTTTTGAACGCAACTGAAGATGGTTTCAAATTCTGAAGTATGTTAAAAAGTTCTTATTGGATATGACCGATGTTTGTATACCATCTTGTCTTACAGACCCTTTTATATGTCTGACTTATGTTCTATATGGAGATGTACTTTACATGTTTCATAGAGATAAGACAACTAAAACATAAGACACTGTCTAGGAATAATATATTTTCAGGTTTGGCAGCGATTCTATTGTTCTTTGAAGCACGCAAATTATATGAATTGCGTTTGGAAGCGAAGAACTTGGTAGCCCAAATGCAACATAGCCAACCGGAGCATGCTTTACACCAGCTCAGGGGACAGTTGCAACAACAGCAGCAACAGTTTGGCTTCTATAGGAATTAAGTTTGACATATCTTTGCTTAGCACAATATGTGTTTTTTACAATTAGGGTCACGAATTTGCTCGGCAATTGTGTAAGCTGGTATTCTGATAGTTGTAATGATTATCCGCTTTTACAGAATCTAGTTTATTACAAATGTTTCAATGACCTGACATTGACATGTTGATGGTAATGAATTAGCAGACTCGGGACCCTAGCAATATTTTTTTTTTTTTAGCTCTATTGTTTTAGGCAAAGCCAACTTTGCACAATGAACTGTATTTGCAGTAAGATTTTAGACTTAAGCTTATTTTACACGCATATTTTTGAGAAATATGCAGATGTTTTATTAATACAACTAAACATGACACATTCTTTTCACATGTCATTGTACATGATGGCTTTATATAACTTAGAAATCAATGTAAATTGAAAAAAAAATGTGCTGTGGTTGTTGATCCAGCTAACGAGTCCAGCCCACATAATTTTTTTTGAGTTTCAACTTATGTAAGGTTTTCTGATCTTGTTGATATTTTATAAAAATGAATCTCACATCTCAACCATTCCGTCCAGATGCCTTATTAGATTTAAAATTTTTGTAGTTTTATGCTTTAAGATTAATTGATGTATTTTATTAATGCACATGAATTATGGTTGTTTTACACCTGGAGAGGAGATATATACAAAATAATAATCTATAAGTTAAAGGTACAATTGTATTTTGAACCGACAGACGTGTGCCTAAGCCATGGAATACCAATATCTATATTATTTTTGCAATTTATTGTAATCTATATTATTATATGAAATTACGACTACAATATAATTTAAAAGCAAGTAATGGTTTTTTATTTAAATAGTATTTCATACTCAGAAAGATGATTTAACAGAAAACTCCTATAGCACCGTTTTGCTTCTTTCAAAATGAGTAAAGAATATTAAATCGCAAACGAACTAGGGGAGAGTAGATAGTACATTTCTCATGTTTATGTGCGATTAATAAATCTAGTATTTTACCATATAAACACGATGGGGCCCTAGAATATCAGTCTTGGGACTAATGTCCCAACGTAGCTCAGTGTACTCCTTTTCAAAAGAAACTATTTTATTTTATTTTATCTGTATTAAGTTAATAGGTTGTTCGGAAAGTCATTTCGTTTTTTCCCGTCAGAGGACTTCATTACGATTTTTCGAAACCAACTTCACACCTAAGCCGCATAACCATTATATGTCTTGAGAGCTTATATTGCAAGGCTTGTGTGTGAAAAAGTTCTATTAATTCTAGACAGTAGTTTTTGGTTGGTGCCCTTTTAAATATGGAGAGCAATAAGCAGCATTTTCGTCATATTTTACTTCAAAAAAGGTGAAAATGCTGTACAAGCGAGAAAAAAATTGACGGATGTGTATGGAGAAGGCGTGTTAACAGTACGCCAGTGCCAGAACTGGTTTGCAAAATTTCGATTCGGCAATTTTGATGTCGAAGATGCACCACGGTCTGGAAGGCCGGTCGAAGATGACAAAGATGCGATAAAGGCATTAGTTGATGCAAATCGGCGAATAACCACACGAGATGGCAAAAGGTGTTGGACTATAATGGCCAATATATAATTTAATAAAATATTTATCATTATACGAAAACTGTCTTTCATGTTCCCCAAAAAAAAACCAAATGACTTTCGGAACCACCCAATATAAATTATATTTGTAATTCTTCTTAAATTTGTAAAATTAGTTTTTAATGGTACCTCTAAGTTATCTGACCTTGTTTTTCGTATCGCTGACAAAGATCCAAAATGTGGTTATTGCCATCGATCACTACCAATGGTGCTCTTTTAAGTAAGTCGATATGTCTGTTCACCTACAATGCAACGTATGTACATATATTTTTATATTCTATATTATACTTTGTGTAATATGGTCTACTAATACTGTATGGTACTTGATAAAAGGCCTTAAAATAAAATAAATCCAATATATAAAAATTACATAAAACGTATATCTCGTTTGTAGTGGGCATAGGATGAATAAATATTCGTTTCACCTTTCTTGATAAAACTTAGCCCTGCCCGACCAAAAAGTATTCATTCATTAATTTTAATAAGAAAACAATAATATAATTCATTATTTTCTCGCGATTCGAACCCAGGTCCATCTAAAGATAACAATCAACCCCATTCCGAAATTATTTTCAGGTCCAAAGCTAGGTCAAGCGCATGTAGTTTAGTCGTTATGGATTTTTTCACCTTCTCTTCTTTTTTTCTTCTTCAAAAAAGTTCTCTTTAATAAAAAAAATGTTATGCATATTTTAGATAAATATTAAATAAATAAGAAATAACATGTATAACTCTAGACTCTTACTAAATCTGGCGTGATGTGATTGTGGATGTCCATGTCTCCAAGACCAAGTAGACACTCCCCTCTCTTGTCAAACACTGCTGCGTACGTCGCGGTGCGTGATTCCTTCGTGTAGCATCCTGGATGGAGATTTGTTAGCATTTAGGAGACATGCAACGCAATTTAAATGAATAGTGATGTGAATCATGTTTTTTTGTCTATACGAGCTGTGGTGTAAATTAGATTTATTTTAGGTCGTAAAAAGATTCATTATTTCGTTGAATACGTCTCAACTATGTTGATGGCGAACGACATTACAGTTACTTAGCGGATCTAAAATACTTAACATTACAACTTATTAAAATATCATTAAATCCGATTTTATTCAACATTCTTTATACTGCAACGAAAAAACTCAATTTTGTTACTGTACTTTTATATGATAGATGAGGCAAGTATGGGCTTCGATTAGAAGATGAAATGGCCCAGCCATGTGAAATTAAAAAAGTTGCCCTGTCATATTTTGGCTTTTGGTATTCGGCTATACATAGGCCGAAATCCAAACGCGTTCAAACATTACGATTTCTTTATCTGAGAACGGTTCGTGACCCGGACGGAATTTCGATATTCCTAACACCCAATTAATATCTGGGTTTCCAAACGAAGGCCAAGATGCTTAAAAATATTATAAATAAAACACTTTAACGGTTTAAAATGCGATATGTTAGTTAAACATATTGGAAAATGATTTTTCACTTCGGCCCGACGTTTCGGATGCTTTGTAGCGTTTTAAACCGTTAAAGTGTTTTATTTAAATGTATACTACTCGCGTAAACTATAGACAGTATTTAAGATTATACATATATTATAGACATGTTGGATCCAGTTTGGTCGAACCTCCGTTGAATTTGGTCATGCACAAACCGTCAACGCTCCGCGGTTTTAACGCCAATAATTACCAACTTACTAGCATTACCGTTATTATATGTTGATGTAATTACCGTCAAGAATCAATCCTGGAGCGATGTTGTGTAAGAAGCGGCCGTCTGCGTCGTCCCCTATAGCAGTTAGTAGCTTGGTGCGCCCGTCTCGTAGACGCCACAGCGCTTCCGCAATATTGCGACCCACGCCACCGCCGCACTGCTCCGTTTTACAGACGTGAGTGCTGCCATCTAGCTGTCGACAATATAAACAAATATTAATATATAACTATACTATACAAATGTTACTTCGTAATACTATAGTATAGATATTTTCTCGACGGAAAGTAAATTTGGATACAAATACTGTCTATAGTTTACGCGAGTAGTACACATTTAAATAAAACACTTTAACGGTTTAAAACGCGATATATTAGTTAAAAATTATTTTCAAAATCGGACCGAAGTTAAAAATCTAAAGACCGAAGTTAAAATTAACTAAAACGATAAGACTTAAAATCTCAAATATTATAAAATATGAAATAAAACGTCAGGCTGCAACTAATAGGAGCGAAGAAACGGTGGAAATTTGTAGAAAAAAACGAAAAAACGAAAAAAAAAAGGCGTGAATGGTTCAAGAAACTAAAACTAATCATGATAGAATGATTCTTCTTTGAACGAAGTAAAAATGTGTGCGTCAGAATATGTCTATCTTTTAAATTTAACACGCACGGCCGTTAAGACGCGGACGACGTCGTAGGTAACAACAATGATGTATAAAGCTGAGGAGATTGTTTCAAAAAATAAATAATTAAAAAAAGTAAAAGTGAAATCCCCTTTTCCTCTCGTAGGGCATGGGGCGAACACATTTTTGTGTCCGTTTCACTGATCCCTGTTCTTTAACAGGCAAGTAGTTGATCAGACTTCTGTACTCTGCCCGACCGAACATTTTTTGTTTCCTTGGGATTCGAACCCAGGACCCAACGCAATGATAGGCCATACGATACCATTTGGCTACACAGGCGGTCAAATACGATGTCCAAAATAACTTACGCGTGAAAAAAGTCGCGGGCACAGCTATATATGATATAAATTACAGAAATATGTATAAACTGCATGTCGACAGTTCCAAGGTTTGAAATACGAACTTTGGAAAAAGGAGGTCAAAGAGGTTTGGAAAAAGGAGGTCAAAGAGGTTCGGAAGAAGGAGGTCAAGGAGTTTCGGAAGAAGTGAATTGCCTGATCTCTTATGAGAAAACACCTGTACCCACAGAAATTATTAGAACGAAATAGTAAAACATTTCCATAGTATTATGTATCTAGGTTATTTGCGCGGTCATGAATAATGCCCGTATATAGAATAAAGTTGAATATTGCAGTGGCTACATTTACATAGAGCGTGTTAAGGAGTTTGTTGTGTGGCGCGCTGCATGCGATTTATAATGCACGCGGTACCGTCACGGGACTTCAGCCTTCCAGTAATTTAAACTTTCCTGCAAAATGCCGACAACGTTTATCTATGTACAGTTAAGCGCGGATACGTATTTTAAAGTTTAAATCGTATTTTCAAAAGGGGAACGTTTGTAATGGACGAGAATTGTAAGTTCTACTACAGAGCTGGTTTTAACTGTTGGTCTAGTTGTTAGTGAATTGTCGTTCGAACTCTGTGTTGAATTTGTTATTTGGATTGTTTATTATTTAATTCCTAGAAAGGAGATGTAACTTTGAGTACTTTATTAGGAGTCGTTAAAGTTGGATGACGCGCACTAAAGCAGTCTGCTGGATTTAAGATCTTAGTCTTTATTAGTAGTTCTACTACCTGTGACCATCACATCGATTGCTTAAGTACGTGTGTATTTTTTTTTAGTACAATACAGTACACTTTTATATATTAGTAGCTGCTAGATTCGAATCAGCAATTACCATGGCCGCGTTGACGTGACAGAAGAACTAACATCAAATTTCTCTAAAAGCTCCACGAAGTACTTCTAATAATAAATGCCCTAAAAACCGAATGAAACTATTTCCAACAATAGTGACTCTACACTGGATTCGTGTTTTTCTCGTCTCTTCTATCATGCGTTTGAAGTCCAAAGCTGGACGTAAATCCCCAAATCATTTCATTAGGACATATCCAGCATTTTTAAGCAGTGATATTCGGTTTGTCTGTCCCCCTACAAATTTTTGGAGGATGACTTTTTTTCGAAAGGTCGATCAAGTTTTTAAACTGTTATAGATAAAGGTTTTCTATAGCACAAATAAATCCTGACAATTTGAAATTAAATCTAGAAGCCTTTTAAACGAAAACATTAAGTAAGCGTTTTATAATGACAAAATATATCTAATTATAGGCCGGTGGGTACAGCCGGGTTCCTTGAACTGATTGTATCAATGGACTGCACGCGACGCTACGGCGTAGCTGCACGTAGCTTGGCTACGAATATACTACGAGAAAATTATGCAACCGACTACAATAGTACTTAACTCGTAACAAGTTTAAAGTTACGGACTGAAGTTATAATATTTTGTACTTAATGGTACGCTGTTCTTGGAAAATATATTGTTATTTGTAATATTATAGCTTTATTAGTTTAGCAAAAGCAAAATACGTCGGCAACACATCGAACTTAGATGTCATATGGCTGGCGTATTCACCTTGAATTAAGTGACTGTTTGTTCTATAAAAAAAAAACAAAAACGGAAGGGAAAGGAGTTTTCCCAATCTTTCTCCTTTTCTTCCAAAAGTGCGTCTAAATATCTGTGTCTGTTTTATGGTACGATTTTTCACAAACGAGAAGTCGGTATTTGTCTATTTCGGCTTCAAACATTCTAATGTCCACAGTGTTTCAGAGAATTCGTAGCTTTTCATTTGGTGATTTGTGGTCCGGACGGAACGTCGATCAATCACCACCCATTTTATGTCCAGATTATCCAGACAAACAAGATGAATAAAACTGGAGCCGGTGGGAATCCAACCCACGACTAATGTGTATATCCATAGGCTACTACCATTGAACCAACGAGCCAGCTACTTGTTAATTACCATGAAAGCCACAATTCGAATATTCGTGAAAAGGCATGATCCATTTGTAAATATTAGTCAACAAAACTTCCGGTTTGTTGGATTAACACTCAGTTATCGTGTTACTAATTGATTGCTGGCCTAATGATTTTTAAATGACCTTTGTGTGATTGATTTGTCTAGCACACACATTGTCACTCAAGGGTTTCGTGTAATTGCTCTAGAATGACATCAATTATTATTTTTCACTAGCACAAGATATGCATATGTTTTTTTTTATCAATAAATGTTGATAATTCGTGCGGGATTTGAACCTACTACCACAGCGTTCCGAGCTCAATCGATGATATAACTTTAATCTTCTTCTCATCTCTCTCAATTAAAAATATTTTATTTAATCATATATATTTTTGTTTTTATACATATTTATGCTTTTTGTTCAAAGCAACACACTTTTAATAGATTATAACTGAAAATATATGAAGGTAATTTACACGTTTAAATACGTTTAACGGTTTGTAACGCGAAATATATTAGTTAACTTACCCGGATGGTGCAAAGTGGTCACGGATGCTGCAAAGAAACCGATACGAGTCAAGCCGTATTTAAAATAAATTGCACATAACTTAATTAATATATTTCGAATTTAACCGTTAAAAGTGTTTTATTTAACTGAAGCTATATAAGAAAATTGGTTACTAATATACTCGACATTCTTGATTGTGTAAATGTTGCATAATCGTAAGATTTCGGCTGCTGTAAACTTGCCGGAAGTATTAACATAAAACATTTCTAATGGTATATATGCGACTAATACACGTTTAATAAAACAAGACCAAGACCTTGACCAAGATCATAAAATCATCTTTATGTGTATTTAAACCTTATAGATGCTATAATATGGGCTGATATATTAACACCTATACTAATATTATAAGGCTGATTTGTTTGTTTGTTTGTTTGAACGGACTTATCTCAGAAACTACTGGTTCGAAGTGAAATTGTTTTTTGTTTCGGTTAGAACATTTATTGTGGAAGGCTTTAGGCAAAACACGGTGCGACTAACGTAGGAGCGAAGACACAGTGGGTAATGTGGAGCAAAAATTGAAAATTTTTAATCTTCATTTTCGGTTAAGATACCTAAAAGATTTCTATGTAAAAATCTAAAAAAGTCCGCGACAGTATACGTCTATCTTTTAAGATTACCTTGTAAAAACGACGGGACGCGAACGACGTCGTGGGTACCAGCTAGTTTTCGTATAAAAATAGTAAGAAGTCTAAAAAGCAATTTGTACGCTATTAAAACGGAATAAGGCCTCTACAAAACAATAAAGCGAAGAAAGGGAGATTGCGATCTCGTACCTACAGAATTAATATTGTTGCATTTCGCAGAAAGCCTTATTGTATTTTATTCGTTGAGATAATAACGTTCCCTCTTGCATTATTTATGTGCCATGTAGTTTTTCGCCTATTGTATTTCTTACTTGTTTTAATCATTATAATTTTACGTCTTAATGAAAGAATCACTATAGTTATCGCATGAGAACGAGTACATTCATTTTATACTAGCTGTGTCAGCGACTTCATCTGCGTACAATAATTACTGTTATCCACGATGTCGTCAAAGTCCCGTCGTTCTTGCAAATTTATTTCAAAATATAGAGACGTCTTGAACCATTTTTGCGGTGTAAGCAGCGAAAACTCACAAATATGAATGATTTTTCCCGTTCTTACTTGTTCGTTCATTAAAACAACGCTTAATGTAAGCTTTATATGTTAGTGTTAGTGTACACGTAAAACTTAGGATAAGTGATAGTTGAAACAGGAATGTAAATTATTATGACAGCTTATATACATTTAAACAAAAATATGGTAGAGCAAAGGATCATCAACTACTGGCTTATAAATAAAGTAGATCAGCGAGATGTACAAGCAAATTTGTCCACCCCATGTTCCACAGGGGGACATGAGATTTCATAACACACTAAATAGTAAATATTGAATCGTACTTTTGACATCCTAAAGTTCTATACATTGCAGGCAATGAAAACACAAATACGTTTATGCGAGTATATTACTTTTGCGTATGGAGTGTTTAATTTCTATATTATCACTTATAAACATATTTTTTAATATGTATATATATATATATATATACGTATCTTATAATATATCCCAATATCCTCGTTGCTTCAATGCAGAACATTCACTCAACGTATTAATGTGTATTTCGTCAATATCAGTGTATAGAATCCTTAATATTATTTTGGCATAAAACAGCTGGTTTTACAATGATTTTGCAATGTGGGAGGGCGCCAGGGGGCGGCGGTATCGAACGTGGGCGCGCCGCCCCGCGCTACTGAAGCCCTACGAGCGCCGAACGGCGGGCGGCGGACGAGCTATCAGCCAGTCCACAGACAGACACCGAGCGCGCCGATTGTGTCTCTTGCGCCGAACGTACACGGGATACCCATTTAATAACACAATACAATGGACAGACTGTGTTAAAACACCGGTATACTAAACTACAGATTGCGCGAATTACGTTTTAAATTCCCATCAACACTCGTGTGATAGATATTAAAATGATTTGTGACAAAAAAGTGTTTATCGCGTAAATTGGCAAAAGTGTTGTACGTCATGAAAAACGGTATGATATTAGACAACTATAAATTCTATTCTCTTTGAAATACCATAGAGGGTAGACAAAGGTCGGACAGATAATATTAGATGGAAAATAATTGATTTATCTAGCCATTAGTTTGCTGACGTTAAATCACGTCGATCGTCGATGTATGATTAGAACATTTAAGGAGTATTTTCTTCGAACATTAGTAATTTGAGTTATTGATACAGAAATGAATTTCTTACGTAAGGTCAAATATAAAATTAGTTATCTGTCTGTTGTGATTCTAAAGATCTACATTATAGTTACATATACACAGTCTTACAGTTCTTGGGTTCATTATTGAGTATAAAAGGGGCCAGAGAATAATATATCTTACTGTACTCATCAAAAAGGGTATTAATATTATTAATACTTTTTCTATACTTTATGTGTGGGAATCATTTAACAATATTTAATATTTTATAAAATAATATTTATCACTGGTCGTAGATTTGATTTACACAACATCTAATATTTCATAAATAAAACTTCTTTTCCCATAATACATTAGAATATAAAACAATAATGTTGTAAAGCAGATCGTGGGTTTGTATCCCGGGCGAAATTTTCATAATTGACACGAAATTCTCTGATAGAAATGCCGTAACGCTTTCAACAATAAAAACAATCTTTAGGGTGTGTTTCAAAGCAGAATATAAACAGGGATGGTTTATATATTTAGCTAATATTTATTATTCGTTTTTATGATAGAGGTGAACCATGGAGTTCAGGAAGGTAAAATACCACTGTAACATCTCAGTAAGCTGTCGCTGTCGACCTATGTTAGCTTTGGACATTCAGATATATAAAATGTAAATGTTTATTAAATACGTATTCAAACGTTTCCAAAAATATAATGAATGGCCTGTACACGGTTGTTGAGGTAAATTTATAATACAATTACAAAGGGGGTTTGAGGAGTACAAGAACCCAAGAATAAAGCTATGCTTGTAAGCGTTTGCCCCAGGGGGCTTCAGCTTAACAGGAAATTATTATCTTACATTTACTGGAGGAGCGTTCGCTTTAATCTATAATTTATGGTGAAACATTCGTACCTTAATGGGGGAAAGGTGGGTGTTCGCAATCCGGGAAAACAATATATTGTTTCTGGGTTGTGAGGTTTTTCTAAAAAAAAAAACGAAAATCCACTACCGGAATTAATTCCTGATTATTAAATAATTTTATGCAATATTGTAGCCTATGTCGTTTCTCAGGCTCTATAATATCTGTGTACCAAATTTCATTTAAATCAGTTCAGTAGTTTCGGAGTTAAAGCGGGCCAGACACACAGACAGAGTTACTTTCGCATTTATAATATTAGTATAGAAGTATAAATTATGGCTTCATGTATTTTTTACAGTAAAGGCTTTTAAATTCATGTTGTAGAATTTGTCTACAGGATATTGATATTTTTAATAATTTCTATGTACTTTAATAATTCAATAGAAATTGTATGTACAATTAAACTGAGAGCGTGTGTTAAAAGGAGAAACATTAATGTTATCTGCAAACTTTCAAATATAATTGCAAGAATCCTTTTCCGATTTACAATTTGATTAAATGCTTCTTAATTCATTGATATTTATTTTATTAATCTAGTCCCTAATATTGCGTTCATCAGGGGCCTCAACTTCGAAGTCTGGGAAAATCTTATGTTATATCTAGTTTATGTTCGGACATAGATAAATGAATACATGCCCCACGTGCCTCATACCCCAGACAACGGGATTTCACTATTCAAAGTATCATTACGTCTCACTTTTTGTACATAAAGGTATCCCGGTTAATGAATTGTTTGCTGTATGTTAGTAACTTTTCTTTTTAACTACCGAAAGGCGTAAGTAGCGCAACGCTTTACTTATTCATGCCCCACGATGCCATTGAGGCGAGTTCTAGGACCATCGGATGCCCACACCAGGGTTATTGTTACAGAAACGTCCAATGCGAAATCAATATGTCTATCTTTACGTTCAAAGTGCTAGTTTAAAAACTTGGTGGTGCTTCTTATTCTTCCCTTTCTTGTCACTCAATTTTACGTAGTTTTTTTAACATGCAAGGCTGAGTGGAGTAGTTTTAGAGTAAACTGGATTCCACCTCTGGGACATGGTTCTAACAGTTTTTTTGGATGACATTACTGAATTGTATTTACAGGCAAGTAATTGTTTCACCGTGATTCAAACCCAGGACCTCTAAAGCTTTCACAGGTCGAGAAAAGTAAAGTACAGTATAATGTCAAAGTTTAAACCAAACCAAATTCCTTTTTTGAATTTCGCACGATATATACGTATAGTGCAATAAAAATATCGCGTTATGTAAAGAATGTTTCAGGCATTTCGTTCCGTGAAACGTTAAAGCCAGTTTTTCTGGGGTTCATTTGGCTCGATGAAAAGTTTACACCACATTAAATCGTGATGTGGCTCTTGGCCCGTAGCCACTGTGCTGTGTTCGATGGAAATTTAAATGAAAATTTATTTTTCGAATATAATTCTACTGCGTCCTATTTGAGTCACGCAAGGCGTTTCAGATATTTCGGAATGTTCGATTCGACTAAATATTGTGTGAGATAGTATTGAGTTTTTCGTTGTTTTGAAACGGGTATTTCGGAATATTCGATTAGTCCCAAAAGTTTAAGTGCTATATTGAATTTGATTTCCATTTAAAAAAAGCGATTATTCTAAAATATACTCTCCGCTACTGTTGAACTACGAGTTCTTTATTGTTTAGAAAATTGGTATTCCGGAGTATTCGATTAGTCTCAGAAGTTGAAGTCCTATTGTCGAGATTTCAATTGTTAACTAGATGTGATGGTGACTTCGTCCACAGACAAGTTATTTTGGCCATCAAAATTTGTATTTGCGAATTTCCTGCACATCTTTATATAGCTGTTACCTGCGACATCAGTTCCCGTCGTTCTCGCAAGTTGATCTTAAAAGATAGACATATATACTGTCGTGGACATTTTTTATATGTTTTAAAGAGAAATCATTCTTTCATACATAACTTTTAGGTGTCTTGAACCGTTATAGCAGCGGGCGCAACGAAAACTCAATTATGAATTGTGTAAAGCACTCAATTTTGAATTGTTTTCTCCGTTTGTATTACATTTCCTTCTGTTTCATACTATAATGTTTTATAGCCTAAAGCCTTCTTCGATAATTGCTCTAATAACAAAATAATTTTTCAGTTCGAACCATTACTACTAGAGATTACAGCGTTTAAACAGACAAACGAAATCTTCAGCTATAGATTTATAAAAATCGAGTATTCCAAATATGCTATGTTAATAAGAGTTAAAACATTTTTTTTTCATAACAAACAATATTCTAAATGTCTGCTACCGTAGATCTGACGAGTTTTCCGCTGTCAAGAAAACCGCTGAGCTCAAACATAAAACGATACGCAGAGTGAAGAGAACAAAGGTATACATATTTAACGAATCAATTTGCACTCCTCCAGATTCTTGAGTGAGGAGGTTTTTACGTAATTGTCTTTCATAAATCGTTTAGGCCTTAGGGCTCCTTTGTTTATTTACTTCCATTTTCAAAAAGAATTTCATCACGAACTACAGTAGTTTTGATAATTTTAATTATTACCCCACGAGATGTCTTCTCTCAAGCTTGGATCTACCTTGCAGCTCCAGTGCGGGTTAGTGGGCTTCTATTGCCACTTAATTGAGAATGGTTGACCAATTTCAATGTAAAAAATCATTTATTCATCAGGTACACAGAACTAAAGAATCTAAGTTTACATTTACTACCAGTTCTCAAATCAAAGGCGTAGAAGAAACGAGAAGAACTGGCAACAAACTCGCAATTATATCCAAATATTAACGTTCTCTAGGTGATAACACCACATTTTAACATTTTTAACTGGTAACTGGTATTTTGACTTTGGATATTCAGAATACAGAGACTGAAGCCGAAACGCGATTAAACTTCAAGGCTTTTCCATCTGTGGACGGTGGTTCTTGGCCTGGACGGAATTTCGAAGACGAAGGCGAAGATATTTTAGAAAAAATAATTAGTCGTTAGAATAATGTTGGACTCAGTAAAGATTAAGCCCACCTTTAATTATTAGATATACCTACATGGTAGCTCCATTAGACCAACTGACCGTTTGAGTATAAAAGAATATAGTATGTAAGAGAGCAGACAAATTACAATGTTTAGGTATAGATGTATAGCTTGATAAGCTTAATCTCTATAGAAGTGGAACAGCTTTTTGTCAAGCCATTTTTAATTAGGATAATGTTTGTAGTGTGGTTGTAAACGATTTTATCGCTCTAGTGTCGCACGCAATGCACGTTGGAGGGTAGAACGAAAGGGATGGGGTTTGGCACGTCGCCAGATCTCCTTGATTCGACGCGATTCTTACTGGATACGTCATTTACATTTTACTTAATTACAATTTTATTGCTTGAATATGTATTTTCGACTTGGAACCGGATTAAAGATCGCGAGATTCTTTTCAATATACTTTAAACGGTTTTAAACAAGAATTTGGTTCATTTATATTATCTACGTTTTCGATGCTTTACACTAGATGAAGTTGGGGAATGAATGCATTTCGCAATTTAAACCGTTAAAAATGTTTTGTTTAATGGGTGTTCGTTTAAACTACTTACAGACGCTACTAATTTTTTTTATGGTGCTTTAGTGGTTACGAGATCAAAAGTACACTCAGTTTTGAACAGGCTATATCGCAGAACGATACTTTAAGAAAGTTGAACTTCTAACAGAACTGTTTCTGCTACCTTTTAGCAACAAATGTGAAGCGGAAAAATCAATATTAGAGGTGTTATTTCGTTTTTGTTGATCTTTATAACGGCTAATTCTTAAACGCGAGTAGTACACGCT